ACAGCTGGATTACAAATGAGCTAAATAATAATGCACAACCAAACAGCAATGTATTGTTAAACGGTTTGTAATTAGTATTGAACAGTTAAAACGTACTTTAATCCATACATACATCTACCAAATAAATATTTCATCAAATGCGGTCTGTTAGTTTAGATAAACATCGGATACCTGGAATACAAACATTTGGTATTCTAAAAAATATTTAAATACCTTTTAAATAGACAGATATTTAAAATGTCTAAAACAGGGTATTCATGAAAAAAATAAAACAATAAACGCCGATATTCAACTTTCCTAATCCACCACAAGAAAATATATATCAACATCTGCCTTTATTTTACATGAGTTGAAATTGTCACGTAAATTTAATAATACAGTAGTATGACGTCCAGAGACAATCTATCCATTTATTAATAAAACTAATTAGTAGTTAATTAATACTGTTAGAGATAAATCATTTCAGTTTCCGCCCCAGGGGGCACAGGATGTGACATAACAGCCGAGCCATTAAAGAAAAACAATAAAACGCGCTTTCAAAACGATCCCGTGTTTATTTTTGTAACAATAACCAGCGTTGTCTACTTATTTCAAAAGCTCGGGGAATATACGGGTATGATGATTGAATAGGGTTCTTTTATATGTTTACCAAGAAGCGTATTGACGTTTGTTTACTATATACTAAAATGCAAATCATTGAGAAGTGGTTCTATAGTTAGCTATCCGATAATCTGAACCATACTTTGTCAATAATCTTAATTGTTTATTGGTATTTGACATTCACCTACTAAGTACTAATTACTGTAAATATGAGGACGCAGTAAAAGCTACATATTTAGAAAACTATCACACGTAGATAACATTACTATTAGATTTAAAAGCATATTATTTTCTTTTTGCAAACAGATTATTAAAAAAAAACGTAATGTTTGTTAATACAATTATTTTTCATTTGTAATTTATTTTGAATATATGTTGATAAATTGTCAAAAGTAACATTAAGTTATGTTTAAAATTAATAATTCACGTATAATAATATTATCCAAGCATTTCGATAATATATGTACAGTCACAATAGGTCAATAATGACACAGATATATGACATTTTTTATTGGAATCATATCATTACGTTTGTCAAGCTACAAATTTAAATGAGGCTTAGTAAATTTCCTCTAAAAAACATTATGAACTACTTGTAAGGCAACAGAATACGTATAGAATTTAGAACATTATGAATATTTAAGAAAAATAACAAAAGTAACTCGGTATTAAATCTGTAACAAACAATTGCATAAATCTAAAAGAATTTCACAAATATATTTTTCTTTAACATTTTGATTATTATAGGTTTTAATAAATATGTATGTCTTTTATCAGTTTAATTAGAATTTAAATATTTACTTAAGCCTCTTATCAAACACTTCCAAGAATTAAAGTCGATATTCGTAGAGTTTAAACTGTTTATTTCACCTTCCTCAGAGTTCGTATTTATGTACATTTTGTCAGTATTCGAATAATTTAGTCATGAATACAAACGTGAATACGAATATTCATAAAATTTGACTCGTGAATAAAAGTAATAACGAATAAGGGGTAAAAAAATTTGCCAATATTTCTTCTGTAAATTTACTCAAAAGAGACCCAATCTTTCTCTCTTTTATTGTAGCATATACGGGCGTTCCACCTGCAACTGTCAAATTTATAAAAAAAAAATTAATAAAAGTTGTCTGGAATCATATGGGCCATGTAAAGAAAGTATTTTTAGCTTTACAGCTTTGTTATTTTAAATGGAACATCCTGTATATTATTGCGTTTTTGAATTCCTTGGATAATATTAGGTAGAGTTTATTAGATATACAGGGCGTTTAGAACTTACCGTCTTCGAGATAATCTGTTCTTGAAAAAAATCACGATTTCAGCTCTTTAAATGAGGCTAGATAGCGTCTAAACAGTAAGAGTTAAAAACCTGCAATTTTCACAGTTCGTTTTGACATAAATTACTCTATCTTGTCATCTGTGAGCAAAACGTGTACGTTATTCAGACTCGGAAATACTGAGACGTACATTTTTTCAAATGGAATGACCTATAATAATTGTCATGGGTAAATGCAACATTGAATTACCTTTCGACTGATATAATGTTGTCCATACTTATCTCTAACAGTTTTCCAAAAGAATCAGGTTCTTCATTCATTCGACATAAGTACAAAAAATTTAGCATTTATTTATAAACTTTGCATGCAATAATCAACATTCAACAACTTATTCAACAGAAAATGTAAATACGCCGCCAGGAAATGCCGTAATCCAACAGAATCGAAAGCATAAAATAATTATTTAACCCGCAACACATTCGATACATTTATTTACGTAAGCACGCCGTATTTCACAGAACCAATAAGCTTCTTTAATGTCGCTTATGCAATTTGCATAATGGGTCTCTTATTTGTATCACTACCTGGTTAAGTGATCTGAAAAATACACGAGCAAGGACGACAGTACGCGGAAAACAAACACGTACTGTTACGGTCTACGGGAAAAATATTTACAAACAAGAAGTAATCTTTAATCTCGCACAGAAATAAAGGTGCAATTGGATAAAGAACGTAAATCGTTAGTGAAGTGAAATCGACAAGATCGACAAGTCTTGGTCGATCCTCCAATTGTTAACAAGGAAATTTTAAATATGCAAATGCTAAATCTAGAATATAATTTAATAACTATTATGTATAAAATTAGCATTTAAGTAGTCGATACAAGAATGACATTACCTTCTATTAAGGCGAGAATTAATCAAATTTATCAGAGATAGAAAAGATGATAAAATTGGAACCAAATTACATAATATAACAATTTCTCGAAGAAGCGAAAATAACTATTTCAAGTTTTGAGAATTTTTGAAATCGCTTCGTTTTTTTCAAAATTAAACAGTGAATTTAAAAAAAATACAAATTGATAGCTGGATGGTTGCGAGTTGCGACACATTGTAGAGGTACCTTGGAAAGCTTTAAGTTACAGGCCCTGGAACTTTTTTTTATTAATTTGGAACATAGAATACACCAATAAAGTTTGGTCAGATTTGTCTTTTCTATCACGCGTGCCTCAAATGTGAAAATTACTTGTCGCTGAACGCTATACTATTGCAGCAATTTCAGATAAATCGATTTGAAAAGTTTATATTACCGATCTATAAATAGACTAGTCTAATGTTTATTCACCGCAGCGTATCGAAAAGGAAGTCGTCGAGATCTTCCTTATACCATTACTACCGCCGTCGTCGTGTGGTACCAAGGTGGTACGCTTCCTTATTATCCAAATTTAAAATTCTTCACACACCGACAAGCTTCGGAGAAGAATAAATTAAATTTGGTATCCAAGTAAAGTTGGAAATGAGAAGAAGCAAATGGCGAGCAATCAGAAGAGTTCGTCAAATTAGACTTTTCATGATTACATTAGATTTAAAGTGATTTTTATATAAAAATCTTATAAACTGTTTTTGTTTCGAGTTATTTTCGATTTGCATAGAAGAATTATTTAAAATTAAAAAACTAATTACTGGAAAATGACGCGTTTCCGAATGCATTAAAAAATATTACAAAATAGTCTCGTATAATACCTATATTGCTCAAAAAGGTTTTAGTAGGAGTTTGATGTGGGCAGATAAAGCACCATTTGCTCTTTTCAAACGGGTACGACAAAATTACACTTCTCCAAAAGGAGGAAAAGACAAAGAAACAACATTTGTTACTCACATGCTTAAATCTACATAGTTAATTAAATATTAATCATTACAGGCGTCATTTATAAATTGTTAACTTTTCAGAACCGAGGTTAACCAACGTTAATTACGACACCGACCTACTTCCGGTTAATAATAAACTAATCTGCGTACGAAATACTCGACCTTCAGATGGAACAAAATAAGCCTAACGGCTTCGGATTTGACGACCAAAAAATTCTTTATAGTGACAATTCATATAGATCATTTAAACTCGACCACCTTCAGAGAACACCAATATTCGCGTCATCTTCGGGCCCATCACATACCGGAAGTCACGAAATTTTGACACAAACCGTGAACGGTTTTCAGTTTCGGTGTCATTTCTCGAAACGTCAAAAAGTCAAACCGATGACGTGACACCAGTCCGAAAATTATCTCGCTGCTTATATCAATTTGTTTTTTCCATTGCCTTCTGTTATATACAGGGTGGTCCAGATTTTAATAGACAAACTTCGGGAAACTACTAAACAACAAAAATTAACATCACTTTGCTCTATGAACATAGGTGCAGAAAGCCACCGTTTATGAGATACAGGGCGTTGAAATTAACAAAAATAAAACAATTTTTTTTAAATATCTGGATATTTATGAAATCAATTTGGTATGAAAAACTTTGACAGACGGCAGCTCGGTTAATTTTAAACAAAATGACAAAAATAATAATTATTGTTATAGCAAACATCATTTTTATTTATATTTGTTGAAATACTTGTAACTTCTAAACAAAAACAAATCGGACCTACGTTCATGTAAGAAAAAATGTTTGAAATTAACCCTTCTACCATCTGTCAAAGTTTGTCATAGAGTTTGTAGAACACCCTGTATATTTTTTGAAAACTCAGAACACCATCTTTTTAACTAATGCAAAACTAAATACGGTTTCGATTTAAAAATATATAACCTTGATCTGTAAGTCGAAAATTGTTGAATACAAAAAAATGAAATGCTTCATTGGATCCTAAGCAAAAAACTTTAAAATAATATTCTACATTTCAAAAAAATCGTTCAAATATAGTCGTTACCGAAAATATGAACATTTTTATCGTAAATTCAAAACATTTTTCTAAAACCCTTTCCATTAGGTACCTACTTTTAAAATGGAGTATTACAAATGAATAAACTAATAGGCATGATGGGATAAGCAAAACCAATCATTAGCAACAACTGTGCCCACAAATAGAAACTACCACCTAATCCTTTTTTTTTTTTTTTTCTTCAGGCGGAAACTTGGCTAACGAACCACCACCACCTAATATTGTTCACGGCCTTCTTGTGCGACATTCATAAAATCTAGTATATAGACTCTTTGCAGTTCCCTAACCCTAAAATGAGTTCGAGTCGGTATTTGGTGATCTCCGTGAGAAGATTCAGCCGTTTGCTGATCATGCCAAGGTGAGGAACTGTACGGCCTTTAACTTGACCTTCATAACTGTGTTTAACGTGGCCAGATGTTGTGGGCAGAGGCGGATTCGGACGATTTTAGATACCGCGGTTATTATCTGGTCAATCAAGTTGTCCGCGCATGAACTGGATGACGCCTGGAGGCAACATACTCAAGAAGGAGTTGCTTTGAATCAGTCAGATTTAAGCTTAAGGCGCATTATTGTGCAGTGTCTACTGTATTATTTTAAATAGAAAACTTCTACGGGTTTAAAAGTATCGTACTCTTCAACTAAAGTCGTGAAAATAAGAGGGCAGAGGTTTATAAAGTCTTATTATACAGGGTGATTCACAAATGGTAACCTCGTATTCTTTGGTGAATTTTATGGGGAGTCTTTCCTATACAGTTTTTATCTAGGACGCTTCGTTAAAAAGATACAGGGTGTTAAACGTCTAAAAATATTTTTAATTTTTTTAAATAATTAAAAAACTAGTAAGTGAAATAATTTGAAATTGGTGTTTATGTAAACATTGTCCAAAATCTGAGGGGGTCATTTTTGGTCACCATTTTTGCAGCACCCTATAGAAGCCGACAACATACTTAACCCTCAAAGGTCGCACTAGTGCGAATTGGGATTTTGCCAACTTTAAACCTTTATGTCTTCTTCATTTGTTAATGAAAACAACGTATTTATATCAAAGCAGTAGTAAAATTTACCGAGAAATCGAAAGACGTAATTAATTTAGAAAAAAAATAATGTGTTAATAAAGAATGCCATTGAAAAAAAAACAATTTTCGAAAAATGATTTTTTTATTCGTATTTGTTTATAAATAATGTATTAATTCAGCCACACTTTTGCCCATGTTAGTCACACTAGTGCGAATTCGCACCGATCGGACTCTAGTTTGGCTGACAATATGGATAAAAAAATGATCGGAGTTGGCCATGACTGAATTATTTATAATTCAATAGAATAGGATAGGCTAACGAGACCTATAAGGCAAAAAACATACAACGTAAAAAATAAGGAGACTGGCTAGTACAACACACTGTAACTATACTTACTTGAATACAGTCCTGTGTAACTGTTTTGTAAACGTAACATATCTACTACCACCTCTAGCTCTCTAATATTAATTATTCTTATTTTACGACAGACCAATGCGCTTTTCATACAAGACCAATTTATATGCAAATTACATTACATAACACTACATTTTAATATTATGTTTTACTTGAAATAATACTAAATCGTGTAGCGTTGTTAGATAATGCAAATATTATTTATTTATAAGTGCCTATTAGGCTTACCCAAATATTTAAGCTCGAAATACTGAATACCTTTGAAAATAATTAATTTATATTTACACTGAGGATATACAAAGTATAAGTAGTTTCAAAATAAAACATTTTAAACGCTCTTTCGTTATCTTTATTGATTGGTGTGGGTTTGGTGAGTGTTTATTCCCTTTTGCATCATGCAACAAAGTCCAAAGTTCATAAATTCGTCTAGAAATTCGACAATTTAAAAACATTGCAATCTCAACAGTTATCTATGGTAATTGATGTAACCATAACAAATAATTCTTAGTACTTATTGCTTAGTAAACCGGTACATACGGGGTGTTCATTTTAAATGAAACGCGGTGAGGTTTAAATGAAACGCGGTGAGTGTGAAACTAGGTTCTAAATAAATTTAAAATTATTATAATATTCATAAAATTGGGAAACTATGGAAACAAAGCTTCTCGTACATGTAGATTCAAATGTTCAGGAAATGGTTTCTAAACCAGGAAATGCCAAATTTCACAAACTTAATTTTAGTTTCAATAGTCTCCTTATATTAATTATTAATTAATATATTAATTTGTTACATAAAACAAATCACTGTGAATTTTTTTATTTCGCAGCAAAGTTAGGAAAAACAACTTTTGACTGTCTGGCACTCTGGCACAGATATAAACATATTTCATTGTCGACTGACAGGATAAGCTTTGACCCACCTTTAGTGTAACACCCTGTATTCCAATTAAATTTAATTTATTTCAATTTCACCGCTTATTAACTGCGGTTAATCGCGGTATTTCTTGGAGAGTTACATATTTGTCAATATTCGCAAGTTTGTTTTATCAATAACTGTCTAAAAATAAATCGGTGTGTAACAAAACCGTGGTACCTACTTAAAGCGGAAAGATTCCCATTCCTTTCCCCGACCAGTCGCGTTATTACACTCATTACATATTCATAAATAGTAAATAATGGACATTAACTTTTCTGTGAGCAGTTCCAAGTGCATTGGCGATGACTTTGTGTCATTGTTAGAGGTGGAAAAATGCATATTGCAACTTAAAGAAGCGTAAGTGTTCTAGATAGTTACTAATATTTTATTACGTTCGTAGTTATCTGTAAGTAAATACGTGACGAGTGATGTAATTTAATCATTGAAGTCGTTGAATACACATAACCTCAAAATCTGAACTCAGCTTCTGTGAACGATCTGGATTGAACTTTAATAGCGGCCTGACCTTTAGAACTGCGTCACAAAATACAATATAAGACCGCATTGCAATTTAAAAAATTTCCCGGATAGACAGGATGTCTACTAAATTTCGACTAAAAAAGTCCTAGATATTTCTAGGTTTTCGGAAAACAATTTCTAGTTTGCTAGAACTGTCACAATCAGCTCGCTATCAATTGGCGCAGAGTCAGTTCCGCGAGCTGTCTAGCTGTCGGTTTAGTCGCCGATTTCCCTGTTAACGTACGATTTTTTTTACGATTTTAGTTGTCTTTTGTTTGATGCATAATTGTGTGTAATTGTGTCGAGCGTAGAAGAAAAACAGCAAACAATTCATACTATACTGACTAAAAAAACAAATTTATCGGTAAGTAGCTATCAAATTATTAACATATAAAAACTATTCAGGTGAAAAACAAAACAGAGTAATATTTTTTGGAATAGAAAAGAATTTTATGAAAGTCAATTCGTTTAAATGTTTGATTTTTTATTTTTTTTATAAAATTATTTAAAAAAAGCAAGGAGTAATAAATTATCTACACAGGTCAGCTTCACAGCTTTGTCAGTAGTAGTCCAACAAAGCGGCAAGGGTTGAAACGTACCTGATGATGCGATCTATAAGGGATCCCATCCAGATTGTGATGGCAACGATGCGTAAAACAATTTACGTGTTTTACAATGATACAATGACATAAATCTTATAATCATTGTTCGCTTTATTTTACCTTGATGATCACGCACGCTTTTGGTACGCGGCAAATTGTGACAGCTCTAGATAAGTCTCTATCAGTTTCCATTAAAAAATTACTTCGTCTTCGTTTTGCAGCCAACCTGTTACTATGTAATGTAATTTTTTATGTTCATTTCATTGACCTAGTTAATTTCTCTTTTAACTAATATTTCCAGGAAATAACTTTCATATGAACGTCATATTGGATTTTATTTTAAAATAAATGTTATTGTGATAGTAAAAAGAATTACACGATATACAGGGTGCTTCAGAAAGACCCCCCCCCCCCCGTAAATACAGGGGGTTATATGAACTATAAATATGGACTATAAATAACGAAGTTATAGCTGATTGAGAGATTTCCAGTTTTTTTCTGAATAAAATCCAACCACATGATAGAATTTTGGAAAAATTGTATGAAAATTTGAAAGAATCATTAATATTACCTTGACATTTCCAGATTTATTAAATTCTCTGATAATTTAAGGTTTTCTAGATAAATATACACTGTGATTAGAAATACACTGGTGTATATTTAATTAAATTTGAAAGTTAGATTTAAGTTGGAATTTGACATTTTGAGAAACGGTTCTCCTTGATTAAAAAATGATTTGAAACATGTTTATTTCTGAAAAATTAAGTAGGCTATATCAAAGAGAGAAAAATAATATTTCTGTTTCTTTTTAAAAGCATTACTTTAATAAATGAATTTTTTATCCTGGCCATCATCGATGAAAAAGGTACCAAATATTATCTGAACTCGACTAAAAAAATTGAACTGAAAAACAAAATTCTCAGTTTTTCATCGATAACTTTAAAACAAGAAAAAACTAGGTCAAATTTCTCTTCGGCATACTATTCTTCATCAATTTGTCCATATCACGATTTGAAAAAGAGCACCCTGTATACACCTAAGAAAATATTTTTTAAGTTAATTACGTATACATTTAAATATTTGATGGTATTTCATGAATGATACAAATAACTCACCACCACCCACCGCGATAATTTTTTTTAACGTGAATATGAGCCACGTTACTCGACAAAATTTTTATAAAGTGACGAATATCCAATTATCGTGCGATGGAATAAAACACTAACAATTTTATCAACTGTTTACGAGTAAAACACGGCATTATTCACCATATAAAGTAAATAATTGGCCACGTATGTAAATAATTAGACACAAGCGACATGAAGCACGTCCGACCAGTCTAAACAATTGATTGGTCAATGAAGCCGATAGGAATCAACCAATGGATTTGTAGTAAAAGAAGTACAATAAAATTGCTGCGTAATCTCAGGTTTTGGAGTTTTTCCACCTCTGCTATCTGCAGACTCTAAACAGATAAACAAATGGGACAATAAATCTACAACAATGCGAAACATTTCGAATTTGCATACGTCCCTTTTCATATTTATTAGTTTACGAAATTCCGCGTAAATATAAGTCTCGGCGGGTTCGAGCACGTCTCCAGTGTCTTCGCGACAATGATCCGGTTTAACATCAGCGAGAGCAGTTTGCTCAAAAATGCCCACTTGCAAAGAGCCGTCTTGACAAGGTAAAATCAGTTCATATACGTCAATTAGTCGATTTTTTTATTTTAAACTAGAAATCTCATGTTTGACGTTTGACCGGATATCGAATTCGGACCCAATTTTGTTCATTCGAAATGAAAATGGCATATCTGAACGGTAAGATACCTTAAAGTATAATAAACAAGGTGATTCACAATTTTTTTTGCAAGTTAGGTACTTTATGTGGTCATAAAAGCAATTGAACATCAAATTGGATATATACGACTGGAAAACTAAGCCGTTGAGGAAAAAATTCCATATTTGCGCAAAATGCTAAACGGTCATATTAGAGAAATGTTAAAACAAGTTTGTATGGAAGAAATTACAAATAATGTTTACAATATTATTTTTCCATGTTAAGATTTGTGATTTACACGACACTGACATCATGGGGATTTTCTATCGAATAAAAACACATCTGTCAGACATTAATTAAACAGTCGAACTTCATCAAAACGCAATGAAGAACATATTCTTGTATATTCTGCACAACATCGCGACAAAATATCAAAAGCTGTACGAATTGACGTCCGTCTATTCAACGAACAATTCTAATATTCACATTTTTTAGGATGGGAAGCTTCAGCTCGGCCCCCAAGATCCTCAACGATGACATCTTAGACCACGACGTCGATCTGCCGAAACAGATCAGCAGGCACGAATTGCTGCAGCACTGCCAGAGACAGCCGAAAGTCCACCCGATGGTAAAGAGGGCTTTTAGGAAAGCTAAAGATACCCAACCCAACTACGGATTGAAATTTAGAAAACTAAACACGGTTACGAAAGGTACATACATACGTAGAAGTTGATGCTGTGTCTTATTAAAAAGTGTTTAGATTAATATTTATTTATATAAATGCTTGACGTCAATTCAAAGATCAAAGTCTCATCAAAATTATTAGATTTTCGTGAAGTAATAATTTGATGTTATTTTCGTCTATGACAAAAACTATTATTGAAATTTCAATTTTCACGTTATATATTTTTTTTCTCGAAATTTTGAATTAAATTAATCACTTAAGTAATGACAATAAAAAATCAGCGATAAGAAAAATTAACAAAACAAAAAATTTTGATGTTAAGAGCATGTGACAGATTCATATATTCTAATAACATTTTTGTTTATTTCCAGGATGTAGTGAATATATTTCAAGTCCATACAATTTGAGGGTACTTCAATGGAACATATTATCACAAGGTAAATAACTTTTACTATTTTTTTATACCACTCAAATAACGTCGGAGGAAAAAAATAACTTTCTCTGGGCGGGAAAACTTCATAGCTGCCGCTATATAAATTTGCTAATTTTACTTAGTTTATTATTTTACGAACGAATTGATACGATATTTATTTATGTTGAAACTATTTTTGATTTTCATGAATAAAAACTTAAAAAAACACGCAGTTTATAACAACAATAAATTATCCCATTGTTCAGACTTTTTGATGACTAACTGGTGACCAATCCAATAAAAAAAAATTGAAATATATTGACCTGCTTGCCTCATAACTTGCCTGCCGCCATTCCAACTAACATTTTCAACATTCTAAATAAAATTATTGATTCATTACTAACAGATGATATCAAGAAGAGACATGAATTGAATTTAAAGTGCCACAATTTTTCTGTAGCGATGATGTTATAGTGGCAATTCCTCGAGTATAACCGAAATAAAAGTGACAAAGACGTAGTGCATAATCTCGTCAGCAAAAATTCATTTAAACTAGCATACAATTGTAAAAAACAACCTTGTTTTTTTTTTAAACTACACTGTATTAAAGAAAAATCTTATTAACTTTGCAGCACTTGGGCAGATGAACGACAACTTCGCGAAATGTCCAGATGAGGCTCTCGAATGGAATTCTAGAAGGTATCTCATTGTTGAGGAACTAGTCGAATACTGCCCGGATATAATTTGCTTGCAAGTAAGTTATATGAGTTTGGTATGACTATGTTTCTAAATAATCTTACTCAAGAGAAAATTGGTGAATGTCAAATGTGTTTTTTAATATCACAGGAACACGAAAAACCCATTGTGATAAGTCGTATGACAATTATAATGTCATTTTGTAAATAGTAACATCTGGGGGCGTGTCTATTTAATCTAACTATAATGAATTTAAATAAACATCAAAATTATCTTTATGAACCCGGATTTATACACATCTTTGAATAAACAAAAAGGGTATAGACTATTTAGAAAATTGCTATTATTAAATGGTGAAATTTTCAGGAAGTGGACCATTTCAATTTCCTCAGCCACATACTGGACACTCAGGGATACACAGGAATGTTCTTCCCAAAACCGGATTCTCCCTGCTTTTATATACACGGCAACAACGGTCCCGATGGTTGCGCCATCTTCTACCGGAAGGACAAATTCGACCTGCTCAAAGCAGAGACGCGGATATTGGAAATTTGGAGGGTACAAAGTAACCAGGTAAATACGTACGAATGAAAAACTTGCTCTCTACCAGTGGTTCATTTTCAAAAGTGTAGCGAAATGTTCTAGATCTCGTATTAGTCATTTAAAATAACAACGCAGGTACTTATTTCAATTCCAGCTTCCAATAAAAGAACTGGAGGTTTGTTTGAAGCTTGTAAACAAAGAGTGGATATGTCTTGGTACTTTGCAATTAGGACAATGTAAATTGAAACAGAGTCGCCAATTTTGATTAACCAAGCCTCAATTTGTTCGTAAAAAAGGGTTCTATTTGGGATTTGGTCGGAAATCAGTCCAACATTTCATGATTTTGGACTAAACCTGGAACATTTCATTCCATCGTGTGCAATCATTACTCGATTTGACTATTAGAAACGACTCAATTTTCTATGCAGAACCAAAACATTGAAACGCTAGCGCTTTTGCAACCTTTCATCCACTAAAAATATTGATCTTTTCAGGTGGCCCTGCTGATGACGCTTCGGATAAAAGAGACGGGACAAGAAGTATGCGTTACCACCACGCATCTCAAAGCAAGAAACGGCGCTCTGCTTTCCACGCTACGCAACGAGCAAGGCAAGGATCTTCTCCAGTTCATCAGCAAGCACTGCGGTTCTAGACCCCTTATCCTCGCAGGAGACTTTAACGCCGAGCCCATAGAACCCATCTACAACACCATACTCTCCGACAGTCACCTGGGCCTGTCCAGTGCATACGCCAACTGTGATACTAATCCTAAGTTAAGTTCCGCGGAAAGGGAACCACCTTACACCACTTGGAAGATCAGAGATGAGGGAGAGGTCTGCCACACGATAGATTACGTGTTCTACTCGAAAGACAGCCTCGAGGTGGATGCCGTGCTAGAACTGCCAACGGAAGAGGAAATTGGGGAAAATAGGGTGCCTTCTTTCGCTTACCCATCGGATCATTTCTCGCTGGTTTGTGATTTTAAAATAGGACTAAGCCATAACAGTAACCCGTACAGTATGTAGTTGTAGTTCTCTTGTGATAATAATATGTATAAATAGGTCTAAGGTTTTGTGTTTGAGAGTTAAATTATTTTTATTATTAAAGTTGTCAAAGACATTTGTGTTTGTTTAATAAGATATTTATGTTATTAACACAGTTGAGAGTTTTTTTTCACTACCTTCCTTGGGGCAATTATGATAATATTCAACGGCCTAATTCATAGATCAATACAGAATGAGGAAAGGGGGGCGACATCTAGTTGTATTAAACGAAATTAATAAATTGTTAGTTACCGTCTTCATAAAACTTATGAGGAAATACATATATTAAAGCATAAATATGATCATTTTAGCTGCTAAAAATGGTTTTTTAAATGATTTTATGATTGATTTGCAATATTTGCACAGAAGTTTACGAGACCAACTGATGTAAACTTGGTCGCCTAAAAAGTCGCTACTTGTAGAAGCTTGTTGCAACTTATTTTCACAACGAGTAGATGGCGCCAGTTATAAGTAGCGACTGGTGAGTTACTGGATGGCCTTAAGTATCTGTCCGACGCCACCGAAGAGCATACTTACCTGGCGTAGGGGTTACCGTGATCAACAAGGCGGTTCCCCCAGGGTGAGGCCCTTCCATTGCACTACGGTCGGGCTGACCCCTGCGATTATCCCTAATGCGGATAACTCGGGCGCGTAATTTTTGGTAGTCGGGACTGCGTACGCGCTGTCCCGGTGCAAGTTAATAAAACATAATTTTTAGTGATGGGCATAATCGACCAATTTTGATAATCGAGTTATCGGTAATCGAGTACTTCTAATAATCGAGTGATCACTCGAGATACGAGATATTGGTCGTTTTCATCCCAGCGGCGCACAAATATGTTTGTATTAGTCATATATTACCTATATGCGTAGCTAAAAAAAAAAAAAAAAGCTCACGTACTTCAAAACCTAACCACTTTTTCCACTTTTTCGTTTTATTCTAAAAAAAAGGTTACGCAATCAGTGACTATTTGCAGTATGCATTAACATTTTGGGGTGCAACCGTAGGGTAATAATCACTCGAGTGGTGGGAGTAAACATCTCGAGATATCTCGAGTGATCTCAATAATCGAGTACCACTCGATTTTTCACTCGAAATCTCCCATCACTAATAATTTTATACAGTAGTACAATTTCTATTATTTAAATTTAAAGCAGACAATGGCATTAAATCTAAAACTTATTGGATTGCCAGTTGCCACTGCAGATTATGGTTAAACACATTTTTTTTTGGTTTCCATCAGGCCGTCTGTGGATGCTGACAGCAGACTCGGAGACATGACCCGTAATCCCGTAAAAAAAAGGACGTAATCAGGAAATATCTACTTCTCTACATCGTGACAGACCTAGAGGAGACAATAATTAATGTCTTAAAAAAAAGGACGGAATCAGGAAATGTGGAAAATGTTTTCGAAGAAATCACGATTTTTCCAGAAAACCCGGAGAAATGACATGTTAACCCGGAGCCCGAAGATGTACCATCAAAATCCGGAGATCTGGCAACCCTAATGCTAAGGGACAAGCGTTATTAATAGAGTAAATAACATACAAAAATCGCCATATTGTTAAAATAAAAATAACTATTTAGTATTTGAGATGGAAGAATTTCACATTAAGTCCACCAGAGATTCAAGTAAAGGAAATAGAGTATAATTAATTGATTACCAGAAAAATAAATCAAAGAAAATATAACAGCAAACATTTAAAAATTTATTGATTACCGGGATAAGATTAAGAATAACATTATGTCTTTTTCAGATAATATACTATTGGTATATTTTCTGAATTAGGCAAACGTATGAAATCTTCTTCATTATGGTCAATATATGCGATTGCTCAGAGCTACCTACTTTGAATGTCTACAACATCGCTATTAGAAAGTGCCTATCTAAAATTGAAACGGCAATCGGATGGATATCGTGCTAAAAAATCAGGCGTTTATCAAATTGAAGGATACTCACGAATATACCGGACATTATTTCCATAGAACTTCAGCTACACTATCACAATAAATTCAAGAGCTGATATCACAACTTTAAAATGCATGGTGGATGGAAATCTTCAACGGTAGTTGAAGGCTACATATCGAAAAACAGTAGTTTAACCACTTTGGAGGATTCAATAGTTCATAAACCATCCACTTCAAGCTAAATAGACGAAGTAGGTCAATGTTTCAAAACAAACAGGGCAAGAGATATCCCTTACAGGCTGTTCTAATTTCACTATAAATGTTTACAATAAATAAAATTATTTTCGTTAAAGAACAATTTTTAATTTAACGGCAGTAAAAATGGTTCTGATGCCTAGGCAGTAAATGTGACACAAACTACACGCCTTTAATGTCGATCGGCGAAAAATCTTAGTTAATTTTTATAAACCTTTAAAATGCTGAATTTGTCATTTATCAGGGTAAGTATATGAGGGCGTCGATCGCGATGCCCCCTGGAAGCTACTCTTAAGTTATGACTGGCGTTTTATAAACAAACAAAAAATCTCACTCTTGTAGTAAGACAATGGTCAATGATAGAACAATAAAATCCATCTACACTATAAAAATGTTGAAATACAACGATTTCTTTAATTTTTCGTAGTGAAAGATCGCGGAAAACGTGGGCACCCATGTAAGCATCAGATTCATCAGAATCAGAACCTTTCCTGTTTTGTCTAGGATTTTGTAAAAATGCTCCGCAAGTACCTAATTATGATTATAATTCATGTGTTAATAGTTTCAAAAAAGCATTCTGCGGGGTGTGATTACGATTTTTTGTATATTCAACAGACGTATAAAGTCAGGAAATTGTAATAAACATAAGTAAAAATATGCTTATTTTTTGCTTATTCTTGTAAACTCTATTACACCCTGGACTAGAGAAAACTTGTATAGCTGGTACAGTGAAGTGATATTGTTTCAAACTTACTTAAAATTCGAATACATACATATATTTTTATTTGTTATTCATGAGAGGTATGTCTTGTAATAATTTTTGCCGAAATAGGTATTCGGACTCCTATAAAATTCTTTGCAAAGATCATACCCAAACAAACTTTAAAACTTTGAGTTACCTAAATATATTTTCCTGTAACTATAACTATGTAAATATGCTCTTTACCTTTTGTTTATCATAACATTTTTTCAAAGATTTGTTGCAATCTCTTGAGATTTTCATGTGAGTAATACATCAGTAAAGAATTAAAATGGCCGTTAAAAAACAAGTTACAAACACAAATCAGCTAAAGTATGTAGGTATAATACGTACAGGTTATAATTTATAAAATGATTTGCAGTCATTATTCCGTTCCCTCAAAATTATAATTGATTTAGGAACTAAAATAATAATAATCATGCAACAAATAGTTACTCACCCCAAAAATTCTTCTTCTGGGTCACAATAAACATTTCACGGAAAACATTCAAATTTTGGTTTGCACTCACAATAATTTATCAATTCTTAATATGTTTACAGTAATGTTACTGGAACTTTGCCTAAACAAATACAAATCATTTAATTTTTTGATATAGTCAGCAGCATTGTATATCTTACCTCTTTGAAAAGCAAACCTGAGCACATCACATAGCATCAATGTCGCCATCTACACAATAGGAGAAAAGTTGTCTTTGTATCACGGACAAGAACCATGTATTAAGGCATTTTTTACGATGTTGTTTGAACATGGTTGAAAAACACATTTGTCTTTCTAAACATTTAAAATAAGGTAGGTATATCCATAGATTTAATATACTTTAGATCTGTGGTATATTACTTGATTATTTAAGTAAAATTTTTTAAGTGCCATATTTTGCTGTTTGTAAACTGAAATAAGGTATGTGTTATAAATGTGGCATTATTTAATGATGGCAGTTATTAATTTCAAGTTTCAATATCAAAGTTTACTATAACCAGAGTAAATGTTACGTCTATATTTTGCGTCCCAATAGTTCAAATCTTATTTCCATGGTGAATATTACTATCGCAAGAAATTGCCTGATATACTTTATGACGTAACCAATGGAAATTACTGGTTGCGTGACGTTAAATTTCGGGGCCGTCACCTTTAAAACTCAAATGACACTAATGACAGTGACAACTGACGTCATTGGTCGTTTCCTTTGGTTAAGCACTGCAAGTCAGTAGTGTCACGTACATGTATTTTTATGTGATATTAAATATTTTAATTACCTATTAAGTTAAAGTGAAAATGAGTACCAAAACGAAAGTAATAGAAAAAAACGGTGGTTCTAAATCATCGTTACCCTCAGTTTGGGTTAGAGCGATTACATCTAGTTCGGAATGGCCAGATAAGGTTGAAATAGGTTAGCTTTCTTTTAAATACTGTTTTTTCAATGAAACTTTTTTTTAGGAAGAATTTCTAGATGTTATCTATTGGGCCAGACAGGCCTTAGGTGTAATATTGGGAATAGTTTGGGGTTTACTTCCCTTAAAAGGGTTTTTAGGTCTTGTATTGTAAGTCACTTTGAATATACTTGGCACTAACAGAAAATTCATTTTCATGTGTACCTTGTACACATACGACCTTGTACGTACGACATGTGTTAGTTTAACATATAATGTTTTTAGGTTTGTTTTAATTAATGCTGGAGTCATATATTTTTACTTTACTAACTTTCAAAGTGTAGACGAAGATGAATATGGAGGTGCATGGGAACTGACGAAAGAAGGATTCATGACGTCTTTCGCAGGTTTTCTTGTAAGTATACCGTTTTATATGCTCAATAAGTGTTATTAATTCTTAATTATCAAAATTTTTTAGGTTACCTGGATAATAATATATTCTGGTTTGTATTACGAAGCAGATAAATTAACATCAGAATAGACCCAGGCAATGGTAGCAAAAAACTATTTCCAAATTGTACGAAAACGTATATTTTTTTAAGAAGAGACAAAATTTAAACTAAAATTTTATATATAATTGTAGGAATAATTCTGTTTATAAGTTATACATATATTCTATCGTCTAAATTTTTCAGTTTCTTCTTTGAAAAAATGTAGTGTACTATTAGTGTTAAATATGTATATACTAGTGTTATTTATATGTATGTATAAAAATTTTATAGAATTCTTATAATAAAGATGCGAAAATAAAATAGGGGTGCCAAATATGTCTGATAAGTGAGATTATCATTTCATTGATCGTATTTCTTATAAAAAAAAAAAATTGGAAGTGCAGAGCCTTCATAAGTGTTTATGAGCCACGGACAGTCAAATTTAGGCAACCAACATTGCACGGCTGGTATGGTCGACTAAAAAAACCCTTATATCTTAGTGTCACCATGATTCGTTTACAATGAACTATGACAAACCGTTATGTTTATGTTTGATTTAATAGAATCACGTGAAAAATTACGACGGCCGGTGGAACAGAATTTTGTGTTTTAATATAATCTTGATTTCACTGTTTTAATTTGACCACAATTGAATTGCCAATGAGAAGGAAATAAAATGACTTCCAAACAAAATTAATGGTCATGTGGCCCGCAATCATTTATGCCGGCCTGTATATATATATTTTCAAATCGTGTTATCTATTTTTTAATACATTTTGAATGTATCATTATTATAAAGCTTATAAAGCAATGTCAACTTTCTCAGTACTAAAAATTCATTGTCACTTTCATAAATATACCATAATTAAATTTTTCTGTTTGTTTTTATAAACTCCAAGGCCTGTCGCAAATCATTTCAAATCCCTCGCTGTTTGCTCTGTATTAGAATTACTCAAGGAATTGTAGATATCTCAATATTTTCTTTAATTTACCAAATAATATATTTTAATTAAGGGAAAAATGTGGGTTGGTAAGTTACAGTTTATAGACCAGGGCGGATCTGTTTTGAGGTGGATGTGAGAGGGGGCAACCTTTTTTTTCTGGATTACCTTCAGTACGACTCGCATCATAAAAGTGTAGATCCCTAGATCGGGACGAGGTCCGGAACATTTTCAAAATTGCAAAAATGTTTAAAAATTTTTAAAAATACCTATTTTATCTGAGTTTTTTACTTATATCTTGGTACCTATGCATTTTGGAAGAATATTGAAGAGGAAAAAAAGTTTTAGAATTGAATTTTGCACAATATACTGGAAGTTAAAAATGTTTAAATTTATTACCGATGTTGCAAAATAGCAGTAATTGATGAGAAAAGGCAAATAATCAAGTTTTTTCAATAATTATTTTAAAATATTTTAATTGCTCCGAGGGCATTCTAATTTTGGTAAAGAAAACTTTAAAGTATAATAAAACAACACACCAAATTTAATTAAAATCGGTTTGATAGTTTTCGCAAAATAATTTTTTGAAAAATATTTTGAAAAAAATTTTTGAATTTTCAAAATGTAGCACAACCTCAAATAAAGCATCTAGATACTTGAAAATTTTTTCACATAGAAAAGACTGCTTAACCTTTCAAATGGTTTTTGAAAAATTCAAATCGGTTGATTAGGACAACCACAGTAACAAATTAAAAAATTTGTTTACTTATAACGAGCGTTCAAATAAAAACGTGGTCAAGTTGGTTCTGAAAATTTGGACGTAGGGCGTAGCGTATAGCAAATGAACTTAAATGTCATTTGTCAAAGCGCTATATCGCCGCTATCAATTTGAATATTTTCGTTTTAAAAAGCGTTTAAAATGATGTTTTCTCAAGAACAAAAAGTGTTTATCATAGAGTCCTACTTTAGAAATGGACGCAAGATTGATGGAATATGGAAGTATTCTATTGAGGAATGTTTCATAGAATTTCAAAATCAATTTCCCGGCGTTGTTCCGTACAAAATTTTTCAAAGTGCAGTTCAGCGTTGTGTTAATGTTTTTCGTGAAACGGGCAGTGTAACAAGAAAAGAAGGAAGCGGCCGACCTAAAAAGCGGACTGAAGAATTAAAAGAAAATGTCCAACAAATAATGGAAAATGCGCCAAGAACTTCTGTACGTGTTTTATCACAAATGGTGGGAGTATCAGTCGGTACCTGCCACAAAGTGTTAAAAAAAGATTTGCGTTTGTTCTCCTATCGTTTAACTTGTCAGCAAGAACTTCATGAAGTTGATTTTCCGCGACGGGCTGTATTTTGTGAATGGTTTTTAAACAACTACGGTGAACTTCATAATATCACCTTTTTTTCTGATGAAGCCTGGTTTCATTTAAGTGTTATAACAAGGAGGGGGACACTTTCCGCAGCTCCTTTAATTATTATATATATTATTATATTATTGTTATCACGATTATTCTTTAAAATAAAGTTATATAGTCATTAACGTTATTGAAACTGACAGCTGCTATACAGCTCGTTGAGAAATGAGGTTAAGTTGGTCGCTATAAGCTACGCCCTACGTCCAATGTGTCAGAGCCAACTTCGACCACGTTTTTATTTGAACGCTCGTTATATTTGAACACTCTGAATATGAATGTATTTAGTTATAATTATAACAATTATTTAAATAATTTTTGTTTAAACAAATTAAAAAAAAATATTTGGAAATTAATTTTTTTGTTAAATACAGATAAAATTAAGAAAAAACAGTACTTTAAAATTATAATTTTTGAAAGAAACTAAACTGCAAATTGATGTGTAATCTAATTGTTTAAAAATAACAAAGAGTGTTAACTTTAAAAATTTACTGTGGCCGTCCTAATGAACCGATTTCAATTTTTTTAAAAACCATTTGAAAGGTTGAGCGGTCTTTTCTATGTGAAAAATTTTTCAAGTGTCTAGATGCAACATTTTGAAAATTCTAACATTTTTTTTTCAAAATTTTTTCAAAAAATTATTTTGCGAAAACTATAGAACCGATTTTAATGAAATTTGGTGTGTTGTTTTATTATACTCTATAGTTTTTTTTACCAAAATTAGAATGCCTTCGGAGAATTAAAATATTTTAAAAAAATTATCGAAAAAAACTTGATTATTTGCCTTTTTTCATCAATTATTGCTATTTTGCAACATCGGTAATAAATTTAAACATTTTTAAGTTACTGTATATTGTGTAAAATTCAATTCTAAAACTTTTTTCCTCTTCAATATTCTTCCAAAATGCATAGGTTCCAAGATATAACTAAAGAACTCAGATAAAATAGGTGTTTTTAAAAATTTTTAAACATTTTTGCAATTTTGAAAATGTTCCGGACCTCGTCCAGATCTCGGGATCTACACTTTTATTATGTGAGTTGTACTGAAGGTATTCCAGCAAAAATTAGCTTGCCGCCTCTTACATCCGCCCTGGTCTATTAGTAGATGTTCAAATTTTCCAATAAAAACAGTGATGAATAAATAATTGATACTTTTATTTAAAGTATAAAAAAGATTAGTACACAAAATGGAAGCATTTTTACACTACATGTGTATATAAAAATTACATATGATACACATTAAAAAAAAGGGAAAATATAAACATTTGATCACCGAAGTACAAGACACATCTATGCAACTTCATTAAAAAGCAATTAAAAAATATAATTTATATACAAGTGTAGATTAAATTTTACTTTTAGATCTGTAGGAAATGTAGTCGAAAATGTAAAAAAAAGGAAAACAGTATTGGACGTATCACAAAAACAAATGAGATCAGATTAAGAGCTTTCTCTTCCTCGTTTTTAGTTGCATATTTTTGAATATTAAAAATATAAATAGTTAAAAGGATTGTGGTGTTTTTGAAACGCATACAAGATAAGAAACTACTTTATATTTCGTATTTCTACTGCCAGTAGATTTTTTAAAATTTAACCAATTTTTAAAGTGAAAAAGTGCATGGCAATTGTTTGAGTGAACGTACAAAGGTAGTTTAAAGAAAACCCTTGAAAAAGTGATCTAAGCAAAAAACAGACTAAGCCAATACAGAAATTCTACACTGCAAACGATATGGCAACATGGAAGGTATTTGTAAATTTTCGTTAAAATGCATTTAGAATAACAAAGCGCGACGTTTAGATGTCTATTTCTAACATTCGTTATTTGGCTTTTTTTTTCAGTCGATCGTTAGTAACATCTACAAACAATATCTATTGTGATGCGTGGCTTCTTAAAAGTAACACTGAACGAATAGAATTCGAAATCCCATTGCAGTATTTTTATATGTTACGATCACCATTTTATATGTTACGATCAGATTTTGTAACTGTTGAATAATCCGCAGAAAAATAAATTAGAAAATATTTTAACGAAAGATGTTTATCTTTTTAAATACAGAGCATAACAGAAATAAATGTCTTTTTGGTCTAATAATTTTTCTGAAAAATTTTTAAGATCATATAATTTTCTCAAGTTGCAAAAGTTTGGAACACGGGGCAAATGTGCGAGATTCGTTGAAATTTATTAGGCAAAAGTTGTCGCTATTCCCGAGTTAAATGCACGGTTTTAATTTCGTCATTTATTTTTGGGACACCCTGTATATTACAATAACCGCTGGAATTAAGTTGTTTTATGGGGAAATTGCTTGCAATTCCAGATAAAAATACAACACTGGCATTTTTGGAATGTATTTCTAAACTACAACCGATATTGCAGCCGAATCACTACAAATTATTTAAAAATTTGATTTACTAAATACCTAAGCAGAAGCATCCAGTTAAAATAATAAAAAAAAAACTAATAAAATTCAAATGCTAAAAATGTCCGGTCAAAAATCAACTTATGGATTCAAGGTACGTATTTGGAAATTAGTATTTTAGTAATTTTTTCAGTCTAATGAATCACAATGTGTGAAATTAAATGCTTGTCACAAAGTGGATGTTTTTTAATTTTTTTGAGTAGAACATACTACGTTTTGTGAAAATTCATCCAACGTCACGACATAAAAGTATTAAAATAGGATCAAACTGTGTTTATTAACCCATTTGCATTAATAATACCGAATTTAGTAAAAAATAAGTCTTATAATTGTCTTTAAACATTATATGTCGATTTCGCTGATGCTTATTTCTAGCATTTGAAGTTTTCTTACGCTACACGCTACACATAGGCCAACCAATAGCGATTTTTTGGCACACTTAAATGTTACAGCAAATTTCGTGTATTACTTTTTGAAAAATACTTAGTATTTTGATTTCCCAAGCAAAGTCGTGAACAATTTTTTTAAACAATAAAAACTGCAAAAAAATGACGTTTTCTTGTTTTTTTTATATAATATCTCGAAAAATAATGATGGAATCGTCTTACTCTCAATAGGATTTTTGTAGAGAATAAAGAAACCTATAAAGTGGTGGTTTGTGCAACCCGATCGGTTCATTTTTTACAGAGAAAATCTGGAAAAACCTCTAAAATAGACCTTTTTCGAAAAATTCATAACTCCGTCAAATTTGAGGCTGAAAAAACAATCCTGTGGAAAAAGACAGATAATATGTAGTTTGATCATGCGCAAGATGATTTCTGTCCGATGCATAGTTTTTTCGCAATTGCATTATAAACAAATTAGGGTATTTTTTTGCACAGCGTAGCGATTTATCAAAAATGGTCCGATTTAAATTCTGAAAACGGCATCTGAAAGTAGACGACAAAATCTCCAATGCTCTAAAATTGCCCTTGAAAGCCGCCCGAAACAATCGAAAGTCGGGTAGTGGTAGTAGGGGAAGCAGCGAGCAGAGGACTCTGGCTCGAGCATACTTTCGATTGTTTCGGGGGACTTTCAAGGGCATTTTTAGCATATTTCCCATCATTCAGGTGAAAATCCGAGATATGCAAATTGGAGATCTACTTTCAGATGCCGTTTTCAGAATTTAAATCGGACCATTTTTGATAAATCGACACGATGTGAAAAAAACACTTTGATTTTTTTTATAATGCATCTGTCATTTTCCGCAAGATTGTTTTTCCAGCTTCAAATTTGACGCAGTTATGAATTTTTGAAAAAAAGATCTATTTTAGAGGTTTTTCCGGATTTTCTCTGTAAAAAATGAACTGATCGGGTTGCAGCACAAAAAACCATTTTATAAGTTTTTCATTCTCTACAAAAGTCCTATTGAGAGTAAGACGATTCCATCATTATTTTTCGAAATATTATAAAAAAAAACAAAAAACTGGCATTTTTTTGCAGTTTTGCAAATTGTTCACGACTTTGCTAGGGTACTAATAAAGTAGTACTAAACATACTAAGTATTTTTCAAAAGGAAATACATGAAATTTGCTGCCATATTTAACTGCAAAAACAGCCTCTTTTTTCGCACTATTGGTTGGCCTAACGGTGATAAATGTACTTTAAACAGCTTAAAATAAGAAAGCGTAAAATACCAGTAAAATAGATCGGTAAAAAAATCAAAAAATTACATAATTTTTAAAACGTTAAAATGCTCCTTTAAAAAAAAATGTGAACACACAGATTAACTCGTTAAACCCTAAATGTACATTAAATATCGAGTCGATTTATTAAAATACGTGAAGTCTAAAAAATAATTTTGTCCCTATATAATAACGTGGCAGTCAAGAATTTTAATTCTAATCCAAAAATTAATTGATTTCTGTTTCTGAAAATATATGCCTACTATAAAAGCCGCCAAGGTAATAAAAATACAACAATGAAGTTTTTTAATCTACACAGATTTCTAGAGAAACTTTTTTTTTGTGTTTACGTTTGAAGACTAAAATATAATTAATTATCTACTTATGTGTGCATCCTCCGTTTCCCTACAATTATAGTTGCTGTCCCTCCTTTCCTCCACGTTCATAGCTGACTGGCTTTGTTTCTCAGATGTTATCCCCTACAAGTTTATTTACAAAAACGTCCATCACATACTGAACAAAAAGATTATATACCCTGCAAATCGATAGTTTTCGAGACGCATGGTGTCGAGTCAAAAGAAAAATACCTTATCTAAAACGTCTCTGAAGGCGTTCGATATAGAGTGACGAAACTTAGTCTAATGAAAGGCAAAAATCCACTGAATTCCGCTATGCACCAGCCGTGAATATATTAGGAGTTACTTTCACAAAAAACTCCAGAATCAAACGTCTTCGGGGATATTTTAGAAAAGCTGATTTTTTTTATATTTCAACACTCTGTATATAAAAAACTATTGATTTGTGGATGCATGTATATCACAAATTAAAGTTTGTCAAGTTACTTAATTAACGCCCTGTATTTTAATACACAGGGCGTTGCAATATTGCACTGATAAAATTCCGCAGGTATTTTTTAACCAAAATAATCGCGTAAGTTCAGATAATCTTTTTTTTATCGGTCAAAGAGTCACCTGAAAAATTTTGCCAGTTAAATATTGCAACGCATTTCAGTATTGTTAAGTTTTTTAAATAATCACAACGTGCTAAAATATATTAAAAGCCAATGAAACAGGAATTATACTTGAAACCGATCACTTTGAGGGACACTACAAAACTAGGACTGACGATCTGTCTTATCTGCAGTTTTACAGTAAAAATAAATCAGTTCTAATATGGTTAATTTTTCAAAAGCATAATTAATTTAGAACGACCAACTTTTGAAATAAATGTGTTCCGAAGAAAATTAAATTATTTAAAAGCGGTAAGTTGTTCTCATAATATTAAACATGAAGTGTTATTTGTATGGAAATTAGTTCGAGTCATTAGTAACATATAAATACATGCAAGATGCAAAAATATGCAAAAAAAATGTTAAGTCACTGGTTTGTTTAGTAGAACGCATCGATTAAATGAAAATTAATAAACAGCTGAGGATCAAACGTGTATTTCATTGGCAATAAAAGTATGTTCTCACAAAGATTTTTTATTTTTTTGACGTTTACAAAACGAGAACTTCATTAAGTCGTTAAACTTTATGTGATTTCTAGTTGGAAAAGTCAATGTGAGAAAATACTAAAAAAGTATCGATCACAATTATGTACACAAAAAGAAAATTAAATAAGTTAGAGTTTCTAAAATGCAAACAAAATAGAACGATAAATAAAAAATACCTTATAGCGGCTCAAAAACTTGAAATCTCCACGATCTGGAAAATAATTCTGCAAAATGCCTTTCAAAAAAAAAGAAAAAATGAAATTAAAAGTCGCAAAATAAAGCAAGGGTTCGGGCACAAAATTTAAGCAAAGCGTAACAATAACTTAAAATTTTTAATTTTTGATCAACTTGAACTGAACAGGATTAACATTAAAAATTGATCTCGACTTCACAGTTAATTTTCTGGCAAATGTCTGATTTAAAATTTTTTTAAATACAGATTTATCTAGTAACATCGTCCACATGTATATGCGCGCGAAGGATAAAGCGTGTCAGATATTATGATTCCATGGGCATATCACTTTAGAGGGTTCAAAAAATTGTTAAAACTAGAACACCAAATAGATATGTCAATTTAGGTAAAAACTGGATTATCTTTACTTTTTATTCATAGAAGCTACCCTCGTACACCTTCGTATGCTTTCTTCTTTTTTTTTTATTATGAAAAATTTTCGTTTTCCATATATGACACTATTATTTTTTCAAAATACTCTCTTTGTCATATGAATTTCGTTCTTTTCTATTACGATACTTTTCCGATTTCATTTTAAGTAAGAACTAAAACTTTTCAGGACAATCAACGCAAAGCTTAAACTTCTGCGGCTACAATTTGAATTTTCTTTAACGTTAGCAGTTCATTTTTAAAATAATATCCGTAAATACTGGTACTGAGGAAAAAACTTAATCTTTTCTCACACTGTATACGCTGATAATCAAAATTTCGATAAAAATTTGTTTTCAGATTCAGAAAATTAGATTGGCCGAAAATCTACTTCGAAATTAAAACCAATTTTTAATGGTTTATTAATTTTGTGCACAAGTTTACTTTTAGAAGTAAATTTCTAACATATTTGGTTAAAAAAAAACAAAAAATTCTAAGTTATCTATAAACAAAAAGTATTAATCAACAAAAGCTTCAAATAATGATACGACGAAGCTGTCCCAAAATGAAAATGAAATAAGACTGAAAAAAAATGTACACTTACCGCCTCTTTTAAGCTTGACATCTTTCGCGATTCGTCTGTCTATCGAAGAAGATTCGGAACTATCCAAAGCCTCTGCGGAATCTGGAGTGTTCCCAGTAGAATTGTTGGGAGACGATCCGTCGCTCAACAAACTTAAATCCCCCGATTTAGCCTCTGAATTAACCATAGACCACGGCCTCGGTTTGGGAGCTATTGCCGGACCATGCTTCGATTTCAGTTGTTTCGTAGAATCATTTTCATCTGCAAATAAAACAAATAAAACAATTTAATTTATTATCATCGTTATTTACCTGTTTTTGACCCATCGGGTGATATTTTAGACAACGTACTTCCAGGAGAATGGTCGAAACTCGACTCGGCGGCAAGGCTACCGTCGCTGCTCTCTTGAGACATCAAACTGTCCCCCGTTAGCCTTCTAGTAAGGGGGGAGGCTGAATCTATGGTAGTTTTTCTTAAAAATGACGGCGAGAATTTCTCCAAATTATCCGTCGATCTAGACCTAGGAGCTGGATTCATTAACCCTGGAACGTTTAACGATTAAAACGGTTATTAGACAACGGTTACGTTCTAACCTCTAAGTAACGGCGAGTTTCTACTGAGCTTGGGAGTTTTTCTGTCCTCGCTAAGCACGGGCGAGGAAAACTCGTGGTTGGGACTTCCATCGGCTTGAAACGAATGGCAGTCGTCCGATGTTGGTGTTACGGAGCCTGGACGGAAGAAAGAGTCTAATCCTTCCACTAAATCCTGCGATACCGAGTCTGCCACGTCTGGCGGCTTTACAACCGGCCTCGTGGGGGCTCTAGTCTTAGCTCTGCGTGGACGACCTACGAAACGCGTCTCAAGTCATATAAAACTCATCTTAAGTAATGCGATATCAAATGGAATTCGTAAAACATATAAAGATGTCTAAAAATATTGGAATTGATAAATCGAACAAAAAAAAAGGGACAGTTCTGATATGTGCAGTTAAATTTTAATAGAATGCCAAAATTGGGTCAGAAACGTAATGACAGGCAACACTGATAAGTATGCACATACAACCGAGTTTGGAACTGCCCAGTAGCGGCGTAGACAAAAGCAGTGCAGTTTACAAAGTGAATTATAAATTGACTATTCGATTTAAAAAAATAATAATTTCGGATTGATGTTCTGGGGAACATTATCCCTAAATGAAAATTTAACTTGCGTTTGGAATTATGCCTTAAAAATGTTACTTCAACAAGTGCTGTTTAGTTGTGCATCTTCTTGATACCAAATGGAAAAAAAAAACAAGTGGGTTAACTAACCTTTGTTGAGGAAAATGCCTTTGACTAGGTGCTGCAGCTGGTGACTAGCGTTTGGAAGTTCCGTAACGGAATCTTCTTCCTCCGAATTATGAGGAAGGGAAGGTAATAAACTGGGTATATCGTCAGCTGACAGGCCTTCTACACTATCAACAACAGATTTAGGCCTCAATTTCCTTCCATGCAAACTTTTTCTTTTTATCGATAAATGAGGGGTTGCCTAATAGAAATATAATACAAATCAGCAAGATCGCTCGAAATTTATTTTTATACTAAAATCTACCACAGAATCGCAGATACTCGTATGCAATAAATCAAAGTGCAAACTTGACTGACTAATAAAAAAAGTGGATCAAACTTTTCACATTACATTATTACATCCAGTATTCTAATAAAATTACATATAATTACACTAATTACATAGTCTACAAAAGTACTTACTAAATTCAAATATTCCAATTTCTGCGTGTGAAGGAGCAATTTAAATCATTAATTAAACCATTTCAAATAAATTTAAACACACTTACCAAAGGAGAATGATCCGACTGGTGACTGCTATCAGTTATGGAAATATCACTGGCACCATGCCGAGAACTATCCGAGCTACTCAATCTAGACCTACGTGGCGGAGAGTCTATTCTTATTGCACTGGCATCACCGACTAATATTTTGTAGCTCCTCATCAAAGCCTCGTAAACTTCATCTGTTACCTGTTCTGATAATTGTGAGGCAATCATAATATTTAACTCCCTAAAAAACATTATACTCAAAATCAGCCAATAATAACTACTAGATATATGCCAAAAAGCATTTTTTGTACATGTTTGTGCGATTTTAAACTTTTTCGACCCCCCTCGTATTCCGGTGGACTTATTCAATTTCCCTCGTATACATTTCAACTTTTGATGTTTGACCTTTGACAATTTTAACATTTGAGAAATTGAGGTTATGTTAAACTGTATTTTGTTCGTTTCACGTGTAAATATCAACAAAGGCATGGAAAATATTCCTCAAATACCAAAAGAAGCTCCAAATATATTGGTAACAGGTACCCCGGGGGTGGGAAAATCGACGTTATGCCAGCACCTTTCGGAACTAACTGGTCTGCAATGGTTAGAGATATCCAAGTTAGCAAAAGACCACAACTGCTTAGAAGAATACGACGAAGTGTATCAGTGTCCGGTCCTAGACGAAGACAAGCTTTTGGATGGGTTGGAAGAAGTAATGTGCAGAGGAGGAAATATCGTTGATTACCACAGTTGCGAATTCTTCCCCGAACGGTGGTTTGATGTAGTTTTCGTGTTACGTGCCGATAACACTACTCTTTATGATAGGTTGGTTGGTAGGGGATACTCGGGAAAGAAATTAGAAGATAATATCGACTGCGAGATATTTCAAACGATTTTGGAAGAAGCCAAAGCTTCTTACAAGGAAAATATCGTTCACGAACTTTACAGTCGGACTCCGGATGAAATGCAAGATAACGTAAATAAAATATGTTTATGGTTGCAGCAGTGGTTTGAAGACAAACAGAAGACATAAAATATATATTCAGTAAATAACGTTTTGTAAATATTTAAAGTAAGGCAATTATAATTATAAATAATTACCTTGTTCTGTTCATTATGTCTATTCCGGCTTGCTGCTTGATACAAGTCGTAACGAAATCTAAAGGAATCTGTTTCTTTTTCCTGCATTCCTTCTTGATATCCTGAACCGTCTGCTCATCGTGTAAAACATAAGGACACTGGTCCTTACAACACTTTAACATTTTATCCGTAGTAATCTACGAAAAAATAAATTTACTACCTACCTACAATCGTTAGTGTGATTTACCTGTACATAATCGCAAATACTGGCATGTATATCACAAGCGACTTGCTGCAATTTATCTTCTACAGGGTGTTTGTCGTCCCTGTGTTGCGCCACTTCTTGCAGTCTAACTAAAAGCTGCTTGGAGTTCTCCGCATCCTGAATAACACCCGTCGCATGATTAATATCGTTATTGGAGGTGATCGACTCGCCAGCCAAGTTCTTAATAGCATCCTGAGTCTGAACTACGAGCCTATCTAAAGCCTGCTGTTTGGAGGTGAGGAGAAAACCAGGTTGAAGTGGGAACGATTTTAACCGTTGTTGCTTATAAGAGATGTTACGATTTAATAGATCCTGAATTTTTCTCATAAGCACGTCCGTCCTCTCCGCGTTGGCCTTCATGCAAGGGGTTATGTCGAAAATAGGAAACGGCATGTATTGCACCGTCCTGTTGCTCTCCAGGGCGTAAGCTATGTCATTGTACCCCTGTAACGTTATATTGTTCCTATCGTAAATGATTGTTTTGAGTTTATTATTAATCTGTAGAGCTTTCGCTAACAATCTAGCACCGGAATCACCTATTAAATTGCCGCTTATGTCTAACGTTTCTAATGACTTGTTGTCCCCCAGGGCATTCAGCAAGTTGAACATGTCCGTGCGCAGCCGGCAGTCGGGGATTATGAGCGACTGCAAGAGACACTCGTCGTCTTGCACGATCTGGACCACGGCGTCCATTATTAGGGACATGTGCTTCTTCATGCTTCGACCCATGTTTAAATGTTTCAACGACTTATTTTTACTTATTGCTATCACTACGTTGCTCAAGTCTGAGTCCATGTCTGAAACGGAAACAATTTAGTCATTCGAAAATTTGAGGGAACGTTAACTCACTATTCTCAGATATATCTAGACTAGAAATACATCGAACGCCGTGCACACACGACTCCAAGACGTGCGCGCCCTGGCTTCCCAGTCCACAGTTACTTATGTCTAGGATCATTTCTTTGGTAAATTCATTGCAAGCCAGTCCTAACAATAAATTTCTAAAAACAAACGGGGAGTTATTTTAATAAAAGTATTTCTCATGGGGGTAACCACACGACCAAAAAATGTACATGTATCGCAGAAATTCCATGATTTCAAGATGTCCCCCCCAATCTTTACGATTGCCAGCGAATGATTCAAACTGATTACAAATAATGTTTTTTGTTTCATTTTCTATATCTACAGGGTCGGAAAGTCCCCATGGTTCATCGACCGTTACGTGAGAGCGATAAAGAAAATCATAGAAATCCGTGCGATGGAGAAAGATTGCTATAATGAAGGCATCTAATAGTCACCGCCCATTTCGCCCTTCCACAAATAAGATCCGGATCGTATCCTTATCTTTCTCCATCGCACGGATTTCTATGACTTTCTTTAACGCTCTCACGTAACGGCCGATGAACCATGGGGACTTTCCGACTCTGTATATCTAAATTGAACTGGTTTCAAGAAAACTGCAGTTTATTTTGTAAATAGTTAGATGTTTTACAGGATTTAAAAGAATTTATTAAGTATCAAATCAATTTGAACAAACGTCAAAATATTTTTGCACACAATTTAATCAAAAAACCTATTAATAATCGTATTAAATCAATTTTACTTTTTTTTACAATAAAAGTACAATTTTCTCGGAAACAGTTTGAATCCGATCACAGTATATCTGAACTTTTATGTGCTCAATACAGCGTGTTCAGTTGATCCTGAACACCCTTGTAAAGTTAGTCTAAACTGCATGATTTCAAGGATTTCTTTTCATATAGAACCCCTCCTCGGTACTTAGTAAACTTATTACGATGGCTAGATATAAAAAAAAACTATAAATCCATTTAAATTAAACGATTTGTTATTGTGGAGAAGATGTAGGCGGTTTCTTTTTAAAGCCATGGGATTGAAGGCAATTTCTGCCCGATTGTGACCGACGTCCTGCTAAAATGCACATGTATTGCGGAGGGTGGTTACCTCGTTACCGCCACTACGCCATCCACGAATTTTATACTTACTTCAGTGCTTCTTGAGGTAATTTACAGTGAGACATGTTAAGATACTTAAGATTAAGGGTTGTACTAAAAAACTGCTTAAATGATATGGGCGCCTCTTTGCTCTTCTTACTACTAAACGGATTCCTAGAGATATTTAAGTGAACTAAATTTGTCGTACAGCCTCTAACTAAAGCACCGAAAAGCTAAAAAAAAAAAGAGAAACGGCAATTACTTCCCCACAAGCGCGTATCGCTTACTCACGTTTTCAAGGATGACATCAGTTGAAGAAATATCAACGTGTTGCAGAGCATTTGGTTGAGCCAAGAAGTTGTGGAAGTGCTGAAACGGAAGAATAAATAAGATTACGGAATTAACGTAACGCATTAAAAACTTACACTAATATCGTCTTTAAGATTATTTCCACTCAAGTTGAGGTAGGTTAGAGTGGTCGATGAACTAGAATTATTACAGAGGGCACTAAACAGATTGTTAACGCCCTTCGAACTCAACCCACAATGCGCCAAATTTATGTGGACCAATCCTTTATTGAGCTTTGGAATACAGTTCCCCAAGTATGTAGCACCTGAAACGTGTATGGACGTCAAATAGTTTGAATAAAAGTCGTACGAATGTATACATTACCTTTATCTTCGATGGGATTATGCGACAAATCGATGGTATGTAAAGCTGTAGCGAGGTTTAGTTTTAGAACATTTGATAGCTTATTTACAAAATCCGCTTTAAGACCTAGATTATCCAGGTAAATTTCTTCTAAATTCAGGGACTTCCTCAACACGTGTAAGATCCTATCTATGTTGTCGTGGGAGAGCTTTACCTGATTGGCACGCAGTTTCGTAAACCAAGTGTTATATTCTAGAGCACTTATTATCGGTATCAGATCCCTGAAAAGCATTTACGATGTTATATCAGCTGCTTGTGCTTCAGTATTCTCCAACACACTTACTTTTGATCCAAGTATTCAAAGTCTTTAAGGCTCAGTTCTCTCGTGTTTAACGCTACATATATATTATCCACATCCCAAGCTACCTCTTCACGATACGTCATTCCATGAAAATCACACATGCAGGCGTACTGGGTCGAAAAGCCCCCACATGGTCCTACTTCTCTTCTACTGCTTGCTATGGCTTCTAAGTCTCTTAATTGTTGCAATCTAGTATTTGGTATAACTTCAATCTAGAAATAATGTATAAAAGTCTCTGGATTTACGCAAGTGATCGCAAAACATACTTTTCTTATGATGTGCTGTAGTGGGACAGTGGGGAAAATGTTTCTAATAGCGTTATTCAGAGCAGAAATCATATTATCCACTTCGGTACTACATGTAGAGTCCTCCCCTACCAAGAACGAGTAAACCTTATCGTTTACCGTGAGACTTAGTTGATTGCCCCTTTTGCTCTCTAACGCTTGTATTTCCAAGTAATGAAAATGGCAATCGATCTGCAAAGGTCACAATTTTTACGAGATATTTAAAATGTCCAGTTGCAATTACTTACTTTTGTTGGCACCTTTGCAGTGAGCAGTAATATTCGACATGGTGAAAACACCTATAGATTGAAAAAACAAATGTTTTAATTTTTGCAATTATGACAATCATACGATATTTTTTTATGACTGTTAGGATGTTTTAATAAAATCCAATTCAGATTATTCATTTTATTTTCAAATATACATATTTTTTATAAAATTAAACGTTTTACATATTACTTTGATACATAATTACTTCGTTTAAAATTAAAGTTATTGGTCGTTCAATTTACAAATATCTTCGTATTCTACACCACATAATTTCCGTCCTTTTAACACTCCCGATGCTATTTCAATGTCCACACAGAAATTCCTCTCATCCAAAGATAATAAAGTTGCTATTTCACCCCTATAAGCACCGTTCACAACTTTCACTAACTTGCCTATAGCTGGGATAACGGTCTCTAAATGTTCTTGATCTATTTTCAGTTTTTTACCACTCTCGAATAATTTGACTATAGCGACATATTTTCCAATAACTTCACGAATCACACCTTTTTGTTTATAAAAATCTTCTCCTAAGCTTTTTGTCATAACTTTTACGATAATATCTTCAGTAATCCAGTAATCTTTACGGTTTTTCTTTTCTCTCTCTATCTCTTCCTGTTCCTTTATTTCATCAAGAGCAGTTTTCTTCTTGTTTTCAGCCTTGCTTCTTTTAACGTCGCCATTTTTACTCGGTTCCGCTGGTCTTTTAAAAATCTTTTCTGCAACGACTGGAACAGAAGTCTTACTATTTTTTAGTTTTATATCCAATTTTAAAGTCTCCTCCTCATTCTCTCTAATTAATTCTGAATAGACTGGCTCAACAGACGGGCCAGCCTTTTCTTTATCAAGTTTAGCTTGTTTTTCAATAAATTCCATTCGTTTTTCTTCATCGTTTTTATCCATTTTAAGTTTCTTCTTTTTCTTTTCTTCGCGTTCCACAGTTTCTGGTGATCTGTCGATATATGTGATAAACCACCCCTTTTCTGTCTCATCCACAATAGCTTGCCCAGTTCTACCTAGCCATTTCACAAACCCTGTTAATGTAACCCATCTAGTACCATTCATATGTATGTGATCGCGATCGTGGATGTATTCCTGGTAAACTCTATTTGCATTCACCCTTTTAGTGCCAAATTGTCGCCTCAAAATTTCCATGTAGCCCTTTGCAAATTGAAACGAGAAATCATCGATATACCTTTTTGAATTGTCCGCAAATAAAAGCAGTTGTCGTTGATGGGATTCAGACATTGTGTGGCATTTAAATCCATTTTCATCTCTACACTGTTTTTGACACATTTGGCAATACCATCTCAATTTCTGAAGACCTTTTGCCTTCATTTTATTGGAGAGGTATTTTGGGGTTCCAACTTCTGCTTTCCCCATTTTGTTATCTATATATTATTACTGTTCACAAGAAAATCGTTTACTTTAAAATTAACCCTTAATAATTGTGATTGATAACAAAAACATCACAAACAGAAACCAATTATTTGACATTGATAAACAGATATGACTGAAGTTAGTTGTTAGCTCCTCCCGATTGGGAGGATCTAATACCAACATATTAATTTAAAATATTTCTATATGGCGGAACATTTAAAATCGTTATACGTGACAGAAAAATACATTGCCAGCAATTATGCATCTCGTGCCTCTTTATATATCTTAAATAGCTATATCACAGGTAATTCCTACTTACCAGAACCCTATTTTCAGTCTTGTCCCCTTTTGTTTCCAGGCGAACCACATTTTTGAAGAGTATTTTTACTTTATTTCCAACAGAGGATTTAATACTATCTGTTAACAAAACAAAAAAACTAATAAAACATATTTCGTTATGAGACAAACTAGAAAATTACAAAAATAGACATACCCAACAAGACATATTTATTTCTGTAAATATCATTATCAGAATTTGCCTTATATTTTAAAGATTCTCCAAATAAGAAAAAATTAATATGCAGTGTTACACTAAAATCAAAGTACAAAACTAAAAAATTACGATAGTTAAGAAATGATTAGGACATTAAAGTTTTTGTTAAAATTATAAGAACTGAAATTAGTATTAAGAAAACTTAATAGTTTTCCACATGAAAAAATATTCAACAGAAATATAGATAAAGAAACAAAAATTTTAGTTTGCAAAACTTAATTATTTCTGGTTAAAATAAATAGTTTTCAATTCATATTATTAAAAAATTATTGCAATTTTAGGGTCAGTGGGTCACTTCCATGTACTACTGACCATTCAATTAATTTGTTAATAATTAATTCAGAGAAAACAAATGGTTTCAAATTAATTTGAAACACATGAATCATAGATGTGTGACTAATTCCAGTGAACTACTATGCAATACATTTCTCATTTTTTAGTTTTTCACGGTCAAAAAATATAAACAGTAGTATTGCAAAATAATTTGTCATCGATATTTTGACACTCCCCTTTGAATGAACGGAACTGTAAACATAGTATTTTTATTTTCTCTGTAACAAAAAAATGCACTCACCATTTAAATCCTTTGTAAGTTGTGATCGGGTAGACATAATTTAAACAAATAAAACACAAATACCTCATTTAATAAGTGTTATTATTAATCATTTTACTTAAATCCCAAACAAAAAAGGGGACTTATTTAGCTGTCACTGTCATTTTCGGGTTATTAGGGTGGTGGTGTTAGTGAATTTTTGTGGATTTTGCAAATATCACCATTACATGAAATCCCTAAAAATGGTCGAACTTTACATTATAACTAATCAAGAAGCAATTGGCTATACTGATGATTATGAAAGTAATTTTTAGATTCCATCATTGGCTATACTGGCTTCCATTGAACGTAATTTTCAGGAGAAGAAGATGAAGAAAAATTATGTCGAGTAGATAAAACCTACTATAAAATTAACTTTTGCAGTGAAAATGTCATTCATTAATGTTTTTGATCATTTACACTATCCTAATATTCAATAACTTATCTTCTTTCTTATGTGATTAATTATGTCATTTGTAGTGCTGTTTTCTGTTAGAAGATTAAGTATAAGACGTAAGTATTTTTTATATTTGTAAAATTTCGTTAAGAATTATGTACATAACCTAAGTTATATAAAATAATTGCAATTAAAATATACTAAACTGTAAACCTATATCAATACAATTGTTCGAATTAGGAATCTCTTTACAGAATTTGGAAATTAATAGTTCAAAATTGGGAAAAATTTTCTTTGCAATTAAAGATGGAAAACACTTATAGTGATTTTGTAAAAAATATCCAAGAATCGTTGAAGCAAGGGAACACAGAGTATGCCTTAGAAGCCTTCAGAGACAACAAATACAGTGCCGAAATACAAAATAATTCTTGGGATTTGGTACCTGTCATTTGTGAATTTTTAACAGCAAGTCATAAGGAACAAAATTCAGACGTGTTCAAATGCTGTGAACAACTAATCAACGTAGTTGCAGACAACTCTAATCCGGAAGAAGCCTTGCTTCAATTTATAGAAGAAATAGAGGAATCCACCGATGATACAAAATTTTTAATGTTGTTAACGCCTATTCAAAAAATTATATTTCGAATTCCAAAAAAGCGTTTGAACTCTCTAGCATGGTGTTTAAATGCAATACAAACTTATATAAACAAATGTGAGGTGCCAGAAGATGTTAATTTGGTTGGCAAGGAGAAACTTCTTTTGGATAATAATGAGGATACTCAGAGAATTGTGAAGTTATATTCAGAGCTATTAGTATTTTATGACGGATTCCTTAATGAATTGGAAACAGAATCTGCAGATGTGCATGAACGTAGTAAAATTATTTGTAAATTCTTGGTACAACTTCTTGGAAAACCCCTGGTGTATTTAGACATGGAAATTTTTGATGGAGTCAAAAGTAAAGCGAGACTTATAGCTGAGAACCTAGTAGTGAAAATTTTTAAAGTTGTTAGTAATCCTCTTGTATTAATTGAAATGCGTTTTGATTTAGAAAATACTGCTCTTATAAAGCCTAATACTCTAGGGATAGCGGTGTTGTTTTATCTAGTCTACTCGCAAGAAATTTTGATCGAAATTGTTCCGAAAGTCTATTGCCCCATATATTTTTTCCAAAACTGTCTACACCTTGTAACTTCATTGTTAGAAATAAATCAACAAATGTGCACTGAAAAAGGCCTTGCTCTAGCGCTAGCTCTAATGCAGCGTATAAAGTTTATAAAACTTTCCTATTTATTGCTGGACTCCGAAGATCACTATAACTTTTGTATGGCTTTAACTAAAATCATTATCTACAATCAAGTTGATATTATAAGAAAATCAGCTCTGAACATTTACCAGATTTATATAAATTCATTTGAAATACGCGGATTTTACTTACTAATCTACAACTTAATTTCAACTTTAGATCATTCGGGCCTAATAGGATTTACAATAACTCAGTATAAAGATCGATTGGCACAAGAGTTTTCGAAAAACGAACGGAACATGTCCGAGTACTTTAAAGGATCAAAATTACTGAAATTGCTAAGAAGATGCTGTTACTTACACAAAAACGAAGAGAGCGATTTAATTGAGCTCTCCGATCAAATAATGGCTACTCTAAATTTACTGCGATACTTGGCCCTGCGAGACAAAAATAATACCACCCAAATCTGGAATTATTTCGATTTCTTGGACGGTATATATTTCAAACCTCTAAGGAAAGGAATAGACTTGTCCCGGGCGCATTATGAATTGAAAATTAAGGAACTTCAAGAAGAGTCAGCTCTAAGAGGCGTTTCTGAAACTTCCGTCACGGTCGGTGGGCAACGCTTGTTGGAAATGCCGAAGAATGAGAAATTAAAAGTGCTTTATTCGTCATTGACAGCTTTTGATATAATGGACAGTATTCTTAGTAGACTTATAGAATGTATCGAGGCACGGAAGTGATCATTTTAATATAAATTTATTTCTTCTTTAAATATTATGCGTTTTTATTGTTAAAATTAATGAAGAATAGTCGGTGTGCCTAATAATCTTTTATAAACTGATATTTGCTTATTAAAAATATAATATTCCTTTCTTAATATGCAGTAATGCAAAAATAAAAAATTTTTAGATAAGTAAATCATATACCACTTTTATGTAAATAAAATTATCAAGTCATGTTAATTAGTGGTGGAACTGCATTTCTAGAGTTAATCTTTTTTAAATGTAAATTCTCAGACTCAGTGCTGCAACCTGACCTTTTGATTATTTCGTGTAAAAATAAATGTTAATCTGTAATATTTTGAAGTTATTAAAATATGCAAAGGTGTAATTATTATGAAGATTAATAATTCCAAAAAGTTGACAATTTATTTAAAATTATACAAATTTTTTTTCTAATTTATGAATTATGAAAAAAGCCACAATTCTGTCAGTTGCAATTTAGATTTAAGACAACGAAAAACTTAATTGACCCATAATACTCGTATGTCTTACCGAAAATATAAATAACTTTGCGACGTCTGAATAATCAAGACGCAGACATCTCGGTCTCTTGATACTCGACGAATCATACAGTATAGAAGCAGAGAGAGCGTCCTCTGAAAAATTATTTGGAAGTGGTCTGTTGTAGGTGCCTGCGGTTTGAGGACGACGTGCAGATTTAGTTCTACGAACAGTACCACGCAACAAGCGAATGGAGAAAGCTACGAAGATGATATAAAGAACAAAATTTTAGCGGCATCTTTGCCTTTCGTCACAGAGCTGGGATGGTCTAAGGAAGCGATAACAGCCGGTGCCAAATCGGTGGGCTACCCTGGCATCACACACGGGATGTTCTCCAGAGGAGGGGCAGACCTAGTGCAATATTTTCAGAGTAGTTCTAATTTGAAGCTGGTTGAATTATTGAAACAGGTGAGGGAATTATAAACACTAATGATTTCTCAAAAGAATTTAAGATGAATTATTATTATTCATTTATTTATGTAGCTAACAATTTTTAAAGTAATCTCGTGTAATTTTTATAAACAGCTTATGACAAATAATAATTGCAATTAAGATTAATTATATTTAATTAAATTTATCTTTTTTAATTTACAAAAACACGTTTAAGGTTATTAAGTATTCGAAATTTATTGAATTTATTTGAATTTTGCAATGACTGCAAAAAATATATGACACTTTTTTATTTGATTATGCAATTCCGCCACCTGAAAATCAAGAACTTGACTTTATGAACTTACTAAATATGATAAGTTCATGACGAATTCTTTTCAGTTTTTCCTCAATTTCAGTTTCAAAATGGTCAGCAAGAGAAACCTCTGCCTCCAGGAGAATTTGCGGAGAAAGCGATTCAAGCGCGGATAAAAATGATCGTCCCTTACCTTAGTAAATGGCCTCAGGCAATCGCCATTATGACGCTACCTCCGAACGTTCCTAGTGCTCTGGCCACCCTCTTAACGATGGTAGACGATATTTGTTACTACGCCGGAGATAGATCAGTCGATGTAAATATACTTGAAGATTTTGAATAGTGCGGTATTTTTTGGATCGTTTCGTTTCGTTTCAGTTTAACTGGTACATTAGGAGGATTGGGATAGCGGCAGTATATAAAGCGACCGAACTGTATATAATACAAGACAAGTCGGAGAATTTCGAAGAAACTTGGACATTTTTAAACAGACGTTTGGAGGAGGCCGTTCAGTTGCACGACATCCTCATCAAATCTGACGTTAAAAGTCACACCGCCAAAGAAACTGCACAAGCTGTGTTTGTTACGGTAAAATATCTCATTGTTTGTCGTTGGAACCTTCTAATATGATTTATTTTTAGGCACGTAATATTCTAGGACTGAACTGGAATAGGTAGTATTGCAGTTACATCGCAGTATAACTTTTTTACCAAAAATTACATAAGAACTATTAAATATATTAAATGTCCTACATGTAAATATGCTTGTTTGTAATTAAAACGGCTTTGATAAAAGCTGCCTTAATAAATATTTTATTTCACAACGTATGCGTATAAAAAAATTTCTAGACCAATGCACTTTTAAGTGCTAAACGTTCCTCCGAAGTTAATTCCTGTCTGAAATTGGCTGCGGGAAAAACCTCTCAAAAGTTAACATTCTTTCCTTTCACTATGGTACGTATGGTGGTTTGTCTCGAGCGTAGACGCAACGGTTTGTCATTATTCATTGTAAACGAATCTTAATATTGAATCAAAGCATCACTGAACCTTGACGAGGGAAAGCTGAATTAAATGAATGGCGACAGGTTAATTCTACATAAAACTAAATATTTTATTTGTATCACAAATTTATATTTATACACATTTTTTTAAAAAATAGGCAAAGTGAAATTATTCATAATTTTAAAGGAGACAAAGCAAAACGCGCGTATATAAAACGAGACTAACAGTAAGTCCTACTAAATGGATGATTACAAACAATGCAAATAAAAGTATGTTCAGTCAAAAATATAAATAACACTTAATATTAAATCAATATCAAAATAATTATTTAGTACTTTTCGGGTGAAAATTATTTTTATATTGCTTTGCTTTTTTATATCTACACTAACATAATAATATACAGGGGGTATAGAAATTGAGGAGCGAATTCTGGAACGTGAAAAATAAATAACGAATAAAAGGTTAAATGCTCGACAAGATTTCTCCTATACAAACAAAAATTATTGCACATTCATAACTACTCATTTTAGTACGTTAGGAAAGTTTTACTTCATTCCATACACATAGACCTAAGAGAAATTTAGAAGAAACTAGCGATCGGGTCGTCAAATCAAATTATCAGGGTCTTTGTTACAGATCATTTTCAAATTAAAAAACATAAACTGTAAAACATAAAACAAGAAATCTTAAGGCACTCATATTATTTAAAAGGCATGAACGGAATTTTGTAGCGTTTGTCTTTAGAAATACCGGATGTTCTTTAAATTTTAGTTTTCGTTTGAACGCTATATAAAAAATGCCGTGGAAATAATTTGGGGAAACCGTTATGGATAAGCTAACTAATAATGATTACAATGTTGAAAATTTTGGACATTTTTTAGGCAGATCCGGGCTTATTAATAGGTTACGTTTTGAAAAATTTGCTTACACTATTAAGTTATACATTAAAAGGAAAATTTCAACTTAAAAAGCAATATTTTGAATATACAAATACACTTTTTTAAGAGAAAATGTGTTTCGAAAGATTAAAACGTGGGGAATATTTTAAATCTTTTTAACTATTCATTTCGTTAGTCTCCTCGAAAGCAGTAAACAGTTTTTTAAGAAATAGTACTCAATATATTTAGAAATTTGCTAAAATCATTTATTTGGTATAGTCTTTCTGATCTCAATTGAAGAACCAAGAGGTTGGCAGGTTGGCAAACGCGGCACAAACACAGCCGCACTGAGCAACCTGGCCATAAATTAGCAAAAATAGCAGTGCAGTGCAGCAATGCGGATTTTGGAGCAGTTAGGAAGTATAAAAATATAAAATGCGCATATCATGACAGTATCTATCTACTTCTTTCCCTTAAAAAATGGTAATAAAACTGAATGCTTTCGTTATAATATACAAATTTAATATTTCACATAAAAAAAATTAAGAGCATAGCTCGGACCGGCTAAAACTTAAAAATTCCCAAAAATAAAAACATAAAAAAACTTAGTACTAAATAATTATTACGTTCCATGAAATTCAGAAATACGAACCGTCTTCTTTGATATAAACGAGTAGCGACCGAGGTAGCGGCAACTTTTCCGTGTCGTTTATGCTGATGCACTGTCGAATAACGAACCGAGAGAGATGCTTCAGTGACGCCACCTTGTCATACCTCGAGACTGGCAAGGTAAGTCTTACGGGGTAATTGGGGCTTATTTCGTCCGTGGACTTAGTGTAACAGTACACTCCGTTCTTGGATTTCGTCAAGGCGTCGTTTACGAGTTCCGCCACGCTATGATAGCCCCCCTGATTGAAGAGGCTGTACCCGTTCTTATTCAATTCGATTCTGGTGTGGAGAGTTCTGCCAACGCTTCTGAAGCTCATCGTGAAGATATATCTGGGGGAGAAATTAATGAACGATTTTACAATTTAAGTAATTGCTTTGTTACTTGTCGGATGATGAGTCTCTGATGAGGAAGGCTCCGTCGGGGAAGTTTCTCAACCTGTCCTCTGCCTGCATTCTTGAAATCGGCCCCCAGTACCAATAACAATTCGAAAGACTAACGACTTCTACTTTAGGGACCCGACCATTTTGTATTTCAGACAATTGAGGGAAATTCCTTCTTGATTCTCTTCTAGGGGTTAGCAGAGGGCCTTCTGCAGATATCGGACTCTCGTAGCTATTCGAATACTGAAAAAATTATAAATAAATCCATGAAATTCAAAGATGTATACTTTAATTCACACCAAACTTTGATCGTTAATTACTCTGGGAGGAATTTCAAAAATTGGTTCTTCTGCAATAGATTCCTTTTTTATTGGCTCTATGCTATATATATTTTCTACATGTGTCGTTGGTGAGCTAAGTGTAACCTACAAAAGAATAAGCTTAGTATAATTACAAATCCTACTAGGTCAAATTAAAAATTATTTCTCTATCTGTTCCTGTCTAAATAGCAAATAATATTGCACTGCTTAAATAAATGGCTGAAGATGAATCTAACAGCAACAATGAAATTTTTTTCAAGTAAAAGGGTTCAAACAGTAGCTTTAAATGGTTCAAAATAAAAAAATATTTTGAAATCAGTTGCAATTTTAAACAAAGCTAGTTAATTCATTTATTTCCGTATTAAGAGATAGGTGGTGATATTCTAGTGATTGTATTACTCATGTTTCCCCTACCTCCTCATTATCTTATCATTTGTGTTTCCTATGAATATTAGTTTGTGTAATAACAATGACAACACAAATGACATGAATATTCATATATATTTCCGGATAATCTGATAATAAAAGCACAATTAGATATTTAATTTGTGTTATTTTAGATTACATATTTTATTAATATTATATCAATTTAACGTCTTCATATTGCTATGAAAAATATATACTTATTAAATAAAGTACATACCCGAGATTGAGAACTGGCTGAAGAGGCTGAAATGTGAATGGTATGCCTAGAGCTTGGAGGGACATTGTTATTCATAAATACATTTTTTACTCTAGCCTGCATTTTTCTTAAACTTTTCCTAAAACTGTTACGAGTCCTAGAGCAAGTTGTAGTATCACTATCAGCAGGTGGTCTGCGAAACACCACTGTTGTAAAATCATCATCGACAGGGTCTCCAGGGTTTCTTCTTATACTTAGTTGTCTCAAACGGTTCATCCAGTTTTTAGTTTTATGAGTATTTGGGTTCGTCATTTTTTTTCTTATTACTGAGGTATTACTTTATTACCACAGTCGCTCTTAAATCATCTATCACTTTGTGAGAACTCTATATATGATAACAACACTCTCATATTAACAAGGAAGTAAGTTATTAGTGTTTATAATAATTACTGCTCGATTGCACATTAAAAATTACGGAATTTATACCAACCAAATACCAATTACACTACTTTTTTTAGTATTTTCTACAAAAGATAACCGATATACCCACAATACAAGGGAAATTTTGACATACCAAATTTGACGTCTATTAAAATCACTGCAACAAAAATGTATCTACCATTGTACCAATACAGAAGAAGAAGATTAGATAACTCCAGAAGTATTTAGGGAAATCCCAGGGTTACTGTTGGTAGCACTGTAAAGTGACAATGACGGGAGTCCTGTCATTTCATGTTTTGTAAACTATTTGTTTCTACGACATTTTTTGGTGACCAAAGTTTCTTTTTTTGTTGATTTTACTATGAAAACTTACTAAAACACCTAATATTTTGAACATTTTCTCATGACTACTAACAAATATGGAATTACAAGCCCAGGAATATCTGAAACAAAAAAACTGGATCCAAGCAATAGACTTATACAACAAACTCTTGTCAAATAAGCAAAATACACTTGAACAAGTTATTTCCTATCTTACAGACAGAGCCGAGTGTTTTATGGAAATTAACAACTATCAGGCTGTAATAGCCGATTCAAAAAATGTCATAAAATTGGTCCAGGACCACAATAATCATAATGTATGCCTGGCCAGAAAAAGACTCATTCATTGTTTGTGTCTATTGAAAAGATTTGCTGGTAAATTCTTATCTTTTGTCTTATTTAATGCTGCATGCCTATCAAAACACTATAAGCTCAATGAAACAAAAAAATGTATATGTATTGATAATATTTCAATTTGCTAACATTCAGTTTTTTAAATTTTAGAGGCAGATATCATGGCTAGAGACTGGTTAATATATTTACAAGAATCAGATAATAATAAAGAAGTTAGACCTCTTCTTGAAGGCATATTGGGAAGCTTTATAAATTGTACAAATTCCAAACAAAAATCTGTTAGTTTACTAAAGATATTAGAAACAAATTTTACTAGTAACCCCAACACATCCATGAAGGTAACAGACATTTTTCTTATTTTGGGTAATACAGGCAGAGTTTTAGAAAAAAGACGTCTTGAATTCAACATATTGTCCAGAGACTTAATTATAGTGAAATGCGGATAAATTTAATAAAGCTGCTCATTTGACAAATGAAGAATTTTTTTAGAGTAATTTTTTTAAAACAAAATCCTACTCAAAATAAAAAAACTCAATAAAAATTTTAAAATGTTTTAAAACTTGGGTTAATAGTTCAGCAAAGAACAAAAGAACCAAGATTAATAAACGCACTGTAGGCATTTATATGATAAAATGATAATGTAGTGGTGGTGCATTTTGCAATAGGAAATAATCAAATGAATAGAGTTAAACTCCATAACAGCAATATCGAATTACATACCATTAGTATTTAATAACAGAAGTATTTAAATATTTTTAAATCAAACAAAGGCTTGAAATTTTGCTTATTCGTATAAGCAAATGAGAGTCAATGAGAATTTATAACCTCTTCATTTTCATAAGGCAGCAACAAAGTATTTAATAAGTAAGTAATTTTTATTACCCTTCCATATTTAATTTGTGCTTTTCCAGAACAAAAAAAATGAATGTGGGGTTTTACTATTTTCACCAACATTTTTACCAAATCTTATCTTTATACCAAATTCTTAAATTTTTAAATTATGCAAGCAATATTTTAAGAAAATTTCAATTTAGAGGGTGTTCAGATTTGATTTGGAACACCCCTATCTAATTTTGATGAGTCCTACAATTTCGATGATTATTTTTTATATATGTTCAGCATCTACAGAACCAAGGTGATGATGCCAATCATATTAGGGACTATTTTATGAAAAAGCTGACACCATAGCAGCACCTTTCCTTTCATTCATTTATAGCTCTGTAAATCCTTTTTTCTAACGGTAAATTTTTGTTTCTTTTAAACAATTTAGTATGCCTTGAAAGTTGTTGAGAACGGTAAAGTACCTTGAGAAAGGTTTTAGAACTTGATAGCTAAAATAAAATTAAAAACAACTACTTTGTTTTATAATTTTAATATTAAGATCAATATAAGACAAAGCAGGGGTATTCTTTATATTTTATTTTTTTGTTACATGACTGTCAAGTAATTTTAAGGTGTACAAACTTTTTTAGGGAAGCAAAAGTATGCATTATTTCAAAATTTTAGACATCATAGTCAGCTTCCCCATAAGAAAAAATCTCCATTATGATTTCCGGGAAAACCACCCTCCCAAACACCTTTTATATCCTTAAAATGATTAGTAGCATCTGTTTTTGCAGATGGAAATTCATACGTGCATCTACTGCAATGTCTCGTTCCTGGAGAGGTGGGATTTACGCGACCACTGCCAAACGGAAGCACACGAAATGATGGTCATGTCCGACGAAGGACATGACTGGTTCTGGCGCCCTCCACCTCGCGGATTCAAATCGGACACTTACATGCTCTGTGAAAATTGGAAAGAGACGGGCAGCTGTCGATTTGGTATACAATGTGTACAGGCCCATGGAGCAGATGAACTTATAGAATGGAAGGAGAGGTTCCGATACAGAGAAATGAAGCTGCAGAGGGCAAGAGAAAAAGAACTCTTTGGTAAACTTTTTATCATCTATAAATTATGTTTTATATAAAGTATATATATTTACTATTATTCTTCCAGGTAAATCTTATACGGAAGAATTGCTAGATAAGTGGGTTCAGTCTGCCAACCCAAACACTTTGATGCGGGACAAGATAGAAGACGTAGATGACTTTTGCTCTTGTTCTTTATCGGCAACAGTCTCCTCTAAAAATAGTTTGCACGATTGGACTTTCTACCTGACAACAAAACGACCGTTGAAGGCCGTGGCTTTACTTCAGGACACCCACCGAAATCACTTCTTCATCTCAAGTATTCTAATAAAAAATTGCAAGATCGACCTTAAAAATAATCAAGAATGGATCTCCCCGCTTTTAACCCACGATTCGTTGCTACCTGTCGAATACAGGATAAACGTCGTTTTCACCACTGGCATATTCGGAACTTTCAGACAGTCTGTCGTTTTCGATTTCTCCTCCGAACCAGTACTAGTGAAACATCTATGCGTGGACGTCGTTCCAGATTCTGATCTCGATAAAATCAACGAAATCCGCAAGGAAATCACCGTCTCGATATCCGAAAGGTGGACTATTAACAACTCCGACATTCTCCCTTTTTATTCCAAGTTGATTCACGATACTGCTAACGGCGAATGGGAAAAAAACTTACATTCTATGTACCCCTACCCGCGAGTCGAAACATTTCAACTGTCTCACGCCACAGTCGCCGAGAAGAAGTTCACGAGAAATAACTACAGGGAAAGAATGCACGAGCTGCTGTTTATAGAAGAAATGGCGAGATACGACCTGATCGCACGCTACAATTTAACTACAAAAATGCAAATGACCCACTGCTATATCTTGTCGCCGAACAGCACCGCTTCTAGCACGGCCAAATATTCGAGTAACGGAGAATTATTCGCTTCGGTGAGCTTGGGAAAGGAATTGTCGGAGGACACGTCCGAAGGCAGGCTCATTTTGATGCACTGCAAAACCATTTATTTCTGTCCGACTTCTATGCAGAGCAGGCGGAGGGTGTACCAAGCTCTAATCGAGGACAAAGGCAAAAACATGGTGTACCTGAGGTTATCCTCGCAGACGGTTCAAGAGTTAGGCCTGACGCGCGATTCCGAGCTAGAAGTACAAATACAGTTTCAATTAAATCGGATACCTTACTGCGAATGGCATTACACGTTGGACAAAATGCCTACTTTCAGGACCATCTTCCCTGAAACTTACTTGGAACCGACCATACCTTGGTCGCCTTCCAGACAGTGGAATAAAAATTTAGATCGCAGGTTGAACGTCCGACAGAAAGAAGCCATATTAGCCATCACCACACCCCTGACCATTCAACTACCTCCGATACTGGTCATCGGCCCTTACGGGACAGGGAAAACGTTTACTTTAGCGCAGGCTATCAGGGAGTTGATCAAGGAACCCTCGAATAGGATTCTGTTGTGTACTCATTCGAATAGCGCCGCCGATTTGTATATAAAGGATTACTTGGATCCCTGGGTCGAAGGGGGCGAAGAGAGCGCAAGGCCGATAAGGATCTACTATAAGCAACGTTGGGTCGCCACCGTGCATCCGATAGTGCAAAAGGTAAGGTTAAGGCTTTAGTGGCAAGTATCCGATTAAAAAATGTATAAAAAACAATTTTTGTTGCAGTATTGTCTCATAAAAAACGACGGAAGCACAAGATCCTTCGAAATCCCCTCACTGGAAGACATCGTAAAGCACAAAATAACCGTCGTTACTTTGTCGACGTCCATCTACCTGACGGCCATGGGCATACCTCAAGGGTTCTTTACGCACATCCTTATAGACGAGGCTGCCCAGGCGATAGAGTGCGAAACTATAATGCCACTCACGATGGCCACGGAAAAGACTAGAATAGCACTAGCCGGAGACCACATGCAGCTCGGTCCGACCATATTTTCGACGTTCGCAAAGGACCGCAACCTTCATATATCCCTACTAGAACGACTTTATGACCATTACCCCTCTCCGTATTCGTGCAAAGTTATGTTGTGCGAGAACTATCGAGCACACGAGAGCATAATACAGTTCACCTCGGAATCGTTTTACGAGCAAAAGCTGTTCACACGTCATAAACAGCCTAGACACGCAAAGTTTTACCCTCTCACGTTTTTTACTACCAGAGGCGAGGACGTGCAGGACAAGAATTCGACGGCGTTTTATAACAATTCTGAAGTATACGAGGTCGTAGAACGAGTATTAGAACTGAAGCATAACTGGCCCGAAGACTGGGGAGCTTTCAACGATCAAGCCATCGGCATCGTCACGCCTTATTCCGACCAGGTGTTCAGGATACGATCGGAGCTCAGGAAGAGGCGGATAGATGACGTTTGCGTGGAGAGGGTGCTGAACGTGCAAGGGAAACAATTCCGTGCAATAATACTGTCGACCGTGCGTACAAGAAAGACCTGCAGCAACCAGTCTTCTGTGGGCGAGGTCGAGTATGGGTTCCTGTCAAATTTGAAGCTTCTCAACACGGCGATAACCAGGGCGCAAAGTTTGGTTGCCGTCGTTGGAGATCCCATAGCGCTCTGTTCTGTGGGGCGGTGCAGTAAGGTGTGGGAGCGTTTCATTCAGATCTGCAAGGATAACGAGAGTCTCTTTGGTATCACGTGGACTCAGCTTAAGGTGAGTGAATCGTCACTTATACTATAAAGTCCTAACACTGTGTGTGGGACGTCACTTATAGTCCGATCTATAGGTAGAAGAGATTACAAAAAATACCACCTGGAAACAAAAAATATGGTGATACAGGAAAAAAAATCCTAAGAAAGATAGTGTATTTTTCTTGTGGCGCATAAACGGCGAAGTTTACCTAAAAAATTCATAAAAGTAAACAAAAAACGGTTTTTCGCTAATAAAAAAAATCTTGAACTCCAATCAAAAAAAGTTAAATGAGAAAGTTGTAGCTATTAAAAAAAACTATCCATTCGTATTTTAAATATATCGAAAAAACCGCCAAAAGTCGACTTCTTTGTTTTTGCTGTATCTCTTACAAATTAAGGTTTTGAAACTTGTTACATGCTGTAAATGCAGCCCCCGGCAAGCAAAAAAGTTAATGATTTTATTAATTTCAAGTGTCCGAAGATGGCTTTGAAAAAAGTAAAAATTCTTTGCTCGCGTTTTTCTTGAATATTTTTTTCGATTTTCATTTCTCTATAATGTCTATTACAGGAATCGATTGGTACGCGAATTTAAAATAAAAACGTTGCTCTACGGTCTACTGGAGCCGATATATATATATATTTTTTCAAAATATTCCACAGGCCACTATGTAAGTGCTACAGCGACCATTCTTACAGAGACTGAAGTTGAACACTTATATTTTCGATAAAAAAATTCATTTTAGCCACTTCTGCATTTTTAATTATGCGTCAAACCGAAGCATTCAAGCACGGCGCGAGCTAACTGTAGCAGGCGACAGATTGGGGGTGACGCTACTCGGCCGCTCCGAAAACTGAATTCGCGCACACCGAAATATCACGTTTATGACAGCCTCAAAAGCATAATTACCTTTGAAGAAAAATATCATGTAGCTGCGTCAGCGATTGCGAAAATAAAATCTGTGGTTGTAAAAAAAAATTCTTTAAATGTACAAGTGTTTGTTTACATTGTAATGCATCCCGATGTGAAAATTTTGAGACTCCAAACATGTAATTATACGATGATTCTGACGCAGCTACACGATATATTTTTTTCAAAGGTAATTATGCTTTTGAGGCTGTTGTAAACGTCATATTTTGGTTTATCACCTCGAGCTACTCCAAATTAAGCACAAAAGAATTTTTGTACGTGGTCCAGAGGCCGAGATAATGAATATTTTGAAAGTAAGAGCGGGAATTCAGTTCTCGGAGCAGCCGAGTAGCGTTACCCCTACTCCGTCGCCCGCTACAGTTAACTCGCGCCGTGCTCAACTGCTTCGGTTTGACGCACAATTGAAAATGCAGAAGTGGCTAAAATGAACCACAATATTTTTTATTGAAAATATAAGTCTTCAGTCTCCATAAGAATGATCGCTGTAGCACTTAAATAGTGGCCTGTGGAATTTTTTGAAAAAAAAAATTATCTCGGATCCAGTAGGTCATAGAGTAACGTTTTTTTAAAAAAATTCGCGTAAAAATGCCACCAATCGATTCCTGTAATAGACATTATCGAGAGATGAAAAAGATATTCAAGAAAAACGCGAGCAAAGAATTTTTACTTTTTTCAAAGTCATCTTTGGACAATTGAAATGAATAAAATCGTTATCACCATTTTTTACCATGAAAGTACAACTCTTGAGGGAAAAATGAGCCCCGATTCGTTTCTCTACGACTATTCGTCGAACAAGAAGAGCCGATTTTCGAGTTGACCTTTTTTTCGATAAATCGTTATAACTCGAAAAATTTTTCATATTTTTTAATTTAAAAAAAAGGTACTTCTTTGCTTGCCGAGGGCTACATTTACAGGATGTAACAAGTTTTAAAACCTTAATTTGCAAGAGATACAGCAAAAACAAAAAAGTCGATTTTTGGCTGTTTTTTCAATATATCTGGAAAAGTAACACAGCAAGTGATATATTTAAAATACGAGTCGATAGATTTTTTTAATAGCTACAACATTCTCATTTAACTTTTTTCAATCGGAGTTCAAGCTTTTTTTATATTAGCAAAAAACCGTTTTTTTGACTTTTATGAATATTTTTGTTAATTTATTTTTCTATATCACCATATTTTTTGTTTCCAGGTGGTATATTTTGTAAATTTAACATAAGTCCGTGACAGACTGATTGGACTATTACAGGTTCCAAATACAGGTTGGTGGGTGAAGCAAAATAACGTAACTTAATAAACATCTATACTTATGCATAAAATTGAATAGTTTACAGTTTAATTAATATTGTAATAGTTGCCGAAATAGATAAATTAAGCCAAGTATAATGTACGTGTCGACTTTTGTCATATACGATTAACGACTGACTAAACCGCTAGTAGTGACATCATTAGATGATGACGTCAGCTGTGAGGCTTTACATTTTGGTAAAACATCAAAATGAAATACAGGAATTTTTTGTATTCATCGAATACTTATTTTAAATTCTAACCCCTTACTATTCCTTTACAGTTACAACTGGACGGCATTGAACTGAAGAAAATCTACACACTAAACCCGTTGGCCCCCGAATTTATCCCGAGGAAATACAGGGAAATGGGGATCGTACCGGGGGCCGTCAAAATAGAAACTAGTTTACCGAAAGAAGTTTTCCCTCTACCTGTCCCGATTCACGACTATAGGTTATACCCATCGCTGATCTACCCCCAGCAACCGAGACCGTTCTTGTTCAACATACCACCGGCGGTGCCCAACGTAGTACCAGCAACCGTGGCGCAAATCCCACCTCTCAGTACTGTCCCTCCGCCAGTTCGAGTGGGAAATCCCATAGTCGTCGCGCCAAGACTGATTCCTCCCGTCACGCAAGCGATGCCGTTGCCCAAAAACGGGCAGGTGACCGACACTCCGACTCCGACGAAAGCCATACCACCAAAGCCGGCAGTCGTTCAATCCAACAACAGACTGATACAGTTCCTGAACAACGTGCATTTTCCAGAAGCGAACGTGTTGAACGATTGCGTGAATCTATTACCCCAAAACATGTGCCTGGCGGATATGCTGCTGCAGCCTCCGATTCTGCAGGAAAGGTGGTACAACTACTTAAAAGAGAGCACCGGATACGAGGCCGCGGAAAAATTCAAGTATCTCCTATTCACCACGAACCAAAAAGGTACGAAGGTGTTCGATAAGAGCTTATTCGAGAGATCTACCCCTCAACCATGCGAATCTCCGACTTTCAACTGGTACGACAGTCCGACTAACCAAATAAACTTCAACAAACCGGTGTACATGACGGAGAATATACCGAGCGATTGCAGAAGTCGTTCCCGACAGAACGGATTGGTTTATAAGTGGGACCCGCAGTTCGTGAAAAAGGTCTCGAATAGCGCCCCCAACGGCCTGTCGTCGAACATGACCGAAACCGAACTGCAGAGGCACATAAACGAGGAATTCGCCAACCTGAATGTTGCGGGTAGTGACATAAACGAGGTGTTTGCGGCGCTTACCGTGAAAAGTGAGTCGTTGAGGGTGGGGGCTCAGAAAGTCTCCGGCCCCCGTTTCTACAAATATTTTCACTAGGTCTCGAGACGGCGATTAATTTGTATATTGTAAATAGGACTTGTAAAATGTTCGATTGTCTAGCGTGTAGATTTCATTTTTTTATTATATTTATATGTTGATCTTTATATATTGTACTTATTAATTTAAGATATATTTAAAAAGAAATGGTTCATTATTTATACTTGTGGTTTTATTTTTACCCTTCCAGGTTTATTTATTTAAATTCTTTGTTTAATGTACATAAAAATTATTACACGTCAAAAACGGGAAAAAATAGTCGAATTATATAAAAAATAAAACAGTAAGTATAATAATAGGCAACTTGCGTGATTTTAATTTCTCTTAAGGCTGCATAAATTTCTGGTCCATAACCGACAGCAATGGTGGTAAAAAAGATAAGATTAAATGTATGTTTAAAAATACGTAAAAATTTTATTTTGTTCAAGAATGCATTATGACGTCATTTAGTGCTACCGTATGCGAAGAGCCTTGAAGCAAAGAGAATTTAGCTAGTTCTACTGCACTTTTTCATCCTGTCGGGCTGTCCTGTCCCTGTTGTTCATCTTATCGATTCTCGATCGCACTAAATGACGTCACGAGTTAAGCAGCAAATACTCAAAAACAAATATTTTCCGCACTAAAGTTATATAAGCTGTATTTGTTTTACCACTTGGTTAGTTCAGTTTAGTCAAATTGACCAAACTAGAAGTGACCGCGATTTGAACTAACTAGGTTAAACAAAACACACATCTACTCCATTTTAAACTTTGACTTTTGACGTCTGTTCAATTTCAGTTTAATTAGATTGTTGTTGTCAATCATACTCTTTCCAACATACTTACGATCAATATATCTTCGAATGAATCCATATCCATTATCAACGGCTTATTTTTATTATTTAGATTTATGATTATTATTATTTGTAGATTATGTTTTGTTCGGTTATCTTGTTCACTTACTAACCACGATATTAGGCTAGGTTAGATCTGAAAGGGGGGAACTGATTTTGGTTTGTTCACTTGTTTAAAAAAAAAAAATCGAACTTGGTCAGAACTCTAGCCACTAAACATTTTTCAGTTTCTGACATGTTTCAGAAACGTTTCCATTTTTCTTGAAACGTTTCATAAAAAACCCATGCAACGTTCTGGTAACGTTCTAGAAGTCCAAGATGTCCTCCCCAAAATACGTTTCCAATGAAACGTTTCAAAAAATTGGTTTCAGTAACATTCTTTTTATGTTCCATTTATGCCCTCGATATTTTTGTTTTACGTTTCAGTATATTTTCAGAAATGTTTGAGTAACATAATAATTTTATTACCATATTGTTCTCATAATGCTCTCAACTTTAGATCATTTTCATTTCAAAAGCGTTTTTGAAATAGTATAAATAGTGTGAGTATTTTTTTAAATATCTCTAATACTCCTTTGTGATATTTTTATTTGTATTGTGAATGACTTAATTCGAACTAAAAAAAGTTACATTGTATATTAAAAAAAATAAATATGCTCTTCTAGTTTGGGGATGCGGCAACTTTTACTAAGAATTTCTTTCTTTTTGAGAAGCCACTGAAAAAAGTTTCTAATATGGATTACGAATTTTGCCATTCATCGTACAAATAAAAATATCACAAAACAATATCAGAAGCATTAAAAAAAAGCTACACATTTTATATAGTTCAAATACGCTTCTGAAATGGAAATTTTCTAATGTTGAGACCTTCATGAATATGGTAACAATGACGAACTGATAATTAGAAAAAGTTAGTTATGATTATGAATCTTAAAATGGTAGGTACATGAAAAACAAATAACATTACTGAAAAATAATATAAAGTTATAATTTCTTCTACGCATGGTCAATATTACATATATCCTTTTAATAATAATAAATTATACAGCAGAAATAAGGATACAAAATGATATCTTGACAAAGTAAATATCTGTAGGTATACCTAAACTCTTTTATTTAAGCATGCCTATACACATAAACAAATATAAACATTTGTACAAAATATAAAATAAATGACGTCTATTTCACTTGATTCATCCATATTTCAAATAGTTCTCACTGACTAAGTAGTTGCTCTTCAAATTATATCGAAACGTATAGTTGTTGTTCCATTTTCTTAGTTCTTGTCCCTTGTCCTCTTGTCTGTAATAGGTAGTGGGTATAACTATATTTAGGTAGATGTGACGCAAAATTGGAAATCTCTACACACATATCGTTTTAAACATTTTGCATCAATATTCATTATTTTATATGCACCTTACAATAACCACAACTGCACACACTACAAATTATCACATAAAATAGCGTCAAAGTAAAGATGAATAACAACGAAACCAAGCAAACTGACAAACCGCAAACCTAACCTAACATAATACGAATTGAAACGACACACGGGAAACAAATAAACTCGGGCTGTTACGCGCAGTCTACGCAAGTCACGAACATACATTTTTTCTAGACTTGTGTTATAAATATGCTACCACATTTTTTTTTCTAATTATGTCTTTATATAACAAAGGCAAATGAACTAACGCTTGAGAAGGATTGGGGATTGAGAGCAAAATTTAACTAATGCCGAATGTTCCATAAGATAAGCAAAAATAGCAAAGGGTTGTTCGTCTGTTATGTTTCCGAGATCGAAAGGTAATGTTTCGAGTATTGTTTCAAACTCTCTTCAATTGTAACGTTTCGGCTATATTTCACTAAATAAGTTTTCAAGTGCTACATTTATGTAATGAAACAGAAACGTTTCTAGTTAATGTTTCAAATGTTTAGTAAAACATCTCATTTGCAACGTTTCATTTACGTTTCGTGTTTAGGGGGTACTGAAAGTGAACCAAAGTGACCAAGTGTGTAAAACAAATACAGCTATTATTAATTGACAAATTGACAACATCGAAGATATACAAATAAGGTTATAGATTTTTTCCAGACATTTAAAAAGTTGAACATATATTTGTGCCTAATACATTTTATTAAAAATCAAGTGATAGATAATAAACTATCATTATTTTCTTTTTAGCTATACCTCTTAAATTATAAATTGATACCAACATTTTATTTTTCAAACATAATGCTAGATATTTAATTTTATGAAAAATTAAAATTTTGAGATTAATAAAAAATCGATGATCCCTAATTTAATATTTTATTTCACGAATTTCTTCCAAAATTTGTTCACCATAAAAGTTTTCTGAGTCCGATTTATGAAAAATCGTCGCTTATAAATATGGTATGAGTTCCATATGTAGGTATCAAATTTTTCCAGTATGCCTATGGAATACGCATAGTACGAAGTAGGTACATGCCAAACTCAGATTTTACAAAAATACAAATTAGTTTCTCTTTGTACGAAGATTATATCAAATAATATTTCTTCCAACAATGTTTATTATTTGCGTTTAATTTTCAAATATGTGCAGGTAGGTACTGGATTTGATTGCCCAATTATTGATTTGTTTACCTCTACCTAATTTAATAATATACCTGCCAGCTTAATTAAATTTATTTTTATTCTTAATTTTATGACACCTGTTAGATACAATAATAAATTCCGTTATTATTCTCTTATTAATACATCCCTTAATTAATAAATAAATATAATATCATGAATCCAAAAGCTTATAAAATTAGGTACCTCTCAAATACAGGGGCGGTACGGATATTTTTTGATATGGGCAATGTATTCTGCTTATGACGCTGATATAAAATATTCACCGGAAAATAGGCGGCCTTGCTTGGAGATTTTAAATATTAGTTTTTATGTATATCGTAAATTATTTGGTAATATTAAATTAATTGCCTAGTAAATATCACGTTCTAAGAATGAAGCAATCCTCGATTCCCCTTACGTACGCCTCTGAACATGCTTCGTCACTTCTCAGATAGATATTGCATTTTATTTTAAAAATATAAAAAATATACGACATATTTCAATTTTAATCTATAGCTGCGATTTTAAGACCTAGCTCAGCTAGGCTCTAGCTGTCAATGCAAAATTAAGTATCTATTTTGGAAAATAAATAATAATATAACTCATTTTCAAGATTGAGTTTTTTTTGTCAATTAACAATACTACACAGTCGAAATATTCTGCAATAACTATAAAACTATTCATTTCACAAATACAAATTAAAATAACCTGTATGATCATTAAAGATAGGTACCTATTGGAGTGTAACTGTTAATTTTCTAAATATTTCTGCACTATTATTATTTTCAGTACATTTATTAAAATTATTTTTGATTTGTTAACATTTCTCGTTATAATTTCTCCCTTATTACTGGTATGTACTTAAGAATAGTCCTGTATTCAGACTTTTTACGGCAATTTTACAAATTTACAAAAAAATCAAGGAATAATAATTTCTAATGTAAACAAAAAAAAATAAATAAAATTAAAAATAAAAGTTAATAATCTTTTTAAATTTAAATTAAAATAAAAATATTTTCCCAAGTGTACCTGATTCACATTCTAGTATTAAATTTAAACATATTTTAATTATTTTAACTTAAATTCTAGAAATTTCTTAATTTCTCCTCAGATTAAATTCAGTTAGGTACCTAATTAGTTTATTACAATTGCTTAATTGCTATAAAGCAAAGGGGTGGTTATGGCCGGTTATATAAAGAGATAGATACTGGTACTGGTTTTATTTATAACAGAGTGGTGCTTTATTTTAGTTTTTAGTGGTGAATCTTATTGGTGGCAAGTATTTTTTTCTTTTTGTTGCTATTTTCCCTCGTTTAATTTTTGTGTTAAAATAATTTTCGTCGGAAAACAATAAGTGGTTATTTATTACACAGCATGTGTTATTATTTAACCCTTAGTAAAAGAAACAATCTTTATTTTTAAGATGGAAAGGTATGTCCAGTATGTGGATGGCGTAGGATGGTGGCTAAGGTATCCTCCTAGGCAAATGAATCTTAAATTGAAAAGGAAACTGGTAAGTTAACAAGTATTTTATATTGTTATATTAATTGTGGGTGGAATTGTAGCAGAATTATTTTGTTTGGAAAGTAAGCTAAAATGTCTATTAATTAAAATTTCAGTTCCATGTGCATGATGCTGATTTTAGAACACTGGCCAAGATATTCCCCTTAGCCTTTGAAGTTAGTCCTAATAATAGACTCCCACACAAAATTCGAGGCAGGGGATATTCCAGAAGGAAGGCTCCACGTATGGTAAATAATTCTTATTAATCGTTATAGTATTGTAGTTAATAATTCTTCCTTAAACTATCTAGACTATTCCACAAATTATTAAAAAGATTAAAAAAATGAAAAACTATCAACTATTATATAGACTTTGTTTTATGTTACAGGGCCAGCTTCATGATATTGCTCCAGAAAAAGTATCTAATCTAAATCCTCTAGCTCGGAGTTTGTTCCTTCGTTTGAGAACAAACTATTACCAACGCCTCCCTCTCCATTGAGAACAGAGCATTTACAAATAGAAAAAAACGAGAGGACTACATCAATAGGATTTATTTCGAATCTGTCAGAGAGTGAGTTGAAAAATCGTATCAATGAAGAATTCGATAATTTCGATTTCAGCAGGAGTAGTCTAAACGATCTTTTTGCTTCACTTACATATAACAATTCTTGGATCAATGTAAAATTTCGATGTGATGAGAATGTAGCATCGGCCTCACGTTTTTACAAATATTTCCAGGTTATTTAACGTAAAATTTTGGTTTTTGTTTATTTTTATATGTATTGTACTATCATATCTATATTTTTGTTAAATTAAATTGAAAATGTTTTAAAAATAGAAAATTTGCAACTATTGTATTGTTTTATTTCTTTGTCGTTCAAAACCTAATGACAACTAAGACAAAATTATAATAATAATTAATTTTAATAAACATTATTATTGCGAACGGACTTTGAAAATAAAAAATCAAAAACAAAAGCACTCAACAAAGTCTTTGAAACATATTGCAACATTGAGTAGGTTTCCATATTTTCCCTGCATTAAAAAATATTTAGCACTTTCTGAAACTATTAAATGCTTTTATTTTTCGATATAAAGTGGGATTTTAATATTTTGTTACTTCTTGTATACATACACTTTGTAATAATGTTAGGAGCATAAAAAATAAAATGTGACGCCAATGGTTAACAAATCAAGAAATTCGTTTCTTTGCGGAAAAAATTGGAAAAAAGGAAAAAATTAAAGAAACTCGTAATAGAAACGCTTGAAGATGTATATTAGAGATTGGGGTGTCCTAAAAAAACTTAAAATTAATAGAGATCAAATACAATGCTCGAATCCCACGTAACTGCGAACTGTGACTGTTAGGCAACCAAACATACAATGGAGAAAATTCCCTAAAAATTGATGGTAGGCCAGTGGAGTACATTTTACATTTCTTTACAAACTTTGAACTTTAATCTGGAAATAGAAAAAATCATTTTTAAAAATTAACAAACGTAAATATAATTTATATTAGCAAACATATTGGTTAGAGCTCTTTATGTAATATAGATTTTAACATAAGTTCAAATTTTTCGGTACTTATTCTATTATGAAAAATTATATCAAAATTGAAGTAGGTATAATAATAACTAAAATAATGATTTGAATGATTTTCCTTTAAAGCATTATCAATGTCTTTTGAAATCGATTTTATATGTAAAAACAAACAAATATTTATGTATTTGTATCATATAATAAAATATATTCTGAAATCGATGTTATGAGAGGTTTAAGATTGGTAAATAAGTATATGTTTAGTGGTACAGGCACAATTAAAATATTTTTTATTTCTTTTATATCAATTGAATGAAAATCTTACCTGTCTGTATCTCAAAGATCTTTAATCAAGCAACTGATTAAAATCAGGTAGGTAGGTAAACCTAATCCTTTGTTTATTATGAATTTAATTTCCTTAAATTATACCTGCTGTTTATTGAACTAGAATTAAGTAATTAGAATTCAAGGAATTATATCTTGTGGAAAACAGGGAACAAAATGGGAGTTTCAGATAGGTCTCTTGGCAAGAGATGACTGATTATTCTTTGCCAAAAGACCTCCTTTTCAATAATGCGCATCTATTAGCTATTCATAAAAATGCTAGAAAATTTATAATTATTGTAGGTTCCAAGCTTTGAATAACAGACGATAAAAGAAGAAACTTTAAATTAAGAAAGATCATAAAATCGTGAACTGTTCTGTCTAATACGTACAAAAAAAAACATTCGAATAGCGTGTGACCCATAAAAAAATCAGAGAGGTATATGAACCACACTATACGTAAAAATGATATTTGTACCTATGTGAAATTTTTTCACTATTTGTAATATAATCTGTTACATAAAAGATATGTTTACTTACCTGTGCGTCTCTTATGTTCCGTTCTTGTTTCAAAAAAACTTGGGTGCAAATTCTTCATGGAAAAATAATAGGGGTAGTTCATGTAAAGTTCTTTTCTTAGATACCCTGTTTTCGAGATACAGTGTGTTGAAGTTGTTACTTGCCATATGGTTTTCCCTAATTATTTTTAAATCGGCTAAAGATAAAAATGTCAAAATTGGTACATGAGTAAACATCAACTGTGCGTTAAGAATAATGTACAATCGGTTTCTTTCTGAAAAGGAGTGTCGCCGATACAGGCAACTGGAGGGGTACAATCGATAAAAAAATATGTTAAAATTCAAAATTTATAACATTTCTAAACGATTCTGTAAACTCTAAGGCATACTACAAAAAAAAGGTATACTTGTCGAAATTCGGTAGCATGTACCATTTCCGAGAAAATGAAGTTGCATTTTTAGCCGATTTAAAGATAATTAAGGAAAACCATTTGGAAAGTGACAACTTCAACACACTGTATCTCGAAAATAGGGCGTCTAAGAAACAAATGTTACATTATTTCCCCATGAGAAACTTGCCCAAAGTTTTTTTGAAACATGAATGGGACCACCCTGTATATGTATAGGTACCAGGAACCTGAACAAGAATGCCTCTTTTAACAATATTTCCTGTTTTTAAATTTGTAATATTAAAAAGGATTATCTTCAAAGTGATTTTACAATATACCTAATTATTGTAATTCCCTAAATTTCAAAAGATTACTAGGATAAAGTACAATTAAAAGATTATATCATTAGTCAGTATTAATTTAAAAGGGTTTATATACCTCTAGTAGAACTGTGACATAAATGATAAGGTGGTAGTCAGCAGTAAGAACAATATTACATACTCTACATTATTCCTTAGTAATTGATATCCAACTGTGATTTTTTTTTTCTAAATCATTTAATCATCTATGACCAAGGTAAGCCTTTTTTGTTACTTTTAATAACTATCAACAATACGGACTATAATTTTATTTAATAATTTATGTGTCAAATTCAATATTTTTAGCTGCATTTAATCTTTTTTGTAAGTATTATTAGCTAAATAAATGAAAATTGTAACAGACAAACACATTTTCCTTCATTCATTTTTATAATAGGAATTTTTGTTTTCAATTAATCAACAAATACTTTTACAAAGAACATAAATCAGGAAAAAAAATACGACCTCTCCTCTGTTCACATTTAGATTCCTTTTCTTTTTTCAATTTTTTTAAAAGTAAATTTGACAATGTGTATTTTGAAAAGCAGCTAGCTGAAAAACAGCATAAAAAAGTCACTTGACCTATTTTTTGTACCTTGTACCTTTGGAAGCCAATACAAAATGTACTAATTCGCCTTTTTGTTATAGATGAACCTAGCGATGAGCTTAAATTAAACGATTCGTTCGGCCTAAATCCTTCTGCTTCCGAGTTTGTCCCAAACACTCCATCACCACCACACTTGCCACCTTCTCGCTTGACGCCTGGAACTCATACTAGATCCTTGCTCACCCCTCTGGATTCCGTATGGAGGAACTCCACCAGGTCACCTAGTCCTCAATCGAATAAGAAACTAATCAAATTTATGAAAAACGTGCACTTCCCTAAGGATTTCTTAAACAAATGCTTAAAAGTTTTGCCCCCCGACGTGTCTTTGGCGGATGTGAAGTACCAGCCAGAAAATTTCCAAGAAAAATGGTTCGACTATTTGAAGCAAAGGGAATCAGAAGCAGCAGAAGAATGTAAGGCTGCAATTGACGAAGGACCTGGGAGTTTCATCGAAGATAGATGCTTTATCGAATCTGAACGAGTGATACATTTTTCCCGTTTCGAAAAATGAGTTTCCTTCAAGCATGAATCAAGGAGAATTAGACGGGACAGAGAAATGCAAAGTTCGATTGGTGATCATTCACAAATAAAACTGTAGAGCCAAAATATAAACTAGCTCTTATTTCTATAACTTGTAACTATGTTTCCTTCATCGCTTATTTTTGTATCAAATTTAGACTTTTGAATGGACACAATGCTCCCTTTATTAAAAATATTAAATAAATATTATAATACATTTTTTTTTATTCAAAACAATTATATAATATCACAATAAAGTTAACATTTACCATATGAGACTAACATTAAAAAATATTACATTTTTATACACCTGATTATAAAATAAATATATGTACCTTCAGAAAACACAAACCTATAATACTGCTTTCTTATTTTATGAGATACATACACATTTGAGATTATTCCAGAAATATATATAAATATATTTCACGATATATTGTGAGACATGCATTACACATATACGACAAAAACTATTAGTTTTATTTTTGCCATAAATCATTTTCAAGAGGGAGAAGATTTTACATTCATATAAAGTAACTAAAATATACATATGTGCAAATAAATTTATGGAGGATACAAGCAAAATTCTCACATAAATTTGACAGCACTCTATTTCAGACTAGTAGTTAGTTATTTTATGTTGTCGATTGTTAACCCAAACGAATCCAGTCTTACGATTAAAAAAATATGGTAGAAAAGGTAAACAAGGCAAAGAAGTAAAATGATTCCGAAACACTTAAAGTTACACAGACCCTAGAAATGTGGCAAACATACTTTACCGGCAAATAATTCGGATATAACAGTTATCCAGAGAGCTAGCACGAAGAGGATATATGAAATACCGACTTGATGGCTGTTAGGAAGTTGATACGGTTGTCCTCCGATTTCATCAACATGAAATCCCAGTGGGAAAATGACCGCAGCCAAACAGAACAGAACCACTAGAACCAACTGGATTAATGAAACTAGTTTCAAATAAAACGTACTTTCCTACTTGCTGTAAATCCGACCCATCTTGCGTAAGGTACAACATTTCTGTCCCAATGGGATGAAGCAAGAAGTATTATAGTAGTCGTAATGCATATACAGCCAACGAAAATGCATACAAGAGCAAGTAACCATTCAGGTTGTAGGTCAGGAGTAAAGCAAACTTGTGGCCGGTTGTACAATGTCATACACGTCCACATAAGTCCCAATCGTGTATCTCCTAAAACAGAAATGTGCACAGATTTATTATTATAATTATTTCTAAAGGATTACCTCCCACATCTGTGATAATCCAGTCTGGCATGGCCAAACTAATAATGGCAAAAATATCAGCAGCCATAAAAAGAGTGCCCGATATTAATGTTAATTTGTCCATTTTTATATATACACTTTTTATTAATAATTAAAGATATCTTTTTCTTTAACGTTTGAATATTTGCCAACAAACATTCTAAATCATACTTCAAATTATGAGGTGAGCATAGACCTTATCAATAGTTAACTACTATGGGTGAGACGCGAGTGGACTGACTCTTCTATTATCTATGTTGACTGACGTTGACAACAGCTAACAGCTGACAGTAATATGACAGATGACGTTCTGGTCGTTCTAAGCTTTGTTCGTAAACCTACACAACGTAGTGTAGTGGATTTCAGTGTTACACTAAAATAATAATTGTGCACCACTTTTAGAGAAAACATTTGGCTGTTCGTTAATTCAATTTGGGTAAACTTAAACTGGCATAACCTAATTGTAAATCATGGAGAAAATATTTGTGATGAGTGAATTATTTAGTGACTGGAAGTGAATCGGAATCAGATGATGAAGATTACCTTCGTAAAAAAAGAAAAATTCATGTTTTATTGGAGACCTGTTTCCAAAAAAATAAAAGAAAATGCATTACAAATTTTATAGAACTTGTTCGAAACTGTGAGGAAGACGAATTTATCAGCCATTTCAGAGTAAAATCAAATATTGCCAAATTTTTAATGATCTATCTAAAATATCTACCAAGATGTGACATTTGTGATAAAAGTTTCATTTTCGCGCCACAAATATACTACACTATACACTTTTACACCACCTTGTTAGCCAGTGTAGTAGTGTCTGCACTATTACACTGCACTGGACATTTCGAACACCTGGATTATACCTGCACTTGGCTACACTGCAATAAACGAACAACGCGCCATTATTCCATGGCTAGAAATAGGCCTCAATGATTTGGGATCGAGGGGGATTATCCCTCTTTATCCTGCCTCATCTCGTGTAGGCCTGGACAGCCTTCGTAGGTGGGCCCCATCCGTCGTCTACCCCGACCGCAAATGCGGCCGGTGTAGGCGCTTTGTGGGACCTCCTTTTGTCCTGGCTGGGAAACGAACAACGTATTACTACACTAGTGCAGCAGTGGAAGGTTTACGAACAAAGCTTGTGTAAATGTCAGATAAGAATGCCAAGGTTGTTATAGAACATAGCTTAGAGAGTAGTAGTGGAGTATATCCTTATTAAAATTTTAATAATAAAAAATAACTTAATACTTGTTATAAACATAATTTATATAGTATATTTGAAACTAGATATTCCAAGTGTAAATAACGAATAAATTAATGAATTAATAATAGCAATCTTTACAATGAGTTTTGATCTGAGAACCATGGATTTCCGACAATTTGCAGATCTATCATTAGCTTTGTTCGCGGAGCCGTTCAAACTAGTTCGGGATCAGTCAGAAGCAATCGTTTAACTACTTTTATGCTATGCTTGTTGTGGGAAATAGCACAGAAAGTAGCTGGAAGACTGCTTCTGACTGATGATCTCGAACTAATTTGAACAGCTCCGCGAACAAAGCTATTATTTGAATCGGTGAAGACCACTGTTGCCAAGCTAATACAAACTTCAATCAAGCAAAGTAAAATGGATCAAGGATTAAGTAAAGTCGAACCAGTGAAAATATTGGAATTGAACTGTGGTGTGGAAATTCTCTGAATCCTGAAGTAATTAGTCGTGACGTTTTGTGGTTTTTGTGATTTGACTAGTGTGCGTGGTGCGTGTTTTGTTATATGTCTACAATGCAAAAATTACAGTTTTTCGAACAATAATGTTTAAAAAATTTATAATAGCGAATGTGGTGTTGCTTTACTGTTTATTTCAAGAATGTCAGTGTACTCATTTGAAAGGAACCTTTAAATCAAATGAATTTTTCAAATTCCTAATTAAATTTGGATTTCAAAAAACAGATCGACATCAAGCTGATGCTACACATGGATATATTTTTGGAAATATTACATCCAAACATCACTTCCCGGATTCGATTACTTTGGCAGTATTGGACAGATTATATTTCTTAGAGTATTATAAAAACAGATTTGTAAATGACAAACACCAGGCATGTAATCTTATGTTTGGTAATCTGAATACAACAGCATTCGATCCTAAATGTAGCCCAAAGGGAAAGGACTACTTAAGAAAAATTCCATGCCCCAAAGGAGAACTGTGTGAAAATGAAGACAATCCCTGGAACGTAGTGAAAAATCATCAGTTTACATATGTCATACAGGATTTCAAACAACCTTCGTAAGATAGTTTTTTATATATTCATATTTATATTGGCATAGTATGCAGTAGCTAAACACTGTGTACATTAGACTAATCAAGTTATTTGGTTTTGACATATGGATTAATATAGCATATTTGACTAGTATCACAGATAAAAATGTTATTAACGCCACTGATTATCCAGATAAACTAAAATTCCTCTAATATCGTGATTGGTTGTTTATAAGCTGATAAAATCTTGGCGGAAAATGTTTTAGTAGCACTTAAATTATAGCATGTAATTGATTTTAAATAGATTCAAGAAAACTTTCACTTATTGAGTAATATTTCATTTAAACGCTGATTAAAAATCAATACCTAACCGTAATAATGGTATGCTTTATATTTTTTAATTCAATTTTGCCGTCACAGTTAAACCGTTAATTAAAATAATATTTCAATCAGTCTAATTATTTAGTTAAACAAAAAAAAGTAGTAAGAAATTTGTTTTTATTTTTACTACGTACTTTATTTTAGGTTTTGGTATGTATCGATGGTAGCATGTTACCACAACAGCACATCATGCCAGTGGCGTTATTACGAGAGCCACACTCCCTACGAAATAGAATATGACATTTGGCTAGTTAATGGTAATCCTAACAATTCTGCCTACAGTACATTAACATACCAGTTCTCCTTCGATAGACAAAATACACTGGAACTCTATCTCCTGTTTTGGTTGTGCTATATGGTACTAGTCCCCTTGCAATGTCATGCTGTTAAAGCTCAAAAACATCCCGTAACAAAACTGTTCACAGCCAGTCTGTTGCTGGATTTTATAGCGCTATGCCTTATTTTGATACATAATCTGAAATATGCCCTCGATGGACAAGGATACCCTAAAATAGCTTTGACTGGGGACATTTTTGATATCTTGTCTAGGGTAAGACAGTGTTTTTAACGCTTGAAGCTTTGCTAAAACGTATCTCTTATTTCCAGACATCTTTTATGCTCCTACTTCTCTTGCTTGCCAAAGGATGGGCAGTTACTAGGCTTGAACTTACTTGGAAGCCTCTAGTGTTTGCAATTTGGCTGTGTTACGGAATCGTACATATTTTGCTGTACGTTTGGAACCTGGTATGTTATTTTTTTTTTGTCGATTTATTTAATCCTAAGGTTTCTCCGTAAAATATAGATTGTTTGTTTATTACAAGTTACGCATCGACACTATTATGATTTTCAGACTGAGGTAGACATAATAGAAGACATAGACGAATACCAAACCTGGCCAGGTTGGCTAATAATAGTTTTTAGATCTCTGATCATGGTTTGGTTTTTGTACGAGTTGCGCACTACAATGTTTTACGAGCATAATACTCAGAAGTTGAATTTCCTCTTGCATTTTGGTGCTTCGAGTCTAGTGTGGTTTATATATTTGCCCATTTTAGCGTTGATAGCGCTCCACGTGTCCGCTTTGTGGAGGTTCAAGCTACTGTTAGGTGAGTGATTTGTCTGTCGAGCAATTCTTCATAGACTACTTACTTTAACCGTTTCAGGTATCACATATTCGGCCGATTGTTTTGCTTATTGCGTGATGGCTCACCTGTTGTGGCCCACACGATCCGAGCAGTATTTCCTGTTAAAGGGGCCTTCTTCAGCGGATCTGGAAGAGCTGGATGAATTCAACGAAGCCCCTCACATTGTTAACAATTCCTACACGTCACTGAGCAGCATGAGCTCGCTAGACATCTGTAGGTACGACGACCCGCCCAAGAACAAGCCTTCAAACGCATAAATCCAAAGGGATTTTGTATATGACGTTGATCTTATGATTCGGTACTTTATAATATGAGAGAGTTAGGCTAAGTTTGAAAGTGTGACAGAGTAATTCGTGTGTTGTGATAAATTTTAACTGTCTGCGATCGCATTGAACAAAGTATTTTAGGAATTGCTTCACTTTTGATTATCGGGGGGTAGGACGTGGGTGGGAAGTTACGGCAAAGTTGTTTGTCGAGAAATCACGCTTAGGTATTTAAGTCTTGTTTTTACAAGGAGGCTTATTTGCCGTTTTAGTAGTAAGATGAGGTTTTATTTTTTTTAACTGTTTATATTTTAAAATAGAGGATATGGTTAAACTGGGGGTAGCTCGTAACATTTAGGGTGATATTTTAAGTTTTGAAAACAAAATATAAAACTTTAGTTTGAGGGGATTGGAGTATTTTTTTTAAGGAATGATTTTGCTCACAAGTTTGAACTTTTTTCGTAGTAGATCATGTCGACTTAAAATCTGCAATTTGGTAAAATAAAAAATGCGTAATTTATTTTAATACAAAAGTAAAATATTACTCTACGTGTTAAGCTGTGTAAATATTGTATATTACATATTATTAAGGATTAAAAATGTATATATAGTAACCTCTTGATGTTCACATTGAGAATAAATATATTGGCACAGATATAGATAGTTTTTCCATTAGTTTAACTCGCGATTTGTTGCTTCGGGGCCCAAATTATTACACTATTTACATATTCCGGTGAAATAAACAATGATCAAGCAGGCGTCTACGAAACTATTGGTCAAAATGGATCGACCAAAAAACTAATACAGATTCCTATTTCACATCAAATAATAGTTTTCGTTTTGTGATTTGACTGATTGGTGGTTCACACAAATAGTGAAAGTCCCTGAAAAAAGTGTCATGAAGAAATGGATAGTCTTTCTCTTGAGAAGTGGTTTTCGAATCAGCAAGTAGCTTTGTTCTTTTAACAAAGTACAAAATCTTCTTTACTCCACTCCCGAACGAACATTTCGAAGCATTTCGACCGTTATCTGACGACATTCTTCAACAATTTGGTTCTCAAGTGAGTGGTTGAATGATATCTGGGCTGGCTTCCACGTCGTCGATTTACAACTCTTGACGTTTCGAAAGACATATTGCTCTCTTCTTCAGAAGTTACTCTTCACCTCTGTTTCACTCTCAGTTTCACTTCTGAAGAAGAGAGCGATATGTCTCTCGAAACGTCAAGAGTTGTAAATCGACGACGTGGCAACCAGCCCGGAAATCATTCAACCATTAACGACAGCCACGCAAGCCTACAAACAATCCTCAAGTGAGTTCAGACGTGTTGCATAAATTTTCGACTTTAAGTGTCCCTGTTGAAAAAAAGTCTAAGGACGTTAGATCTGGCAATCTAGGAGGCCACTCGATTGAATCTCTGTGTCATATCCAGTAATTTGCAAAGTGCTGATTAAGAAAATCACGCACGGTATAATGTGGTGGACCATCCTACTGAAACGACGCATCCTCTTCTGGCAAAGCATTGTCATTTTCCAATACTGAGGTACTTGCAAGTTTCCTGAGACTCAAATTTGGTTCCATTGCCATGTGACCCAGGACAGCTACCTGATTACCCTCATTACGTATGACCTGTTCACGTTGATGCTTTCTGTTTGCAACCGATCCAATTTCAGAAAATTTTTGCACTAAATCCAGGACGTACCGATGCGAAGCGTTTTTGTCAGGATGACGATCATTAAAAATTTGTGCTGCCTGTCGTGCACAGTCATTATTCTTGTAGAACAAACTAATTATTTCCACTATTCCAGCAATTGTATAAACCCTTTTCACGAATTGGAATTCAATTGACTTTGTGATGATTTTACGGGTTATTGTCTCGACAAGACAAGACGAGACAATATTATCTCGTTTAAAGCAAAACAGGTAAAAAAGTTGAACTGATAAGAGTGTGATGTTTTGTATCGACGACACTTCTCTCGGCTCCGTGAGTTCCAAAGAGGGTTTTCCCAGGAGCGTCATTCTACTACGTGCAAATCCTGGGCACTCTTCAAGTCACATCCTCGGCAGACCGGACTATCTACAAGCTCTAGCTTGTATATATGTATCCTAAAGTGACTATCCCGCCGCTTTCCTGAGCCGAATTTTATTCGAGCATAGCACTTCATTCGTTCTTTCCTACAAAGGACATGCCGTATGTTCCTTCGCAAGGCCTCGAAGGCCATATTTTCGAGTTTTATACTCCAAGAGACATTTCCGCTTTGTTAAATGCATCGTTTACTTCGTTGGAATATGTAAAGTGAACGTAGTATAAGGTCATAAATTTATAGTAGTCGTTATCAAACGGGAAATGATTAGAAAAAATTACTCTATAAAATTTTTTTTGGTTGCTTTTTCAGAGGATAATTTCAGGACCATAGCCAGGTGAAAACTTTAGGCAGGACGAATTATTTTCCTGTCAAGGTAGGTCTCTCTGTGAATTCAAAAGTGCATATCTGCAAATTTCTTATAAATTGAGTTATTGTTGCGCCTTTCAATCATAACTTGGGAAGAAGTACCTATGGTGGCTCGTCAGGTGACGCACTGCTTCAACTAAAATTTCTGTGCTGTGTGGAAATGTTTATTTAAAAAAACTTTTCTGTATGACGTGTTTAATTGTAGGTGTAAAATCGGGCGCATGAAATAAGGAGGGATTTAACAATTTTGGGAACGTCACGCGTATTCTTGTAACCACAAAGCTTCTTTGGAACATACATGTACGGTGTACTTTAATGTTCGCAGAAGTCCACAAGCCGAACTAATATTTCTATTTTTTATAAAATCTAACTGAAAATCCTTCTCACGAACGTCAGTTTTGCGGTAATATTGCAAATGCAAATAAAAGTTTCCAGATTCATTTAAAGCCGTTTGACCTTGAAAATTTTAAAATTTTCTCCTGCGGCGCTTTTTTTTTAGTCAATGAATATGCTTCACCTATTCTCAATGTCACGAAACGCCACTGGTACCTATCAGAAATTTAATCTACTTATGAAGTTCAGCGGTTTATAAAAAATTAAATTATTGTCTTTATCAATTTATAAAATAGCGATAGCATAACTAAAAACCATAACAGTAGACTTTCTGGTTCAAATTTTGTGCAAATAGGCTCTTTCGAATTAAGAGGGCAAGATACGAGCGGCTAAAATCAGCCTTCCAGGCAATACAAATATTTTCCCAAGCTGGGAAAAAATTTTATCAAACAGGTAACGATGAGGCCTTGGTTTGGGAACGCTGTTGGTAAAACAGTCTAGTTTTTCCTTTCTATTAAATTTGTAAGATTTTAATCCCCAGTCAGTCATAATCAAGATCATATTTGTCAATTATCCTTTTACCTGCATATTCTATTTATGCTTTTTACGTATGCACTACTTAAATGTGCGAAGGAAATAAATAGCAATAAAAGAGTTGCGGATCACCTTCTACACAGCAGGATTCTAAATGTGATTATGAGTGTGTTTTCCTAACTTCAGTATTGCTCAATTTATTTTTTTATGTGATTTACTTGTTAAGTATGTAATACATTTATTTTAGGGACAAATTTGCTGATTTTTATTTTGTATAAATATGTTTCTAATAGTGCCAAGTACAAAAGTACCTCAGAAATTGGAAGGAAACGTTATTTGTACTTTTATACAATCCAGATGACGTTTTATTTAATTTTGTTGATTAAATAGTTGTCTAGTGTAATTTCGTAAACTTTCAGACACAGTCAGCCTTGTTTTGAAAGGAATGGGAAAAATATTAAGTTAGGGCTGTAGTATTTCCATTTCATTGTCTGTACCATATTTTTAATTGTAACCCTAATGTTGGATGGTTTACGTTACAAATTGGTTGGCATTGTTGAGTTACAACGGTTCGATTGAAGGGTTTGTGCTTTCTTCTTAGATGTTTTGTTATTGGATTGTTAATTATGAAGGGTTTTCTGAATATAGAATTTTTTTTTATTTCGGGAATACTAAACGTAAAAATCTGTAAATCGAATTGTTAAAGATCTTTAAATTTTTTGTTTTAATGTGTAAAATTGTAATCCATTCACTTCAAGTATTTCTGTAAATTTTATAGGCTTATTCTCCAAAATAAAATTGCAAGCAAACATGGCACTTCTAAATTACTCAAATAGTAAAATAAAACCGCTGCGACTATTTAAAAATAATTGTCAGAACAAGCCTATAATATTAAAATTTTCACTAGTTTTTTGTGTCTTAAGTGTGTCAATTTAATATCAAGTCACATCGATCGATTTCAGAGATTTTTAATGTTAACAAATAGAAATATTCTTATATAACACAAATAAAAACTATAACAATTTAAGATCACTCGTTATTTTGTCTATTTCTTCCACTTTATTTGGCCCTATTCCTACTGCCGTTAATGTTCCTTCTACCACTTGAGTTTTCCCAGCGTCATGCACTCTACAAACATTTAGATGACTGGCTAGAGCTTCTTCGTATATATTTAATAGTGCACTGTCACAATTTGTATCAATTTTAAGAACTACTTTTGGCTGTCCACACCTCAACCATGTCTGTAAGCATGGATTACTGTTTTCTATTGAAGATTGATATAACAGTACAGCGGCATGAGCAGCTTGCGATGCAATTTTGCCACGTCCCATTTGTAAATCTGTGCGGATTATAATAATCATTTTTGTCGTGTTAAAACCTGCTACCTTTTTAACCAAACTAATAAACATCTTTATCAAAAGATTTAATTGTTTAAGCCAACTAAGCAAATAACTACAGCACGCTACACCGATTCTTTTAATCTTTTTTCTTGATATTGTTCCATACATTTCTTAAAGTCAGCCACAGGATCCTGGCACTTTCTCCAGTCTTTGGTATCTGCTATGCATTCCTAATAAATGATTCTAATATAATTTCCTCAGAAATGTATAAATAAATCGGACAAACCTGCACTTTATAATGCAAGTCAATGCAGCCTGTCTTCTTAAGCATCTGTTCAACAGGATCTGTAATTTCTTGGTTTCCATGAGATGACATTTTGGGATTCAAATTGTGTTCATATATTACATTTTTTTTTTTAATTAAAACTGCTCAAACTCGAAAACTTACCCAAAGTATTAAAAAAAAATAGGTTATGTTAGATTTTACAAAATGTCTATAGTTAATATTCCGATAGATGACGCTAACGTTGCAACATTTGAGAAAAACAAATGCATCTCACATATGTCATATCATCACAGATCACAGAAACAATTGTCATATCCATACACACCATACACAGACCGTGGTAAAGACGGACCGTTAAATCCATACCGGTCAGTTTGTCAGTGTCATATTGTTGTAGACCCAGAGGCTACTAATAGTACTAATACTAATGCTACTATGCAAATGAACGGACAAAATCGCGCATTACGCTTTTATACCACTTTATATTTATATCAATTCGCGAACCAATGCGAATTCAGTATTTGGCTCTTCGCCAAGCCGCGGACCAATCAGAATTGAACATCGAAACCCTCAGTTTACTTTTGTTAATTCTGACGAATCTTTCTAGAAAGTTCTAGAACAATGACGAAATCTGACGAAATGTTACGAAACATGATTCTCTCAACAGTTCTCTCCACCTAGTCTATACAAGTGAAAGTCTACGAGTTACATTGATCGGGATTGCTCGCCATCGTTAATTACCTTCAGTAATTAAATAAGTTAGTTCCGATCTCAACCGACGAAGTTAGTTTCGCAGTTTCGGAAAAAGCCGAAAAAAGTTCAGTTACATACAGAGGATTACATAAAAAGTGGTCACAACATTAACAACAGCTCAAACTACTCATTCCGACCAAGTTTGCTGTTTTAAATAAACGTAAGCGTTGACAAGGCGCTCCAACGCGAGGCTCGAATTGGATTGAGGATGAGCTCCAAATTTAAGTAGAAGAAGGAAGGGAGGAAGGAAGAAGAGTGAGGATCTTCGTAAACGACATCCGTCTGCACCATATCTGCCGATAGTGCCGAAGGTCGAATCTGAAGAAAATTGGAACCACGAGAAGTCGCCCACATATAACCCAAATAGGTTTATCTGCCAGAAGCTGGTATGTATTGCGAAAGGTCACACCTAGGTTACCTAAGAAGTTACGTCGTGAGTTCCGTGACGCGGAACGTGCTCGACTAACTCAGCTGGCAGATCAAATCTAAAAATGCCTACGAATTATTCGCAAAACCAGCGAATAACGGAAAGAGGTAGCGTGTCATTAAGCCACGTTATCCAAGAAGAAGGGAGCAGGCCCGTCCTCTGTGACACAACCGCAACATAACCTCGCGGCCCCTCCAAAGCAATGAGGTGTCGAGTACTTTCAAGTAACGAAATTCTCGTCTCCATGGCCCAGGCCATGATTACTAGGCAGAGTCTGTATCCTCAGTACAGACTCTCCTCTAAATATATTAAGAGACTTGCGGAGAAGTGGAAGGTCCACCGCAAGTTCTCCCAAGTTTCCCCTAAGGTGGATAAATTTGTGGAGGTGCATATCACGGAGGATGAGGAGTGGTTTGCAACCCTCATTTCCGAGTGATAACCCTTCAGAATATCCTCCTTCGCCCCGCCCCGGCTTCGGCCAAAGACTTTAGACACCAACCCGCGGTTGTCGCTCCCGCGAGTGTCGAACTCCTTTACCCCCAAATCGTACCACGCTATCCGTTGGCCGATTTGACCAACCGGGATCCCTCTGCACGGGATATGCCCGGCCTATAGACCTTTACCCCCAAAAAGGCCAAACCCCGATTTTTGCTCCTGATTATGATTCCCGATTTTGACCCCGATTATGACAACCCGATTATGACTACCCGGATATGACGACCCCAATGAAGACATCAATACAAATAGATGACATACGCCCCGCCCCACTAGAAACATAGACGAGGATTCCCAGTCCGAATACTCTACTAGTTCCACAACAGAATCCCTATGCAGCGGTAGCTCCTGTAGTCGCAAGTCAGGGATCAAGGATTGCTGTAGGGTTGAATCCGCTGGTTTGGATGGACTTCCTGCCGAAAGCGACGTAGCCCGATCCCAGAGCCTGATATCTTTCAGAGACGCTATAGCTTCGGACGTGCCTGTTCGGAGTCGGAAGAGACGTTCGCGAATGGCAGTCAATAAGAAGAGCGCCAGAAGAAAGGGCCCTAGCCGGCGGGGCCCAGCCAGGACAAAAGGAGGTCCCACAAAGCCTACACGGGCCGCTTTTGCGGTCGGGGTAGACGATGGATGGGGCCCACCTACGAAGGCTGTCCAGGCCTACACGGCAGGATAAAAAGGGATAATCCCCTTCGATCCCAAATCATTGGGGCCAATTTCTAGCCATGGAATAATGGCGGCGCGCGCGGTAGTCATCGATACGGATTAAGTAATATACAGGTAGTAGTATATTACTTATATTCAAGTCAATTAGTAGAGTCAGAACGTTATTAGTCAGATATGTTTATATAATTTTTAAAAAACATCGGTGAAAATTTTAAAAACATCGGTGCAAATCGTTAGAAACATCGGTTAAATTCACTATTTGCCTCTTGTTTGCTTTGTATATATTAGTTTTAAAGATTATTTAGTTTTAAGTCTAATTTTAAGAATGTTCGTGTGAAACCACCGCATTTTCAGAGTAGAAAAAAGAGTGAAAAGAATGAAGTGTGTTGTAGACCCCGAGACTACTATGCAAATGAACGGACAACGCGCCAATATCCTTGGCAGGAAAAAATGACCTCGGTTGGAGCGGGGTCGAGCGGGATTATCGCTCTTTACCCACTTCATCGCTGTAGGCCCGGACGCCTCGTAGAGGTAGGCCCTTTCCCCGTCATTCCGGACCGCCAACACTGCCGGATTGGATCGGTTCGTGGGGCCTCTTCCTGCCCTGGCTGGGCCCCGCCGGCTATGGCCATTTCTTCTATGAACGGACAAAATCGCGCTTTACGCTTTTATACCGCTTTATATTTATATCACGCCGCGAACCAATGGGAATCCAGTATTTGGCTATTCGCCAAGCCGCGGACCAATCAGAATTGAGCATAGAAACCTTCAGTTTACTTTTGTTAATTCTGACGAATCTCTCTAGAAAAGTTCTAGAACATTGACGAAATCTGACGAAATGTTATACCAAATCTCCAAATAGTGCCAGTTTACTTTTGTTAATTCTGACGAATCTTTCTAGAACGTTTTAGAACAATGAAGAAATCTGACGAAATGTTAAGAAACATGATGTCATGATTTTCAAAAACGCAATAGTTTAGGGAAATTCACTCTTAAGGACATAAAAATTGTTTATAAAAGGGATGGACATTTAGGGATGAAATCAGTTTCTCTCAACAGTTCTCTCCACCTAGTCTACAAGTGAAAGTCTACGAGTTACATATTCGGGATTGCTCGCCATCCTTAATTACATTCAGTAATTAAATAAGTTATTTCGGATCTCGACCGACGAAGTTAGTTTTTGCAGTTTCGGAAAAAGCCGAAAAAAGTTCAGTTACATACAGAGGATTACATAAAAAGTGGTTAGTAAAGCTCCGCGATTTTTTTGTAATTAGTTGAATAAGTTTTAGTAAGTTCATTTTCATATACCTAGTACTCTTTTTTCTACGGTCTGGTAGTTTGAATTTTCTTGCTTCCTGGATTTTCTTTGCGGAGAATATTCCAGAGATTACTATTACTTTATAATTGTTAGGTTAATAAGTTTTTAACTATTAACATTGTTGTAATATATCTTTTTTATAAACTTGTTTTTCTGAAGAAAACCACGTTTTTTTAATAATAAATTTTTTTAGTCAAAAATAATTTTTCGAAAAAAATATTTTTGGATAATTTTCAAAATAATTTTTTTTAACACGAAATTTATTTTTCGCGCATAACCTTAGAAACATATTCTAAATAATTTTTTTAGTCGAATTTAGTTTTTTCCAAAAAACTTAAATCTGATTTTTTTTTTACAAAAAATTTAAATTCTTAAAGGAACTCGGTCCTCCATTTTTTTTGAGAAAAATATTTTTTTTCTAAACTTATTTTTCTAACACCTTCAGGATCAGTAAAGGATCCTTAGTTAGTCTTTACATACATACCTGGAGATTAAAGAGTAATCCGGTTAGGGAACTATACAGAATGTAGATTCACTTCAAAATTTACTTTGGATCAAAATGTTCTCCGTCGGCAGGTACATCGGAGAACGCAATTTGTCCTCCTTTACACTAAAATGTTCTAAAATTCCAAAAACGAAAAAAATTAAGATTTTATTTATTGGCGCACAACCTGGCAACGTTGAATGATCACAACAGACAACATACCATTTTTAATTTGGCATGGTTACAAAACTAATCAAAAATGGTCATTCATTTTTCAAAAAATATAAAAATTTTTGGATACAGTTATTAGCAAAAAAATTAAGTTTAAGTAAAAGCCTTGTTTATTTTTTGTTATTTTTCAGAAAAAGTGTGTTTATTTTTGTTATTTTATTATATTGTTAATATGTTTTGTAAAAAAATATTTGCTGTGTTTCCTGATTACTGACAAATTTATTACCTATACCTATAGATCAATCAATATTATTACACGATCGTATATTTTTTAAGTGCTAAAAAATTCCTAGTGTCCTTTTGCTCTCTTCCGAGTTGGCAACCCTAGCCTGACATAAATTCAATTTTTTTTTATTCAAATTATCCCACTTTCCTCAACTTTTCAAGTTTTGATATTGCTCGGGCATTACCACATACTTCGATAGAAGTATGTGGGCATTACTTTCATTTCTTCGAACCTATCTCAGTGGAAATAATAGACCCCACCATCTACGAATTTCACGACCCGCTCTAATTGTATCGGCGTTTATGTATAATAAGGTTACGTCACAACATTAACAACAGCTGAAACTACTCATTCCGACCAAGTTTCCTGTTTTACTTTTAAATATATGTAAGCGTTGACAATATGTCGGTGGCTATCTTTTTTTGTACTTTGGTCTTCGGTGTTTGTGACGTATTACGCGACACTGCTATCCATATGAGTTACTCGTATGCTGCTAGCTAATGATTAATAATTATGATAATGATAAAAGATAATAAATGGTGGAGGTATGTGGTTGCCAGGTTCGAGTATTTTACAAAGATATAATCTAGACTCTTGACTCGGTATCAGCAAAGAGGATATTAGTTTATCCTCTTTGGTATCAGAGTTGTGACGTGAATGGGAGGAATAGGAGGTGTGTGCCGTTCTAAGTGTTGGTATAGGTTATAAATTATAGTCGTCGTTTCGTGTTTACTGTTGTAAGTATAGCTCTCGGACATAAATTGGCAACGTTATTTTTCACGTGCATGTAATATCAGAAATAGAACGGAGTAACTTACGTACGAGTTTTTTTTAACTAATTGAAATAAAAAAACGTGTGGGCCTGCTCCTGTTTTAAATTTATTATTCAAATATTTGTCCCTACGTTAAGCTAGATGTAAAAAGTTATTACAATTTAAATATTTATGGTCGTATATTAATTTAAATGTTTTGACACAAAATTTATACAAATATTTTAGTAAGTCCAAAACCTGAAACAAAAATGTAATATATCTACAGAGGCTTTAATATTCGAATTGTTACTGTACCGAATATTTTTCAGTGTAATTTATTAAACAAGAATGGAAAAAGGAGAGTCAGCAATGCCTTTAATTGGAGTTATAGATGCTGGGACAAGAACTGTGAAATTTTGTGTTTTCCGAAGTCAGCATACTAAAGAAATAATAGAGCACACTATCGATATCACCACATACACCCCCAAAGAAGGGTGGTCGGAACAGGATCCTAAGGAAATATTAAGTGCTGTAAGGACTTGCATGGAAAATGTCGTTAAAAACTTAGGATCAGAAAGTAAGTGTTCTCTTATTTATTTTATAAATATTAGATTTCTGTAATAACGAACGACCTTAAAAAACTAGTTAAAGGTAAATAATTACCTATTTTTATGTTAAAACTACTATATAATGTTTAAATGTTCAAATGAGGTTAGCTATATGCAAGTTAAGTTACTTAGTGGTTAACAGATAAAAATTTATAATTTAAATACAATCGTAACTTTTTCAATTGTGCATTAATGTAAACGCAATAAAATAATGTATGTAAATAATTTCTTTGGAACTAAAGTTGTGGTGGATTTTCCGTCACTCATTGATTTTTTTAAAAACGTGCATTGTGGTAAAACATTGAGACGTGGCTTGTTAATTATCTATATATAAGGTGCGTTTTTAATCACCCGTTTTTTTTTTTTATATAACTGACGTTACTCTATTAGATTTTTTGTTACATTTTATTATATAGGCCCAAATTTATTTTGTAAAGTATCGGTAAACAGAAAACTAATATCACATATAATATAATTGAAACGTTTCTATTAGATAATAGTGTAGTGTAATGATAAAATACGACATGAGCTTATTAAGTAATATAAAATGTTAATTATATCTACAGTAGATTTTTTATAAAATGGTTTTCTTGCCACCAGTTTCAAAGTAATTTTACGGCTTTGTAAAATAAAATGTATGAATTTTTATCCTAGGACGTAATTGTTTTTATCATTTATTTGTTTTCTTTGGCTATATAAATCAAATTTAAAATTATCAGTAATAAAAAAAATCCGTCTGGAATTAATCAAATTATCGTGACTTATAATTGTAATTACTATGTGAATAAAATGATGCGACATACGTGAAGCAATGATTTATGATTATCGGCATAAAAATATACAAAATGTTGTATCTCATTGAACTAAAGTGAGGTCAATTATTCTAGAGATTCTCCTTAGTTACAGATAATTTGAAGGTTTAGCAAGGACACATTTATGTATAACTACAGAGTTGGAACTGACTAATATGAATGAAAATAAAGTAGGTGCACTTTTATGAACATTTCTTTACATTTTTCTATTTAAACATGAAATTATTTCTGCTGTGGTCCCTTCTTGAGAATTCAAGTGGATATTACGCAAAAATATTGAACTGTTGCAAATAAACCACACCGCTATAATATCGCACAAACAGTTTAACATTATCACTCATAAGTGGACTTGCCGATACACATAATAAATATCAATTGCATTTTAAACTGCATTAAAAATGTCTTAAGAAAGTTGTTTCAGCTGTATAAATATCAAGGTCGTTTAAGCAAATTTTTTAAATTTTTATTTACTCGGTTAAAAAGCTCTCGTTATTGTAAATGTCTAAAAAATAATCTACAAAGTTATGTTGCGAATGTTATTGCAACTGTTTTGCATAACCACTCTTAATGCATTTAATCCATTAGCAATTCGTTAACCTCGCACTAATTCATTAAATAAAAATACGAAAATATTTGCATTTGTTATGGGAAAGCCTTGATTATAATTGAACATGGTGCATTAACGATATTTACGTAATAAATATTCATCACATACAAAGTAAACATATATTATAGATTAAAACTTTGAGTGTATTAAAAATAGATATGCAAATGTTCAGAGAACATTACCGAGGACGGGGGTTCATCTCGTTTAAAAAATATTAGTGTTCTTGTACTTCATTTGTAATAAATAATTTCTGTATCACTGTGGGAAAGTAGATTATGTTTATGATAAGAAGAAGTAATAATAAGAACAAAGTCAGTTTCAAAGGTTAAGAAACTGTGACAATTCGAAATTTATTTATGATTCACGAGATTGTTTGTGGTTACGAGTCATTTATTTATGTAGTGTTTATCGAAAGCTAGGTTTTTCTTAGGAGTTATTATTGGGAAAGTTTGGAAGTATATATTGCTACGACACTTATTTGAATGGAAATTTTATTGCCACATTTCTTTTTCAAAAATATTTAATTGCTTTTATATAAATACTTCATTTCCCTATTTTCACTTAATTATGTTGTGGTCTAACAAAATCATAATTTCTTAGTTTTTGCCCAATTTATGCATTACAGTCCGTACGATATTTGTAAAGGAAGAATTCCAACAAAAGAATAAGCGCATAAAGTTCTGTTATCGGAAGTACTGTAACAATTTACAGCGGCAGGGTCGTGCTTGAAATTTTCATTTGGAAAAATTGTATTTAAATATGCACGTTAAACACGATACTCTTCGACTGGGAATTAAATTCCTTTCTTTTATTTTTCACCTCGATTTATTTTAATAAGAAATTATACTGAAAATGCACAGGATGACACACTTACGAAGAGACACATCTTCATAACTGCAAGACACAGTATTGTTGAATGCGGTTAATTCCAAGAAAGTTATGCAGGGGTCTTCTTGGAGTTCTATCTCAACAAATATCGTACGGATGATCAATTTATTGGGTTAAAAATTGGTAACTGGTTTAAGTTTTGCATTAATAGGTTTCTGTTTGAAAATACATCACCGAGACTGATTCTTTTTGTTTGCTTAGATGGGATAACCTTTATATGAACTTGTCAATAAAAGGCTTTTACAATTCCTCCATTAAGTCGTATAACCTATTTTATCTAAGAAGATAATGTCATGAGATTAATGACTGGTGAAATTAAATTTTATTGGCATCGTCATTTGAACATTTCACGATATTTAAATCATGGGTTATAAATGTTATCTTTATTATTATTATTTTTTTCTTTTGTAATTGCTTTTATAAGAAACGTGGAATTTACATGTTTGTTTTTCTTTCGCCTTATCTCCGTGTATTTAAAATATTTGGTCAGAATCAGTTCGGGGGATTTTCCTTTTAAAGGATTTCCACAATTTGTAAATTACGATGTTGTGTCTAATAATATATTTTTTGTCTCAAAATTATCTCCAGATATACAGGCTGTTACAAATTCGCTTCTCACTACAGGCATCTCGGAAACGGTAAGATATACGAAGTGGCTTAAATGGGGGCAAAGCTGCATAATCTGGGGACCAACATAATGCCTCCAAAAAATCAAGGCTAACAGGATTAGTTTTTGAAATATTTGAAAAAAAAAACAAAATTTTCGATATTCGTATTTGTTTCATATCAGCCTTGTTTGAAGTGATATTGAAAAAACAAGAACACTTTCTAATGGCAACTTTTCGCCCTCTATCGAATGGCATAATCAATTTTTATATATTATAAAAACTTATTTCCAAAATTTCGGTTTTTTTCAAATATTTCGAAAACTAATCATGTTAGCCTTGATTTTTAGAGGTATATTGTTGGTCTCCTGATTATGCAACTTTGCCCCATTTAAGCTACTTCGTACCTCTTGCCGTTTCCGAGATCCCTGTAGTGAGAAACGAATTTGTAACAGCCTGTGTAACATATATATAATATTTTAATATTCTGGGTTTTTGATTGCCTCAGTATTTTTTAAATCATACTGTTTTTGTAAAGAAAATAAAAAATATGATAATGCCATTGCATAATATCTCTTGATATTATCAATTATTAGTTTGAAAAACTTATATTTAAACAAAAAATTACTTTTTTTATTCAATAAAATTTTACTATTTAACAAGACATTTAAAACGAACTTACTTTTCTCTCTCGACGACCCAAAGTTCAGGTGTTAGATTAAGATTGAAGCCCTCAGATTGACACTTTATTTATAGGTAACAAAATAGTCACATTGGGGATAACGAATCAAAGGGAAACGACCATAGTATGGGACAAAACGACAGGGGAGCCCCTTCACAACGCGATAGGTAAGTCTGCACCGTATTTCTAGAAATCGTTAAATTACATATCACTAAATTTCGTTATTAGTGTGGAATGATATAAGGACCAACACTACCGTGGACATAATATTAGCAAAGGTACCGGAAAACAACACAAATTACTTTAAACCGATATGCGGGCTTCCTATATCTCCATATTTTAGTGCTTTCAAACTCAAGTGGCTTATGCATTATGTCCCTCAAGTAAAAAAGGCGATGAAAGCCAAGAAGTGCCTTTTTGGAACAGTCGATACGTGGATACTATGGGTAAGGATAACTGTGATATTAATTTTTGTTGCGATTATTATTCCCATGTTGATTGAAATTTTTATTCCAACCAAAGTTAACGCTGCCGCTCAGTGTTGATGTTTACTTTCTTATCGCGGCACTATATTATTTTTATGCACAAATAAATCACATTTGTTTGCTTGAAATACAGTTCTTTGTTTGATTAGGCAGCATTGACCTGTTGAATATAACCTTAGATAGTTTTGCAGGGTCAAAGATAATGAATATTTAAAAAAAATCCGCATCACTTATTTCATTAAAAAATATATATATTTTTGATATAAAATCGTGTAATCGAAAAAAAATTATAACAGTTCACGAACAGGTATAAAAAAATAGTTTGATACCGTTTTCTATTATTTGATTGGTTTATGTCCGCATCTTGTTAATTCCGGTGGGTGCTGAAGGTTTTACTAAGGCACTTGCTTTGATTTCTGTTTTTAAGTCAGTTCCACATTTATTTGTCTTACTTTCGTATATACAATTTCTGGTTTGAATATTTTTCTATATTACGAAGCCTGTGGATGGTCCATTAACTTGTTTATTTTTTCATACGGTTCATTTCAGGTTCTCAAAATGAGATAGTTTGATATTCTTAAACCAGTTTTACATTTAACAGTTTTTGACCCGATAAAATGATCATGAATTTGCCTCGGTTCAATTTTTATTTTGTGGCCAATTTATAGGTCAAAATCAAGGCCACCCCCTTTTTTAAAATCATAATCATAATTGAGAGTACATCACTATATTTTTATTTGTAATTTAAGTGAATACACAGACATAACTGCAATAACGAACAATCCATTTTGTGATAAGAAGAGAATACAAAATATTCTTCCCTACAATTATGGTTACTGCGAAGGAAATTTATGATTTGCTTATTCTTGGTTTTAAGTGCTCTAATTTTGTGGGTATGTCCGTAGGCACACCCACAAGATTAGTTAATAAGGAACATTCCTATTTTCAATAATCCTGGAGTATTAAATTGAGAGATTAAATTGCTTTAAATTACGTTTAAAAATATAATCATGAAAAACAATGGATTTACGTAGCGTGATAAAAATGTCAGTGAGAAGCTCCCAAGGATAAATATCTGCTTTAGAAAATGACGATTTCTTTCATTCTTTTTTAAATGAATGTGAAGTATTAAGATTGGATATAGTTTAAATCTGTGCTATTTTCGTACTTGATAAATTACTAAGTCAGTTTAATCCTTCATGCCATAAAGATGTAAAGATTATTAATTCCTTAAAAAAAAAAATTGAAGAAATATGATTGTTTATTCTTGTTATTACTTTATTATTTTTTATTTTTAATTTTTTCTGAGGATATTAATTTTGTTTGAGTGAATATTTAAGCAATGCAGCTGAGAAACGTTTGTGCCTATTTATTTTATCTACTTTAAATTTTATCTAGCCTAAAGTTAAATACAGATTAACTGTAATCCACTTGATAGTTATCAGGGTACATCACATTTTAGGATTGGACATATATCCGTTACGTAAAATAATCGTGTAATGGAACATAAATTTTTGGAACATTTTTCCTGCATTCACATATATTAAAAAGATATTTTCTCAAATGTTGACGGTAGATGTATTTCAGGAAGTCTCCAAATTAGACATTTTTTTGGCGTCAAGTTTATTGACACGTGGAGTGAACACAAAAATAATTTCGGAGGCGTTAGCATTTACGTTAAGAGTAATAAAAATATATTTACTTCGGGTTATGTAAAAAGATGTGTAGCTGATTAATCTTTTAACAGAATTTGTAGCGTATTTTTGTATTTGGCAAAAAGATCGATGTTATTTCTAACTGTCAAAACAACAATCCTTCCAGACTTTCCTCTTATTAATATTTCATATTTATCGTTTAACATAATTACGCTTTGGTAATTGCTTATTGAATACAAGTATTTTATGTATATATTAGCTCCTAATTAATATTTGATAAAATTGCAATTAATCATTTTACCTGCTCGTCATGGTTGCAAATTGTGAAAATAATTTTCATATTCCTTTAGAGTTCTAAAGTAGTTTAAATATTTGTGCTACTCGATTTTACCTTGAACTGTAATTTACTAAATATATATAATTAGCGAATACATAAAAATGTTACTTTATCATGTTCCATAGAAGTGCAAATACAATTACTTATTACGTTGGAAAAGAAAATACCAGCAAAGGTTTTCTGACGTTTTGCAAAATTCTTAAATCATATTCTAATGTAACAAATAATGATACAATCTAACTAAAATACAAACAAATATTTATTTAGCCGGAGAATATCAAGTCACTTTGAGTGATGTTATTCTCTACAAATAGTTCGTGAATATTAATAACACTAATACAAGGATTTGCGGATCAATTCAGCTAATTAATATTGAAGATATAAGTGATTTTGATATAGAAATCTTTATTAGCTAAATGATATAGACAGGGTGCTTCTTTATAAGTGTTTTTTCAGAGAGGCAATAGAACAAATTATTTTAATCAGAGTTTCGTATGAAACGGGTCACTTTTTTTTAGAAAGTGCGTTATTTTTTTCTAATTAAACGAACGCACTTATTTCAAAAACACCCTGTATATTTGCAATTTTGTTGAACTAAATTAAAGATGTCAATTAGTTAAGCATAATCATTTAGTTTAGACTTATTTTTTTGACTGTCATAAAAAAATCCAAATTTACTTGGATTTTTAAAGTAATAGCGATTTCAAAGTGTAAATGTTAATACCTAAAACTGGCGTTTGATAAACAAGTTAAAGACTCCAATACAAAATTAACCATTGTTACATAAGATGTAATTAGCACGATAAAAATGTTTTATTTCTCTTATTACGCTATAAAATAATTCAATATACTTTTCATTCGAGTTAATGGCTCGTAAATATGTCGTGACGTGATTTAAACGCACAAATTTGTATGGAATTTTCTGTAATCTAAATTTTAAAACGTACCTGCAATATCTGCTAATGTTGTTGATTGGCACTTTACAGTGTATTTCGCAGAAACATGCATTATTTATCATGGAATTTCTAGAAATAAACTAATGCAAAAAATTAAAGTTCCAAAAGAATTTCCTAAATTTTTCCGTGATTTTTGACACGACTGTATTTAGGTGACAAATGGTCGTATTGGAAAATAAAATAAAATCATTTTGAGGCTATAAGATTCTTTTTTTTAGATCTTTCGTTCGAAACTTTTTAGGAGCTACGATTTTCATGCAATTCTAATAGCGCGATAAAAAAATTTTGCAATTGTTTTCCTGTTATTTTAAAATTCGTGTAAAAGATGAAAAAAAAAAGTTTTTCCGAAAAGTTGCGGCAGCATGTTAGGAAATTTATTCCAGTTTTCGAAACTGCCCTTCAATTCTCTGTACGAACATTTGTCGCCGAGATATCGATGATTGAAGACGAAAAGATCCTTTTCCATAAAAGTCTGATATTTCGATGAGAAATGGTCGTATCGAAATTAAAAAAAAGGAAATTGAATCTGAATAAACAGGTTATCTGGTCTGGCTTAGCTAAAAAAAATTTTTCCAAGTTGGAAAATTTTTTCGCTATTTCTTAGAATTGCATAACTGTAGCTCCTAAAAAATTTCGACCGAAAGATCTAAAAACTAGAATCTTAGAGCTTCAAAATGCTTTTTTTTATTTCCTGATACGACCATTTTTCACCATAAAGTGTCAAAAATCACGGAAAAATTTCGGAAATTCTTTTGACCCTTTAATTTTTTGATTTAGTATATATGAAAGAAAAATTAGTTTATCATGTAGTAATTAAATTTTTTAATGAATCAATTGAAAATAAAAAGAAAATATGCATGTATTAATTTGGGAATTTGCAGAAATAAACACCATGCCTGGAATATTATTTATTTTACAGTTTATTTCCTACAAATATTTTGGGTGATGGCACAGAAAGTAAAACGGTGAATGTTAGAACAAATTACTTCAGTAAAGTCTGATCGTATATAGGTTTTGAGGATGTGTTTTTCCGTTTTAGAACTTAACGGGTGGAGTAAACGGCGGCAAGCACATAACAGACGTCACAAATGCCTCTAGAACATTCCTTATGAATATAGAATTATTAAACTGGGATCCGGTGTTATTACACACGTTTAAAATACCTCCAGAGATCCTTCCAGAGATCAGGAGCAGTTCAGAAATTTACGGTAAAGTTGCTGAAGGGTTTCCCCTAGAAGATAAACCTATATCTGGGGTAAGTAGATCTTTAAAATTGATTTACCGGGGGATTCGGTTCACCGGTTCACAAATTGTTCACTAGACGTTCGTAGCACGCTTAAACTTAAACGCTTATGGTACTCTTTTAGATTTTGGGGAACCAGCAAGCATCCCTGGTAGGTCAAAGCTGCATGAGAGAAGGGCAGGCTAAAAACACTTACAGGAGTGGATGTTTCCTTCTCTACAATACCGGGACATCAGTAAGTCTTAACTACTCTAAAAGTACGTTTGGTTTAACATGTCTCGATTTCGTTTTTCAGAGAGTACAGTCGACTCATGGGCTAGTGACGACGGTTGCATACAAATTTGGAAATACGCCAGCTGTGTACGCCTTAGAAGGTACGACCAGTGAAAAGTTTTCTTCGTCTTGGACGTTTTTCAATAACATTATTATTCTAGGTAGCGTGGCGGTCGCTGGTGCGGTCATGAAATGGCTGAGGGACAACATGGGCTTCATAAAGGACGTCCAACAAGACACCGAATCCTTAGCCCAGGAAGTCTTTAATACCGGAGACGTATACTTTGTACCTGCCTTTAAGGGTCTTTACGCCCCATATTGGACGAAAGATGCAAGAGGGTATGTAACTTTTCGCAGTTTGTTTCAGTAAAATCATTTCTAATTGTCGCGGTCTTTCTTTTGAATCCTAGCGGCTGAAAAGAGAATATCCCGCTTCTGAAATTTTTTAACAAATTTTCAATTTTCTCAGGATCATCTGCGGCCTGACGGCTTTTTCCACGAAGCAGCACATAATCAGGGCTGCACTCGAGGCTGTGTGCTTTCAAACTAGGGATATTTTAGAGGCTATGAGAAAAGACTGCGGCATACCACTTTCTAAATTACACGTGGACGGGAAGATGACCACAAACAACCTGCTCATGCAGTTGCAGGTAACACCTTTATAATATTTCCCGCAAATGTTGTTACTGATGGTTGTTTTTTTTTAGGCCGATATTGGTGGTACACCTGTCATAAGGGCGCAATCGCAAGATATAACCGCTTTAGGCATGGCCACCGCGGCAGGGGCGGCGGAAGGTATCGACGTGTGGGACATCAACCCGGAAGAACGCGAATTAGTGCCTAGTGATACATTCCTTCCCACGTCTACAGAAGATGGTGAGTCATTTTTACTTAAATTTCAGCCCCGTAAAAAACTGGACGCTAAATGATAGAAAAATTAAGGTACTTAAACAGTTTGTTTCTACAAAATACGATTAGCCAACAACCCGTCAAGCTAAAGTTGTCGCACGACACTTTCGAATCCAATTTTTGCGAACTCGCTGGAAAACGCCTCAAGAAAAGGAAATAGTGGTACGCAAAAAACACTCAAGACACGGTCCAATTCCAGATACCAACTGAAATGAGTATTGTTCGACAGCTTAGTACCTCATGTTATCCGCCGCGCCGTTGTCACTGCTCGATATGAATTTTATCGAATTTTAAATTTATTACAACACTAATTATTTTTTTTAATTAAGCTTAAAGAACTTCAAAAAGTGATAAACATTGTATTTTATGGTATTCAATGTACGCAGTTATGTCATATAAGGTTTTTTGTTTCTTTTAATGTATTCTATCGTCTGTTTAAATTAAGGCAGTCAAACTTCTAACGCCCCGTATAAATTACAAACTATAGCAGGATCATATTCGATGCAAAGTAGAGCAAAAAATTGTCGGTCTTTTATCAAAGGAAAATCGTGTCGACATTTTTAGGAGGCGTAAGATGAACCATTTCAAATTTAAAATAAAATTGAATGTAAAATCGGAAATACCGCGGCATACGCACTGTGTTCTGGCAGTAGCTGTAGTCGCCCAGGTGCATCGAGTGTACGAAGTGGTCGGTTATGCGTCAAATACTAACCTGGCGAGCTTGGTCATAAATCGGAGACCGCCTCCAAAAAACAAGTAATCAAACAAATTACCAGACGTGAACTGATCCCTTCATAATGCATAAAGAAATTATTCAATTTATAAACCCCTTAAAATCGTATTGCACTGGATCCCTTGACAGGCAATGATTTATTACTTTGCATCGAATATGATCCTACTATAGATATTCGCGTTGGGATATAATGTATTTTTATTTTTTTTCTAATAGAGAGAGATGCGAGGTATACGAAATGGAAAATGGCGGTTCAGAGGTCGCTGGGATGGTCGTTAACGAAAAAGTCGTCTGCTATGACAGGTACTTATTATTTTGTTTGTTTTTGAAGATTCGAGTACGCCAACAAAGTATTTCGAATTTATATTCCCATTCTGCGTATAATTTTGCGTTTATAATTTTTTTTCAGAGGAACGCTACAAGCTATTAGCAAGTATACCCGGAAGTATGTACCTTATTATAAGCTTCAGTTTAATAGCGCTATCCCAATACTTATCAAAAGAAAACCTATAATGGCCTTAGAGAATTTTTAAAAGAATTTACTATTATCGAGCCAGGCTGTTGAACCGGGAAGATTTCTGATATAATTTCGTCTTCTAACTTATCGGAGGAACATGACACCACACAACCACTTTTTTTATTTTATAACTTGTACCGATATTTTGAGATATCGTCAGTCTTAATTTATATCGACGTTGACTATTCTAGAATGAAGGTGTACTTACACGTTTTGTTGAGGCTGTTCTTTTTTATTTTACAGTAGGTGTTATCAAAGATTTTGTTATGTTTTGTGGATATTAAAACAAGTTGAAAGAAGAATGCGTTTTATTTCCCTTAAAAATCCGATGCATCAAATTTCCTCGTGATTTTATAAGTTTTTTTCTCGTCATACAAAAACTTAACAATGAAGACGCACAAACACACTAAATGTTACTTTAGAATAAAATACAACCCTGCACTATACAGATTCTATTTCGATCCAAGAAAAAACTAAAGCTTCACGTAGAAAGTGATGAAATTACCTACCGTTTTCAAGCGCCACTTCAAATAAAGATAATCGCAGATTAATGGTTACATAATTTTTTTGGGGTTATGTCATGGGCACTCGGACAATGCTGATCTTATGAGATGTTCCGCAGAGGCCTCAATAACTCATAGCACCAATAAGAAATCAATATCTGGGTAGGCCTAGGGAATCCGATAGTGGAGCGACTCCCACAGAACTTAGCCCAAGAACTATAGCAAATAGGCAACCAGTACTATATTTTAATAGATTTTATTACACAGTTCGTCTAAATATGAATTAATGCACAAATAACGCTCTCCCCCTATTTTAACGCAGATTTTCTGTAAAATGGACTGAAACTGAAACTCGAATAACTTTTTGGCGTAAAGAAATTTGTAATTTACGATGTCGTTTGTTGAAAAGCGGCAAATTACAAATTTCTTTACAACAAAAAGTTATTTGAGTTTCAATTGGTTCTTGTTAATTCTAAGGTCTCTATGGGCGGAACCCCTCCTCAGACGATGAAGATCTTCTGAGATGTTCTGCAGAGGCCTCTGTACCTGGTCGCACCAATAAGAAATCAATATCTGGGTAGGCCTAGAGGTTCCGATAGTGGAGTGACTCCCACAGAGCCTAGCCCGAGAACAAGAGTATATTAAAGATACCTTAAGGATGGAAACTGATGCACCCCTGGTTGCCTATATTATACCGAAAAGTAGTAGAAAACAGCCCTTTTTTTTCCAATATATCTTTTTAAAGCAATGGAAGAAAGTAGTAAAATTTCATATCACATTTGGTAAAGTATAAACGAAGAATTTAAATCATTAATATGAAGTAATTCTTGATAAAAAAAATTCGCGTTAATATAAATAGAATTTTAACCGAGAATATACATAATAATGAGAAAATATAAAAAATAGGTACGAAATACTTATTTTGTACAAAAATTGCGTAAAGAATTATGTACAAAAGGACAATTTGAGACTAAATTTTTTTTGAGAAATATTCAGTTTACTTCACTTGAAAAAATAGTTGTAGGTACTTTAATACCTCCAATATAAACAGAAATTCTGTGGAACAGTTTCGTTTATTTATATATTTATTAAACTAAAGTAATAAAGAAATAAATAGAATAGGTACCTACAGTAAAACAGAAAGAAATTTTAAAAAATCATAAAATAAAATCATTTCTTTTTATTAATTTGTGCTTCTATAAAATATTGCGGATGCATACATCTTTTCCCTGTGGAATATTTTTGTATATTATTTCGGGTAATATACAATTTTTATAAAATTGTTCCAAATTTGTTGCCATTGATTTTTTCCATAATTCTTCATCTTAATTTGTTCTGCATAGAGCGGGTTGTTTTCACCACTATAAGGTAGACTTATTATTCCGGTTATATTTAACTGTGTATCTGAAAGTAAGAAGAATTTTACCAGATAATATTTGTTATAAACATAGATAATTATACATTTTTACCTATTATGCTTTTGATTTACCATAATATGTCTAGTCATATATAGGGTGCCACAATAGTGCGATAAAGTTTAGTATAACTGCTTGTAGTAGTGATACGAAAAAAGTTATTTGCTCTGTAACAAAAGCCGGGACGCATAGTCATTTATTTATTAGTTTTGGGAACGGATGGGCCAAAAAGTAATATATTTCAGTCGACACAAACTATCGAAAGTTGAGGGCTTTCAAGTAGGTACGTCCTTCGGAGAAATTTACCAATATTTTTAACAAGTTGGCTTAGAGTCAGGGCCATGTGACGGTCATCTGTTGCGTCTGGGAGGCATCGGCGTAGAAACCCATATTTTTAATAACGCGCGAAATCACGAGAAGAGCGTAGAGGTTCCAAAGTAGAATTAATTCAAATTGTAAATTGATAGTAATTAGAAAATAAACTAACAGATCAATAGCTGTTTTTTTTGGCGGATTTTCCAAGCTATTAAGATATTAAATGAGATTGACTAATCCGCCCCGTAATTGCTACACGGAGTCACTAGAGGAAGGCTAGGGTTACTTGTAAGTAAGTTTAGCTTCAGAATTAGTGATATAAATGTAAATTCAGTCGATTAGACAATTATTAAGATGGCATATTTATGCCAAAGCATCCCGACATTCAGGGTCTCCGCCAATAAGATAAGAACAGAAACTTCTGGACCCAAGAAATGGGCGTTAGTTAATTAATAATGGCTAGTCTTTTCCAAATTTTGCTATGGACCTGGTAAGTACTCGGAATACCAAAAGAATTTTTCTAAAAATAAGCCCGGATGTCCCAGTACATTTAGTGTAAATGACAGTTATCTTTGATCGGCTATAACTACGTAACTAATTTACCAATCGATCTTTTTTTTTTTAAGAATCGTCTCCAAGAACTTAAAACCTATTTTAAAAAATTTGATTTGGTTGAATATTCAGTTATTCTAATTGTTTATAAGTACAAAAATTCGACCAATGTTTAAACAAGTGCCAGAGCTCTCTTAATTGACGGATTCGAATTTTTCAAAATGTTTGAAAGCTTGAGAGCCCTTCTCTTTTCGTATGCAATTATGCGATAGCAAGAGAGTGGGATGGACGTACAGGCCAGACAACTTGTCATCGTGCACGTGCACCTGACGTACCGTCATTTTCTCGGTTTTTTTAGGTGTATTTTGTCGGAATTTGAATGAATGAAATAATCGTACTATTTTTACTATAAACATATTTGCTGTAGCGACATCTATATGAATATTGTAGTACTTTGTTAGATGAAACGGGACTTCAATTTCCCTTCTTAAGAGAGCTCTATAGGAAATAGGCAACCAGCACTACATTTTAATAGATTTTATTACACAGTTTGTCTAAATATGAATTAATAACAGACTCCTCCATTTTAACGCAGATTTTCTATAAAATGGACTGAAACTGAAACTCAAATAACTTTTTGGTGTAATGAAATTTGTAATTTGCGATGACGCTTGTTCAAAAGCGGCAAATTACAAATTTCTTTACAACAAAAAGTTATTTGAGTTTCAATCGGTTCTTGTTAATTCTAAAGTCTCTATGGGCGGAACCCCTCCTCAGACGATGGCGATCTTCTGAGATGTTCCGCAGAGGCCTCTGGAACTCCAACAAGAAATCAATATCTGGGTAGGCCTAGAGGTTGCGATAGTGGAGTGACTCCCACAGAGCCTAGCCCAAGAACAAGGGCATATCAAAAATACTGTAAGAGGGCACTATAGCACATAGGCAACCAGCAATACATTTTTATAGATTTTATTACAGTTTGTCTAAATATGAATTAATGCACAAATAACAGACTCCTCCATTTTAACACAGATTTTCTATAAAATGGACTGAAACTGAAACTCGAATAACTTTTTGGTGTAAAGAAATTTGTAATTTACGATGCCGCTTTTTTAAAAAGCGGGAAATTATAAATTTAAGGTCTATGGGCGGTTCCCCTCTTCAGACAATCTTCTGAAATGTTCCGTAGAGGCCTCTATAACTGGTAGGTAGCACTAACAAGAAATCAAAATCAGGGTAGACCTAGAGGTTACAACAGTGAAGTGACTCCCATACACCCTAGCCCGAGAACGAGCAATACCTTAAGAGGGCTCTATAGTAAATAGGCAACCAGCAATACATTTTTATAGATTTTAATACACAGTTTGTCTAAATATGAATTAATGCACAAATAACAGACCCCCATTTTAACGCAGATTTTCTATAACATGGACTTAGTTTGAAACTCAAATAACTTTTTGGTGTAAAGAAATTTGTAATTTAAGACACCGCTTGTTCAAGAGCAGCAAATTACTCTTAATAGTACGGGCCATAAAAGGCTTAAAACCACAAGTATTGAGGTAAGTTCCGTTAGACCATATTTTGAGGTTCCTTACACATATCTACTCTGTCAGTTATTATGTGGAACACCCTGCATATCGCGACGGTTTCAGGACTGCTGTAAAATATTCACGACGGCATAAAGCACATTAACAATAACTGTTAAATTAAAAATATTTTGAGAAAAAATGTCAACACTATTTTTGTCAAAATATTTTGCAATGTGACCAAATTCTATTGTAGTGTCTATTGAAAAACTTAGCCAACTAAAAATACTGCATTTTTTTTTAATTTGTAAGCACTGTAAGTCGGTAACGCTAAGGAGGATTGGGGATTTATTTGGACATAAATGGAAACCTTGTAAAGGCAATGAAGAAAAGAACAGGATCGTCTACTTTCCCTGTAATTTATTCTCAATTATACATAAAAGAACTGTTGCATGGCAAAATATTTACATGAATAAAAAACATATAATAATTTTAATCATATATGTACAGACTTTGGTAGCCGCTTCCTGAGGAAATCATAATATATGTACAGTATAGTCCATATGACAGTATGAAAAACAGAGTTAGGAATTATTAGTAATAAATAGTGCGACTGCTAGTTGACTGCAGCTCGTTTATTTTAACACATACCCATACCTTGTACTATTCATTATCCACCAATAATTGTATCAGACTTATTATGTTGGTTTACATTAATGTTAGTAGAAAAGAAATAAAGCGTATTTTTTTTTTGTAAAATATTAAAATATAAGATATGTTGAAATACTTCCTAAAGCATATCAAAATATTGCGTAACATTCTAGTCTACTTTAAAATACATTCATAAATATTAATACTCAATAGTTTCAATGCAAAAATAATTTTTACTCTTGATTAAAATCCTATAAAAATTATAAACTATCGAATCTAGTTCTTATTACTCAAAACTAGTAACTTATAAATAAGTTTCAGTTTCAAGGGTGTCATAAAAAATATTTGACAATATATTGGCAACTTTTCTGTAGTAACATTGACAGTTTTAAAATTGAATTACGACATGTACTCAGCAGGTTAATAGCGATTCTATAGCAAATTAAAACATCCTAGAAATACGTTATTCGAAGGAAGTTGTATACAGGGTGTCTGCAAATTTCACCGACAACGTTTGACTGCATATTCACGACGACAAATAAATAAAAAAAACTACTATTACGGCATATTATTTCTTAAAACTTTAGTCAAATCGATATACTGGGTGATAGTTTTCTACGGTTACCTTTCCCTTTTAGCGGTCAAAACTTTTACAGTGGTCGTATTTTTTTAAAACGGGCAGCAACATTGAAAAGGTTTTATTTAAAAAAAATAGTATCGCTTGAGAAAATCGCCTACAGTTTCGGTTTGCGTAGCAGTGTCACAGATTTAAAACTTTGAGTGCAGTAAGCGATGAAAACAAGATGTTGATTGCTGTGGGTATCATTATTGTCGTGTTTCTTTAGGATTCTCACCACTCCACACATGCAAATTATGAAAATCAGCGGCAAAATTGTAAACGTGCGTTGAGATCTAAACTTTCAAGTTCTTGAGCCTCCTGCTGAAATGGCCAAAGAAGTTAGTTGTCTTGAAGCGCTGCGGACGCTTCATAATTTGCATGTGTAGTTTTTTTTTTATCTGAAACGACCTTTTCAATGTTGCTGCCCGTTTTAATAAAATACGACCACTAAAAGTTTTGATCGCTAAAACGGAGAGGTAACCGGAGAAAACTACCACCCAGTATATCGATTTGACTAAAGCTTTAAGAAATAATACGTCATAATAGTCCAAATAAATGTGCCAAATTTTAACGCGATGGGTAAAAGGTATATGAAGTTATTAATTAAATTGGTTTTATTTTTGACAGCTTTTAGAAAAAATTTTTATTTAACTTTTCGTAGATCGTATTTATTTATCGTCATGAATATGTAGTCAAACGTTGTTGGTGAAATTTATAAACACCCTGTATAGTAAGAAATCAAATACTACTTCTTCAAATATAATGAGCCTAAGTCCTACTTTTTTCCTTTCTTAAACGTCGAAGTTTCTATTAGGCCAGCATACACAATGCGGTTTACCAGAAGGCAGACCTTCCAGTTTCCAAACCGAAAGGCAAACCATATTGTTAGTGGGTACATAAGCCGGAAGGTCCTGAACTCTCGGCCGTCCAAAAGCCAGCGCTTGAAAGAGTGACCGCAAAAATCGCCCGTTTTTTCACAATTCGCAGAGAACTAAAGAAAGTAGATAAAAATATGTTTTTGGTCTCAAATTACTCGTCGTAAAAAATTAAGATGAGCATAGCTTTTAGTTATTTGAAAATTTTCAAAAATCACCCCTATTTAGGAGTTGAAAAGACGCCCAAAATGAAGAATTGAATATTACCAATAAATATAAAAACTATTAGCATGTGAATTTTTCTATCCAATGATTCTTGATACAAAGAAAGATTTATTCTCATGACTGAAAAAAACATGTTGAATGAGAAAATCCACCCTTAAGCGCGCTCAGGGGGTGTAATCATCCCCAAAAATAGAGAATATCAGAAATAATTGTAAAAATTCCAAAAAAAATATATTAAGATAATTCACATGCTAATAGTATTTATATCAATTGTAATATTCAAATTCTTCATTTTTGGCACTTTTTCAACCCCAAAGTAGGGGTGATCTTTAAAATTTTCAAAATACTAAAAGCTATGCTCATTTCAGTTTTTTACGACAAGTAATTTGCGACCAAAAACATATTTTTATGTATTTTTTTAAATTCTCTGCGAATTGTGAAAAAACGGGCAAAAATCACAGATTTTTTACGGTCCCTCGTTTGCCTTCTCATGTCTTCTTCATGTTTTTCTCGTACAAGTCGGAACGTATATGCCTGAGGAATGAGTACAGGCTGAGAGTTTCTGAACGGAAAGAAAGCAGTGTTGTCATAAATATTTTTGTAAAAAAATTGCTGATATGTGAACGTGATCTCGCCAATACTTAACAGAATTGACCGAGTTATATAGACCTGCTATATTGCAGGTACTTGTTGCACGACTGCCACCCACAGAGGGCGAAGACAATGTTTTAATTGTCAGTGTTGCGAGAAACAACTACTCCGAGGGCTATATGCCCCTACCGGCATTAAATTATACTCGCAACACTTAGTGCAACAGTTATGACACACTGATGAGGACTAATAAGTCCGAAACCGGTCTGTGCCTGGTGGGTTAAACTGATGACGAATGATCCTAGCTGTTGCGAGTATAATTCAATGCCGGTAGGGGCATATAGCCCTTGGAGTAGTTGTTTCTCGCAACACTGACAATTAAAAAATATATAGATCCCTGCCTTGCTTCTATGATTCAAAAAGCAAGCTATATTTAAACGAACCTTTGAAATTGACCGTCTAAAATAAGTTAGTTGAAAAATTGGGGACGATAGATGCTGAAGCAACAAAAGATGGTGGTTACAAAAATTAATATTTCATCTGTTGAATTTCCCGTAGTCGAGATCATGTCTACAACTTTCTGCTAAATTTTCTGTAAAACTGAATAAAATCCAGCAGTAAAAAGCAGTGTATAGTGTGGCTGATAGGCCTCCGGCTTTGCGTCCGGAAGGTTGGCCGTCCGGCAAGTCGACACATGTATGCTCACATTTGTGGTTTGTAAAATCAGTTTGCTTATTACATCACCTGTTTAATATGGCTCGATTTAACTGTCCGTTAGGGTGTTATAACAAAACTCTACTGTATTGTGAAAAATATATATATTTTTCAGAATTAATTCTCTTAAGTTTTTTGGTACCTTTTCAAGACAAGATTTCAGTCGAATAGTAAAGACGTGATTGTAGCACATTTATTATTAGATTGGAATAAATTATAATTGCGATGTAACAAGAAACAAACCCAACTGTGGTAATAAATGATAATTTACGTCAAAGCAGGTATGTTTTAATTAATAAACAAAAATAAACTGTTAATCTTATACAACAATAATAATAAAATCATTTTAGTTTTTCGGTGTAATAACGAATTTCCAGCTTTAAAACCTTGAATTACCTGAAGGGATTTCCCCCGACCTGAATGTTTCCCACAATTTAAATTTGCATTCATTTCTAAGAATATGAGACATACACACTAACACAATATAGTGTCAAAAATATAGTCCTCATTTAAGAAGGCTCTATCGCAAATAGGCAACCAGTAATACATTTTTATAGATTTTAATACACAGTTTGTCTAAATATGAATTAATGCACAAATAACAGACTTTCCCTCATTTTAACGCAGATTTTCTATAAAATGGACTTGGTTCGAAACTCAAATTACTCTGTGATGTAAAGAAATTTGTAATTTACGATGCCAATTACAAATTTCTTTCCACGAAAAAATAATTTGAGTTTCAAACTAAGTCCATTTTATAGAAAATCTGCGTTAGAATGGAGCAAAGTCTGTTATATGTTCTTACGTAGAAACAAATCAACAAAAAAAGTTCCAATGTGCTTTTTTTTAAGTCAATATATAACAGAGTTACATAACATCAGTTATTTTTTGCCATAACTATTAAAATTGTTTTATATGATCGTAAGTATTAAGCAGAGAACGCATTAGGCGGTCGCGGTCTGTTCTGGGTTGAGCTGATCACGGTCTTTTACTAAATCAGTCGCATTTGGCAATTACACACAATCCTGCTCGCGCCTTCCTTTAAATAGTTGCGGTATTGTTTTAGTAGTTAAGAAAATGAGTTCTATGGAAGAGGAAACTCGTCTCGATCGCATCGCGGTCTCCCGAGATTCTTTGAAAAAGATCGGAGGGGAAAGCGATGCGAGCAAGCGAGACGAGCTCGGGAACGTCTAGTGCGAATGCATACATTATAAAACATGGGAAGGAACTCCACTGCGCGACACGAATCGCGATGCGATGGGATCGCGACTGCCGAATGCGTTTTCTCCTTTAAATTCTGCAAAATCTTTACTTAATTACGACGAAAAAAATAAAAAATATTCAAATTGATAATTTACTGGAATTTTAATACAAAAGCTGGTTACAAATTGTCGCCACAAAGCAATAAATGCGATTTTCCTTGGAAACAACTAATGACTTAATCTGAAGCTGTTTAATTCTCGTTCAAAAATTGCAAATAAAAACTTATGACCAATTTTCTTGCCACCATTTGGGGTCTCAAAATTTATGTTTTTTTTTCATAGGTGTAATAGTAGAGTTCGGGACTCGATCGAAAGATCATGGCTGTCGCGTTGGCCTTTCGCTACAGCGCATCATACGAAACCGGTAATAACGGCAGTTATTGCTTCGTGGGCGTTTGCTTCGTGTATACGTGTTTTAATATTCTAATAATGTCGAACGCGCCAAGGGGTAAAAAACGACCTTTCGCTGATAAAATACGCAAATTTATTTATTTTTATTTACCTGTTTATTCATTTGTTTACGACGAAAACCCCAACTAGTAATAAGTGTGATGGTACGTAACTAAATTAGTTTTCGAAAAAATATCTCATTTTGGCTCATAATTTCTGAACACCCTGTATGTAAATATTTAAAATTCCTTCATCAATAATTATTAGTGCTGCAATCAGATCTCAAACAACACTAAGGGACAGTAAAGTAAAAATAAGTTCGATATAGTCAAGTTCAATCAAGGCAAATCTAATTTTTAGATGTGAAATTAACAAAAGGCTGCCCCAACAACTTTTTTTACGTCACAGCCCCTTCCGTTACCCTCACGACTTTCCATTTCTCATATACCCGATCCTTAAAAATCAACACTTCCAGTTTGATTATACTCAACTAAAAATATTGTCTAAATTTTAATTTGCTATCGAATTACTGCCGCAGGGAAAAGACGCAGTTACGTTTGCTATCCCAGCTTAGTACCGAATTCGTGAAGAATATCACAAGCCATGTCGACGTTATTCCTAGTAATCCCTAAGGCCTTAATTACTGAATCCCTAGAATAACCCTCACTGACCAGCTTCTTAATGTAATCCATGTTTAAATTTTCATAAGAAACATTCGTCTCTCTCTCGAGGGGATTCACCTTCTTCTTGTTCTTCGGCGGTACCTCCAGATCCACATTTTCGTACTGAGGTAAACTCGGATCCGGAGTCGTTTGATAGCTAATATTGGGACTAGTACTGGACTTCACCGGCTTAGCAGCTTTAGGCGCGCTCCTGTTAGAGGGACAACTCAAGTGCCGATTAGGCACCTTTACGTCTATAATATTTTTATCGTAGTAGTCACAGTTCTGTATGACGACCCCATAAATCGTCTCCGGGGAACTCAATTCTACCACCTCATTCTCTGAACTGCTATTTCTGTGAATCTCTATGTTCAACATCGAATTGCTTTTGGGAATATGAGGTATATCGATGGTGTTGTGCGTCAGGTTTGTGACTGATTGGGCCTCGCTCAGGCCCGGGTTGCTGTGCGTACCGTTTCGCATGGCGATGCTCGAAGTTGTGGGTAGGACTGTTTGTTCGTGGGTCGGGGAGCTCTTGCGGGGCGGTAGGGGCGGAGGGACCGCACTTGGTACCACTACCGGTATATTCCGACGCATGCAGCGGGGGCTGCTTCCTGGAGATATCATCGGGCTTGCCGAGGCCTGCCGAAAAAGATAATGAATTTTAAATTTTTTATTTATTCCGTTCCGGTTTATTGTTTATGAAAAATTTGTTGAAATAATGAAAAAAGTGGAAGTCGGGGTAAAACTAAGTGGCGTTTCTGTTATCTAGACAATGTACCAACAATATACAGGGTGTTGTAGGAGGTTATAGTACAAGTGATTTGTGATATATTTTCTTAATATACCATATTCCGAAAACGCTTAGTTTTGGACCTACAGGGTGTTAAAATTTAAAAAAAAAAATGCAAATTTATAAATATCGCGGAAACCGCTCAGAATATTTTAATGAAATTTTACAAGCCTTGACAGTCAACAACAATATACGTTTTACGATAAAAATATTGTTTTCAGTTTCATCAGTGACGTATCATTTTTTTCTTTAAAAATATCCAGACATGCCTATGCGCACGCCACTGGTGAAAAAGAAAACAATATTTTTATCGTAAAACATGTATTGTTGTTAACTGTCAAAGCTTGTAAAATTTCATTAAAATGTTCTGAGCTGTTTCCGCAATATTTGCATTTTTTTATTAAAACTTAACACCCTATAGATCGGAAACTAAGCGAGGAATGCATTGACTTACCAAACACCCTGTATACATTTCCTAGTAACGCGCTTATAAAAAAAATCTTTATTCCAGATTTAAAAGTAAATGAAGCTGTTGCGGAATTATTTCCACACATATATGGTGTAATCTATTATAAAAACTATAATTTCTTTCTAAATGTATCCATATTAAAAGTGAAAAAATGAAACCTTGAATAATAATCATCATATCACACGTCGACAACAAATTTATCAAAAATACGCAAATAAACATGCTTTAATTAAAGGAAATGTATCAAACAAATTATCACTGTGGTTATAATTATTCTTTACCGCAAATATGTTAAACATAAGGCATATTTTATATATTTGAATACTAATTTGGTACATTTTTAGTAACAAGGAAGAGGCTTCATATGAAGTAAAAAGATTTAATTTAGTTATACTAGAGGCAATGCTGGGGTGTCCTAATTAGATATTTTAAGAGGGCTCTATAGCAAATAGGCAACCAGCAATACATTTTTATAGATTTTATTACACAATTTCTCTAAATATGAATTAATGCACAAATATGAGGCTTTTTTCCATTCTAATGCAGATTTTCTATAAAATGGACTTGGTTTGAAATTCAAATTACTTTTTGGTGTAAAGAAATTTACAGATTTCTTTACAACAAAATGTAATTTGAGTTTCAAAATAACTTAATTTTATAGAAAATCTGCGTTAAAATGGGGGAAAGTCTGTAATTTGTGCATTAATTCATATTTAGACAAACTGTGTAATAAAATCTATAAAAATGTATTGCTGGTTGCCTATTTTCTATAGAGCCCTTTTAAAGAAAAGTTATTACTAAACATTGTGATCGTGGAACTGTTTTGATTGTGGAAAAATAAACATTTTTTTAATAACTTTAACATCCTGTATTTCGAAAACGAAGCTATAAAATTTTAAAACTTTATTTTAAAGGTCCAACGTCAATTAAATTTACCTGATTCAAATCTGGAACATCCTGTATAAATGAGGACTTATGACTATGTTTTACATCATGAAATTGTTTTAAAATTAAGAATAATGAAATAATTTTATAAGATTATGAAAATTTTCATTGTACTTGTCAAAAAAAATCTGGAACTATCTTGAAATTTCTCAAGAATACTTTTTAGTTCTCATTTTTTTCAAAATTACACCAATCAGTAATCTTGATCTTATTGTTTTAATTTTACCGAAATTTAATTGCCACAAGGAAATAAAATTACTGTTAGAAATAAAATTAGTGGCCACGTGGCTTGTAATCATTTATGAACGCTTAATTTTGGCGAAGTTTTTATTTAAAAACAAATATTACTCACGGAAATATCTGATCTTGGCGACAGTGCCAAAGCGTGGAGGCTAATTCCTGTGCAATTCCATAATTCCCCGGCATCCTGAAATAAAGAAAAATTGAAAATGCAATTCGTTAATAGATTAAATTCAATGAGGACCAAAAATGTCAAGGAGGAACAGTTTTGAATAATTTGTGAAAAATAAATATATTTAATGGATTCGACACTAATTTTTGGCTGTAAGTTCGGCGACTTTTTTTTATAGAGTGAGCGGTGAATTTTACTCACCTAGTATATAATAATCCTTAAAAAATAAAAGTAAAGATGAACTTTTTTAACGTTATTTCTGTCTCTTTTAGCCAAGGGATTCCAGCGGATGATTGAAAAGATTCGTGGTTTCGTATATTTACAATTTACAACACAGTAGCAACGATTACGTGAATGCGAAGCGTAACGTCATGCATTTTCGCTGTTAATTAAAAATCGTTACTTACCTACTTCTCAAAAAAATTTAGTAAAAAAGCCATAACACTCAGCTGTACACGAACACCAACAAACAAAACAAATACAATAAATAAAACAAAATTAGTTTTACGTATAAAATGTTATATTATAAATAATCGTTCGGAACCAGTTGTTCTACACAGTAAACAGTTCTTATATAACGAACATATTGAAAATAAAAAAATATACATGCTTTTAAGAAGTATTTAAATAATTATATACAAAATAACACTTTCGTAAAAAAAGCTAACTGCGAAATTTTTAAAATTTTTCAAACTAATCTAATTACTGATAACGATTTCTGCAGTTTCCACAAAAATATTGTCCGAAATGACGTCTGAAGCGGAAGAATTATACCAACTGTGATGTCGTCGATGAACTTTTCTCACAAAATTAAAAATGTCTATAATGATAATACTTTTATTTTAAGTACATTTTGATTAAAAAAATACTATTTTTAGTTTACTAAATCCGTGTAAACACGTACAAAGGCATGTATTTAAAACGAAATTTACTCTTAAATATGCAAGACGCGCTTTTCAAGAGTAAGGACCGTTTTGAAACGAGAGTAAATGAGAAAACACAAAATATATTAGTCATTCCACATACATTATTTTTTTTTGGGGGGGGGGGGGGGAAATTTTTTCAATAATACAGGGTGACCCAAATAAAGTGCAAATAAATAAGAGAAGGTTTTACTCGTTATAAGTTTCGAAAACTAAACGTTAATGGTGTAACATAATCTTATATTTTTTTTATTGGAATATTTATTTTTCCAATTTATTTCTTCAAATACACCAACAAAATCCTTAAAAAAACAGCTAAAGTTGAAACTTTTTTAAAATATCTTAGTTTTATTTCAAATTCACTGGAAAGTTTCCAAGAAAAAAAAACATTTAAATGTTTGGAACATTAAAAAAGTTAAAATTTACCTATAGACCAGGAAAGGGAACATTTTGAAATTTATTAATTACTGGGTGTGATTTTATTGTTGGAAAGTCTTCGGAATAATAATACAAGAGGCGTCTCATCTCGTGGGTCACGAAAAAGGTATAGCGTCATTGTTTTTCATCAACAAATAGGTCAAAAATTCGTCATTTTTCGTTCTACGCGTTATTGTAAAAAAACTATAAATCTTAGCAAAACGTGTTTAATAGACGATTTGATCTAGAGAAACTCATCTTTAAAATGAGACTTTATAAGGTAAAATTGCTTTATAAACAAAAAATTTATTGCAAAATTAAACGGAAAAAGTGCTTTTTCTTTAATTGTTAATAACTTTTTAAATAATTAATAAAATCTTACTAAATTTTCCCAAAATGTGAGTTTTTATATCCTTAAGTGATGTGCAAAAGATGGGCTTGATCGGTCAAATAGTTTATCCAAAATTCCATTTATTTATCGCAATTTTGCAAAAAAGGCCCATTTTCAAATGACTATTCCGGGGGCAGGGTTATGACTAAAACATTCTTTTTGGGCTCATTTTCTTCGAAAGGACACCAAGTATCCTCTAGTTAAAAAAAAAATATATATTTTTTTCAAATTTGATTCTATTAAAAAAAAAAAAATTCTACGACCAACAGATCCGGAGTTAGCAATTTTTTTTAGTTAAATTTGAAAAAAATTTAATTTTTTTTAACTAGAGGATACTTGGTGTCCTTTTGAAGAAAATGAGCCCAAAAGAATGTTTTAGTCATAACCCTGCCCCCAGAATAGACATTTGAAAATGGGCCTTTTTTGCAAAAATGGGATAAATGGAATTCTGCAAAAACTATTTGACCGATCGAGCCCATCTTTTGCACATCTCTTATGGATATAAAAACTCACATTTTGGGAAAGTTTGGTAAGATTTTATTAATTCTTTAAAAAGTTATTAACAATTAAAGAAAAAGCACTTTTTCACAATTTCTCGATGATTTTTCACCTTTATTTCTTGGTCTACTATTTTGTACATCGAAATTTGATAAATTATCTTTAATTACCTTTTATATCCCCAGAATTGTTTTTTTTTTGTGAACGTAGTGTGTTATCAACAAAAAATATAACAAATTTGAAAAAAAATTGCTTAATTGAAAAAAAAAACAATTTTGATGTTATGTAATTTCACTAATACTGAATGAAACAAACCCAACAAAATAATTTGTACATCAACCATGTGTGTTCATGTAAACCTATACATGGTGTTAGAACTCAACCATTTCCGAGAAAAAAAATTATCAAAATCTCCAAATTGATGTACAAAAGTTCTATTAATTAAGAAATATTGACATAACCGCATGTATAGACTACCATAAAATACAATGTTTATCACTTTTTTGAACTTCTTTCTACTTAATTCTAAAAAATAATTAGCGTTGTAATAAATTTAAAATTCGATAAAATTCATATCGAGCAACGTGACAAGGGCGCGGCGGATAACACTAGGTATAGTTGTCACGATATCAATTGGAACCTTTGAATTTTTTCCTATGCCTTAGCCATGATATGTCTCGTAATTTATACTCGAATAGCCATCGGGCGAATCCGGTATTGGTAAACCAGTCCGCCTGATGTAGAATCGACGGCGGCGCGCTGGTCGTCAAAGCAAACCTGTATTGGTCCACTAGGTCATAAATAATTTTTTGTATGGTATTTTGTGGTTTGGTGTCGAGCGGGTACACTCGGCTTTGCCAGTGTAGCGGAAAGCGATTAATTATTAGTTAATATTATTATTTGCTCATATCGTAACCAGTTAGGTAATAGTTATTAAAATAAATATTATAAGTAATTATCTAGTAATTTAGCATTTACCCGTACAATGTATTATTTTAAATATATATAAATGTGTGAAAAGAGAAAATGGGGAACAATGTGATAAAGAAATTAGGAAACGGATTAGCGAATTAACTACGATATCAAAAACGACAATTTATCGCGTAATTAAAGAACACTATTAAATACAGTACAGTATATCGTAACGACTATACTAAGCTGTCCAGCAATTCGCAATTCAGTTGGTATCTGGAATTGGACCGTGTCTGAGTGTTTTTTGCATACCACTATTTCCTTGTCTTGTTTGTTTAGAAATAGTGAAAATGTAGAAAAATAACATAATTCTGTGTTTACTTGAAGCATTGTTCTTTTTAATATTCTTATTTGTTCTCATTTCATAACCGAGCGGCCTTACTCGTGAAATGCGCCTCATATAAAAACCTAAAAATTACTTTATGAAGAATACTTATGTATAATATAAAAAATATTGCAAGGTGAAAAAGTCAGTATCGTGATCATAGCGGCGGGATGTGTCTAAGACCGGCTGAGTAATAGCTTCTGCAATTTTTAAACGAAAATATCCGCATCGCTCTCTACTTTCGTATTTAAAGAATTTTCATTCGCTACAAGACAAACCAGCAATGGCAGAAACTACGACTGCAGCGCCATCTACCAAAAACGAGACGAACCACAAAGAGATGCGCTCACTAAACAGCGAATTAGAAAAAAGAACACAACCTGTGCCACGCAATGCAAACAACCGAGTGACTGTTAATTCCATGCCAGAAGAGAAAATTTATCAAGAGCCTCTCATCGGCAGACAAGAAATAACTGGAAATAAATAGCGCGAGAGAAAATTATCTGGATAAATTTCCTCCCGAGATCCCAGTGTACATCGATAAAGCTCAAATGGACAAGCACAAAAAAAACGAAAATAAAAAAATAAAAACAGGTAATTGTGAAGCACAGCCGAAGGCATGAAGAGCGGTTTTTATTCAGCGTAATCGTTCGTGCCACTATGCTCATTCGCTACCTCTAACTCGAAGTCCTCGTCGTCGATGTTGCAGGCGTTCTGAGAACTGGCCGTGGACGTTTTGGGCCGCTGGTGGGACTTTTTCGGATCGAAAGGGTCCACTACGATCTGTTCCGTTCCTTTGATCTCCGCCCGACAGAACGGGCAGCCCTGACTGCCCTGGCCCTCGGACCCCTTAAAAGAAATTTGGATATCGTTCGGTGCCGGGTTATATTAACGGGTTAATAAAACTTACAGCCTGCCAAGCGGTGAGACACGGCGTGCAGAGGAGGTGGCCGCAGGGCTCGATCCGGACGTCCTTGTCGTTCTCCGCGCAGATCTTACAGAGTTGGAATGTACTACCCATTTCGCAATATAATTCGTACTGTTCTTGTGTGACGGCGATGTGATCTTCTTGACTCGGTTGGACTGCCCACGACAGATCGGGGTTGACGTTCCTGCCATCCGGGTATAAGTAACTGAGAGGAGAAAACAAACGATTGTACGCGATTTACTGTTATTATACGTATAATATAATATACGTATTTTATTGGATATGCCAAGTAGCTGCGCGCGCATCTAGTCCTGTGGAGTGGGGTGGAGGGTGTGGCCTAGGTGCGCCCTCTACCACGCGCAGGTTTAGTTACGCGCGCAACGACATTGAGGTTGGAATGGCGTACAATTCGCCAAATCTGTCAAATAACTTCCCGAAGAAATAAATCGGAGGGTAAATAATTTTTTCGCATGTTTACATCAAAATGTTTTTATAAAGAGTGATATTTCTTTATGTAAATAAAAAAATAACAATTTTCAACTACATAAAACAGCTTTAACTAAAAATACCAACAGTCTATGGTAGATTATCAAAACCCACATAGTTAGCATATCACAAGTAAACCACCTTGGTTTGGTTATGATAAAGTACCAGTATATACAGCGTCATGATAAAGCTTGGAACAAAATTCATAACTTTTATACTGAGTGATTATAACAAGCGAGATATTGCGAGAAAATTACATTTACCTGAAAAAATTATTTAATGTCATTTTTCATAAAACAAATTGTATTTGGGAAATGTGTAGATGAAAACCAAGTGAAGCGACGTATTTCTGGGGACTGTCATCTGTCGATTGTCAAAAACGAGCGGTTACTGGAAGCGACCACAAACCGACCGGGAAATTTTTCTAAATACAAACAAAAGAGTTATAATCCTACTCACAATCCTTCTCGGTATCCGTCCAACAGGGCCTGGATCAGACTTTTGTTCTGCGGTATGGTCTGCAGGATCTCCCCGTCCGTCGTGACATACCCAATGGCCCACTGGCCCAACCTGGTGCACGACAGCCTGAACACATAGCTTCCCGCCTTGTTTATGTATTTCTGCAATCTCGCTTTGACTTCGTCGTACGTTAGGAATGCTACATAACCTGGATGTGTTACGGCCAAGATCTGCCAGTTTCTCAGCAAAGTGGCCCAAGGCTGAAATAACCTACAACGAAACATATAAATAAATAAACTTGCTTGTATAGATGTGAACATAAAAATTGACGGTTTTAGTATTAACGTTTATATTCTAAACCGTAAAATACAGAGGCAGCAAGAATTATTAAGTAAATCAATTAAAAAACAACATAAAAAATTGATGTAGCCGTTGTATTAAAAATATCACTTACAATAATCTATTAACACACCGTAAAATCATCTAATTTTTCTTCCGATCATTAAACGAACCGAAACGAACCTATATTTATTTTGAAAATTATAAAGTAGGTACTTAAACCACTTAGTCTTACAATTAGTAAACTTTAATACTTATATTTTATTTAACTGTATGTTAATGTATTTTTCGTTACATTTTTTGCGTTCTAGTCCAAATTAAATAAACAATTAGCGACTTTATTATTATTACAGCATATAAAGGAATAAAAATAACTAATTAACCCACTGAGGATTTGCATATTCTGAAAATTCTTTTCTATGTAGTAATAATGGACCAGAACCCACCAAGTTCACAGTTGGGATGGGCCACCTTAAGGTCACACTAGTGCGAATCGGGATTTTGCCAACTTTGAACCTTAATGTCTTCTTTATTTGTCAACGAAAACATAACGTATTTATATCAAAGCTGGGGTAAAATTGTTAATAAAAAAAGCGATTAAAAAAAAGAACATTTTCCGAAAAATTAATTTTAAATTAGTATTTTTTCAAATAAATAATAGCTAGAGGAAAAGTTAAAAAAAAGGATTTTGAAGTTCAAAGTCTATATTTTTAAGAAAAAATAGCCCATTTTTTGAAGCTTTGATTTTTGCCCTCTTTCTGTAAACTGATGTTTAACCTGCACTCTTTTGTATACAGGGTGGCATAAATGTATGGGAACCCCAAAAAATCTCGCAAATGTGTTATTTTTTGAAAATTTGGTTGGCCATCTTGGACCCGCCATCTTGAATTTTGCAAAGTTGACGTCGAATTCGTGATCAGCGATCCCGGAAACCCCCGTATACCAAATTTGGAGCGAATCTGTTATTTTTTAAAATTTGCTCGGCCATCTTGGATCCGCCATCTTGAATATCGCAAAATTGACCGCGGATCCGTGATCAGCGACCCCGAAAACCCCCGGATACCATATTTGGCGCGAATCTGTCATTGTTTGAAAATTCCTGATATTTGATCACAATTGACCCGTTTTTTTTTTGAGGTTAGAAAAAGAACTATCAATTCTGACCGCCAATTCACATTCGGCGGGGTCTTCTTAACCATATAAATGTACATTAGAATATAGAAAAATTTTTTTTTGTATTATTTTTCCTAACGCTTTTTCATGAATTTTTGCCATTTTCGTCCTGTTTTTTGAGGTTAGGAAATTCCTGTGATGTCATAGCTCAATTCTGACACCGGGTTCATGATCAGGAGGCAAAAATACTACGGATAACATATGTCGCAAGAAAAGTACAGACAACTTTTTTTTTGTGTAGCCGTGCTATTAATGAAAAAATTAACAATAACTAAATAAACAACGTTCCAGTTTATTGGGCACGAAAAATGAGATGAAAATAATCGGAAATGTGCATTTCAATTCACTTTATTTCTAGATTATATGATATAAATCCAGCCACACTTGCTCACACTAGTGCGAATTCGCACTAGTGTGACCTTTGACGGTTAATAATGCATAGCTTGAAGTATTTGCCCTCATTGGGATGAGTATGAGAATACTAAAATTACGCTTTTATTTATTCTTAAGTTATACAGAAATTATGGAGATTACAACATAATTGCTGGATATGCCTTTCCCACAGAAATGTTATTGAACTCTTCAGTAGGTGCTTCAGTTCAATCGTTTTAAGAAATACCTTTAATTAAGTACTACAGTTTTCAGAAAATTCCACTGTCATTTTAGACAGTGGCGTAACAGCAGTTTCTATTAAAACTGATATTAAAATTCATATGCAATTTTTTAATACTCGTACATAATTTTTAATTTTTTAGAGATTTTACAAGTTACGCCTACATCATCTATCTGGTCGTATACATATCTAAAACCAGTTGACGAACCCGACGACCGCCATTAGCCGATGGTAAAAACTGAAAAGTCGTCTCCCGGAAATTGCGACGGCCTTAGAGTTCTCGGCTGCATCTCGACACGTCCCTAATTATTCATGTTTTATACACAGACGTAACGCCATTAGCATAGCTATGCGTCTTCAGTAGCAGCTTCCCTGCCCCCTTATCGTATATCTGCGACTGGTGTGAACGAACTAACTACACACTCAACATCCTGTATTATTGAAATATTTTCTTGGTCGTGCATCATCAATAATGCACATACATAATTCGTGTAGGGTCTGGCACCGAGTTTATCCAGTCGCTGTACAAATCCAACAAAAATAAGGAATTTTGTTTGTTTAATGTCTAAAGCTCGAGAGTCAACTCAACTGAATATTTTCAACATGCCGTATTTTCTTAATTGTAATGTTAGTACTAATAGCGCGCAAGGTTGTCAAAAGATCGCTTATTTCTGATTTTGACAAGGGCTATTACCACTAGACCAGTGCTTAAGCCTTAAAAAATGGTAAAAAGTGAAAAAAAATTATAGTAGGATGAAACCCATTGGAAAAGGAAGAGAATATAACAGGAATGAAAGGAAAAATAATTTACGGGCGAGCTGAGGTCGGGAAGGGGTAGGGGGTGAGTTTTTAAGGGTAAAAAACGGTTTATCTTGATTTCCGGAAAAACTACAAGCCTTATGGAAAAAAGTTAAATGGCAATGTTGTAGGTAATAAAAAGATCTACAACTTTTGTATTTACACTTTTTTCACATAACCTCAAAATTTATGTGAAAAATTCAAATAACCAAGTTTTTGGTTTTTTATTTTTCTTTTAGAAAAAATGTTGTTTTTTCATGAAATTTGGTGAAAACTTACCTATTTATGTCCCAAAGACGCTGTAATTTTTTTTATTTGAAATATTTATTTTTTCACCTTATTTTTACTTAATATCGAAAAAGCACCCTAATTTTCAATCGAAAATTCTCACGTCAAAATATCTGCTTTTTAAAAAACGTCGGTGGTTTTTTTCTTCGTTGAAATCTCTATTTTCTGATGGCGTAAAAAAAATATACATTATGTACTATGGTAAGTTTTCTCAGGAAATGCAAAGAAACGAAAAAAACTAGAATCCGAAAATGTTTTTCTAATCATTATGTACAATTTTGAGCTATTTATTAAAATTTAAACTTTAATTACTCGAAAAACGTAAGATTCCATGTTACATTGATAAACAAAAAATTACAAGTCGAAATATACTATTATAATTAACAACCAAATAAGTTAATAAAGTTAATATTTAATAAGACATCTACAATATTTTGAGAAAGTTTTAGAATCTTCTTTCGTTTCTTTGCATTTCCTGAGAAAACTTACCATAGTAATGTATATATTTTTTTACACCATCAGAAAGTAGAGATTTCAACGAAGAAAAAGCCCACCGACGTTTTTAAAATAGCAGTTATTTTGACGTGAGAATTTTCGATTGAAAATTAGGATGCTTTTTCGATATTAAGTAAAAATAAGGTGAAAAAATAAATATATCAAATAAAAAAAATTACAGCGTGTTTGGGACATAAATAGGTAAGTTTTCACCAAATTTCGTGAAAAAAAATTTTTTTGTAAATTAAAAATAAAAAACCAAAAACTTGGTTATTTGAATTTTTCACATAAATTTTGAGGTTATGTGAAAAAAGTATAAATACAAAAGTTGTAGATCCTTTTATTACCTACAACTTTGCTATTTAACTTTTTTCCATAAGACTTGTAGTTTTTCCGGAAATCAAGGGAAACCGTTTTTTACCCTTAAAAACTCACCCCCTTCCCCTTCCCGACCTCGGATCGCCCGTAAATTATTTTTCCTTTCATTTCTGTTATATTATCTTTCTTTTCCAATGGGTTTCATCCTACTATATTTTTTTTTGGTTTCAAAAATTATCGACCCTGGTCTACACTAGTTTATCAAGGCCTCACAGCTCACCGCGTGACGTCACTTACGAGGTGACAAATACGAGTATTAAGTGAAATAAGAGATATAACATGTGCATTACACAGGTAAACAGTAGGTAAAATGTACACTGCTATATCAAACACAATCATTAAGTACTGTTACAATTAGAGACTAATAACCACAGGTAGTGACGTCACTAAACAATGACATATCTGAGATGTAACGCTTTGAATATTGGACACCGGACACAATTGGTTGTGCCGTTTCAATTTACAAAAATTAAGTAATTTCCTAATCATTGTTCTATTATGTGTGTTTTATACATATTTAATTTGAAATTTAGTTTTATGATATCTTGTAAAAAAATATTTTCCACGTTTTGATATTTTTCTTTCAATAAATCAGATATGTATTTTATAAATTAGATAAACTGCTTCCTCGAGTAAATCTTGTGGTCAGATTAGTATTTAGGCAATCTTTTTTAGAGTGCGATAGTAACTCCTGAAACAATCTATCACTGATAGCCCAGAAATCTCTTGCTGATAACTTATCTTTACGTTGCAATTTCGACAGCTTACTACGCTTCGGGAGTTAGCTCTTTGCTTTTTTCATCTGTTATCTCGGTATTAGCGATTTTCAAAAGGTCGTTTATTTTTTAAACGAATAGTTATCTCGATCCCTCTGCTTCATATTATCCACTATGCGGATGCCATGACATCATTGAGGGACTCGGACAGATATAGGCTACATCCTATGACTGGCCAAGTGATTACGAAAACGTTAAATTTTTAATAAAAGCCCAGTCATACAAAACAAAATTAATGTTAATTAATATAAAATAAAATTTTAAATTTTCAATGTCCGAAACTTGCACAATTTCCTGTTTATGACACATACCGAAGTAAACACTTCATATTTTTGTTATTTACATCCTGCGTCACATCAACGTCCAAAAAAATTGGAAGTTTCCTGCCGGCTTCCATTTATTTGTTCAATTTCTCGGTAGCTTCCTGCGAATTTTTCTGGGTAAACACTCCCCGATGGATAAATATTGGATAGGTTTCAAATTATCGAGGCAAGTGTTTAATTAATATAAACAACAACCGAAGAAACAAATATAACTCTCTCGTTTAATTATAAACACCAGTTGATTATTTTTATTGCCAAATAACTCCGATGTGCTACAAACAATTCCATTAGTCACTGTTTTTATTATGTAACGTCGAGATAAATAATAATAAATATTTTATAATTGCGCCTCGTTTAAATAAAAATAATAAAAGGCCAACGCGTGCGACAGATAGATGTGAATAAACAAACGGGGGGTCTGTTTTATATAAATCTCGTATCTACGTATACAGCTATAAAATTAGTTAGGAAAGCACTTTGGATGTTTTTAGTAATACATGCGAAATAGCAAAATTGTTTGGGTTCTGGGACTTCTCAAATTTTAAGTAATTTTTGGTGCCCTGAATGCACATTTGACATTAAATTTTGACAGTCCCGGCAACTTCCTGCCTCGTCGGCCTGGAATCGTAGCAGGGCGCACTAAATGACGTCACAACGAAAGATTATTAATGAGAAGCGGGAAAATATTGAATATACGTACCTTGTGAAGACATCAAATTCAAAATTCGATATGTAATCATTACACGTGAGGTCTATGGTTGATTTAAGCGCCATTGCTTCTAATCCAGAACTAATGGGATGGACGTTATTCAGTTCTTGTCGAAATATTTTCCAGGGGACCAAAGTACTGCGGACAAAAAGAACAGTCGTTTTATTCACCGCTATGTCAGTTAAAAATATCTAAAAAAAAAATCGCTCTCCGAAAGTAACATCTAAATTAAAAAATATTTTTAATTTTTTTAAATAATCTAAAAACTAGTAAGTGAAATTATTTGAAATTGAGCAGATGTATTTACGTAAACATTGTCCAAAATCTGAGGGCTTGAGAAAATTTTAAACATTAATGTGCAGTTTTATCAATGATTTGGCCCCACGTTGGGCGCCACGTTTTTAACGGTAGAGTAAGGACAGCCGTCTAATGATGAATCTCACGACCCGCTGAACAGGTCGACTGCATATAGGTACGTCGATTAAATAATAAATTTCGTTAACGGCAGAGAATGTTCATTCATTTTTATTCGAAACGCCCACGTGGTGTTTTGTAGTCGGATCGCGTCGTCGACGGGTATGGGCAAAGCCGCGGTATGTGGATAGATTCCCACTGTCGTTGGTTGGTATGAAGAAACAATTTGCTGAAGTGACTGCCAACATATTTCGAAAACTATATACCTAATTCGCAGATACAATAATCTTTTTTTTGTGTGTTATTTTTTCATTTATTTTTAGTTACATTAAAATTTAATTGCTGTTACTTCTTTGTAAACACTGGTATCTTCATTAACGCCCATATAAAGCATCTAATGTGACGAAATAGATAATAAAAAAGTTTCCAGGTTATCAAGAAAGCAAATACCCTTTCGTTCCTATTAATGAGGAAATCAACGGTTCAACGACATCACATTCGTAACAAAAAGCTTTTTTCCAATTGTTCGTCGATGGGAAATGGTTGAAACAGATAAATTACTTCATCCGGTAGAACTTAATTGTTTTTTTCTGACCAAAATGTAACAAAATAACACAGAAAAGATTAAGACTTTTGTGCCTTTTTTAAAGTAGGCATACCTACATTTCTTTCTTGAAAATATGGGTCGTGAAATAGGATAGCACCGTGGAAAGCTAGCTGCGCCAGACTGTCTATAAACAAACAATAATATTTACAAGACGAGCCGCTAAATTTTTGCATTAGGCAGATTGACGTCCGAGCGAAAGTAAAACAGGAAGTCTGCTACTAAAACCCGAAGATAGCTTTACGTAAATATTTAACAGAGCCGATATAGCTTTTTCGCTTCGTCGAGTTCGATTTGCGTCAAAGCGACTTCCGATTTCCGAAAAAAAAAAAAAAAAAACGCGCCGGGTAATTATTATTCCCGACGTCCGCGAGTTGGCCTTTGTGGCTGATCTTTAACTATTCTTTTTGAAAGTTGGCTACGTGCTTAGCCAAGGGCCTTGGGCGGAACTACGTGTTAGAAATACCTACGCCTCGGGAACAGAGCCGACTTAGGCAAAATTCAGTTACTAGAAGATTTAAAAATATGGGCTTTCATGGGAGGGGCAGAACAAATTAACAATAACCGAAAATAACCCATAAATTTGAGCTCAGTCGATCGAGTGGTATTCGAGTCTATAAGCGACACACACTAACATTAATTTTTATATAACAATAGAAGATAATTATTAATTACTGTTTACTAGATATTCCCGGTGCAATTCGAGGTAAGCTGAGGCATGTAGCAGTTGTTTCCTGCAATAACAACAGTTAAGAATTTTGTGTGTGAGGTTTGATATATTTTAGCAAATTTAACAAACAATTCAACTGTCAAAGTCATGGCTTCCTATGAAATTACCTCAGTCGTAGGTTACTAAGGGAAACAAAAAACTTCTACATGTCAAGTTCATGGCCTACTAAGACAACTGAAAGAATATGCGGTTTATAGCAATTTCGATTATCCACTACAAAATCGAATCAGTTGGTGGTGGCTTGCCAATGAGGCTCAATGGAAAACCGGCCCTGGTCGGAGGCGAAACGGTTCATTTGAATGCAATAATTCATGTGGCGTGTTTCTCGAAAACACACACACACAAAATGTGGAACGCGCAGTAAACTGGGGGATTAATTCAATTAAACAAATGAACAGACTAAATAGCACAGTCATGAATTAAACCTTAAAAAAAAAACGGAGTCAAGGGTTCCAAACAAATGAATGAATGAGTAAGCGGTGTCGCAGCGCGGTGGCCTTCGACACCTTCCGCGGGTAGCGACGTCAATAGGTAGGGCCGTACGGTGGGCTTGGTCAGGCTGTGCTTTAATTAGAACACAAAATATGTTTCCAAGGCAAGGCGAGTCGTAATGTGGAATAGTAGATATGTACGGCAAAAATAAGGAAGTGTTTAATGATATACTTTTAACAGTATACTGATACAACACGTATCAAAATACATAATGTTGATTTAAAACTGATTTTATTAAAAACGTTATTATGCGAGTACTGACAATAATTGCCAAATGAGGAATTGAGTATCATTATTTTTAAGCAATAAAGTTTAACGATTCACGATCAAAAATAGGATCGTTTACATCTACCGCAAAGAAAATAGAAATGTTCATTTCGTAAAAGTATATCCGTTCTTAATATCTTTGACGGTTTTTTTAAATTTTGATTTTAAATTTTATTGTAAGTCTACAAGGTAAGATAATCTCTTAAATAGTGTTCTGGGACCTTTAATTATGGTGCAAGAATTATTTTTCGATGGACTATCAAATATCAACACTGACGTAGTTGATAAGTGTCTTTTGAGGCATGTATTTTAATAATAAAATAATAATAATAAATAAGAATAATAATAATGATAATAATAATAATAATAATAATGTCTTTATTTCCAAGAAGAAAAAAAAAAACAATAGTATAAAGCATACCCCATAAACACGTCAGTTTGGAAATCTCAAGGGGAAGTTTACGCAAAGTGTGCTCTGCCACTTAACCCTTGAGTACATAAATAAATTACATAAATCGAACTGAGAATATAAACAACAAAAATTTAAAAACTAAAAACATATTAGTAAGTGTCTATAAGAATATAGTTCTTATGTAAGTACAAAATACGACAACAGTGATACAAAAATAAGTATTTCCGAAGTCAGTTGAACATGTATAAAAAAGTCTAGCAATAAAATTTAATGAGTTTCATAGGTGTCCCTAAAAAAGTTTTCTGCTAAAGGTAAAAAATCATAATAATTTGTATATGTGCAGAAAATTTCTATTATATGTTCATTTGGTTAACAATATATTTTAATTATTTTTTCAAATATTTCAATGATGAGTTGCTGCGTCAGCGACCGAACCTAGTACATACTGCCAACCTCTTGGTTCTTAAATTGAGATCGGAAAGACTATACAAAGGACATTTAAATATTCATAGATATTAAAAAAAGCTTAATGCGAAAGAAGTTTTTGCTCTCAAGAATTTAATGATAACCATGTAATTGTCTTCTAAATCTTGTACAGTCAAATTAAGTTATTCTTGACTTCTGCAAACTTCATGAATGCAATTACCTATTTACAATAACCTGAAAACGCATAATTAGATAAACTTTCACGACCTTGTTTTCAATAAGCCAGTAACACATTTTGAGATATTTTCTTAATTTTCTATTTAGCACACTACTTGCAGATTTTTGAGGAACGAGTTGCAATACTGCGACAGCTTAAGGGACAAACATTTTGTCATCACTTAAAAACCTATTTTAACACAATTTTTTTCTTAATATTCACATAATTTCGCAACACGTCAGATATAAAAACCATGGCGACCAAAACCAAATGACTAATGGTGTATTGTCTGGCCTGTCAATTTGTATCCCTTTTTTTGCCAACTTTAACATTTTTTCGAAGCAGTTCTCGAAAAAATATTCTTTGATACACTTCTGCGAAGTCGTTTTTGTATTTTTAATGGTTTTTAACTCGCTGGTGTTGGACATACTACAGCGAACGCATATTACACCGCAGTAGGCGTGTTGGTAACCCGTCGCTACCAACCACGGGTACGAACCCCTGCGAGTGGCGTTCTCGCCACGACCTACTCCGTCGGCCGAAATTGGGAGGGAAATTGTATTTCGGGACTGCACGTAATCGATATTTCATTCATGGGCTTCAAGCCGCCTCGATTCACAAGCCAAGCCGACGCGACGGGTGGGTGCTCTGCGTCGGCTAAAAATTCTCTCAACGACGACGTCGGATATCGCCGGTGTCGGGGTGCTCGTCGGGATTATTTTTTTATATAATGCGAAAACGAGGTCGCAAAGCGATTTTTTATCGGACTGCCATATTTCGACCGATGTTGTCGCTAAGGTCTTGTTATCAGTCTTGGCATTATCAATGGTGTGTGACACGGAACCAAGGGCGTGCACGAAATTTTTCAAATGGGAGCTTCGAATATAAAAGTATCAATCTAAGGAAAGGACTACACCTACAGGGCTTTCAGCTGTCCGAAACTGACTATTGATTAATAATGAATTGAAATCCGTTTTCGCTTATATTACTTATATTTTAGCAACAAATATATATTTTTTAAAGTATCAGGCTTTTTTTAGAAAAACATAAGAGACTAGTAATTTGTAGAAAATTGAAAGACGAATCCGAAAATATCATGGTTGTTACCATAAACCAGTGGCGTGCTATTTTATTTAGAAAAATATGCCACCGATACCCTGTATCTCCGCCATTGCAGCAAGTAAATTTTAGGAAACGCTCCCAGATATTGGACAATGTTTACATAAATACACGTGTCCAATTTCAAATTGTTTCACTTACTACTTTTTAAATTATTTAAAAAAATAAAAAATATTTTTTGAAGTTTAACACCCTGTATCTGTTTAACGAAGCGTCCAAGGAAAAAACTCTCCTGCATAAAGTGGCAATTTAAAAAATATCTACATTAACAAAATTCATCTCTCTTCATATACAAGGATGGACAACGCTTGACCACAGGTTCCTTGGATGAAAATAACACTATTTCGCCTAACTTACCTACAGGGTAGGAAAGTACCGATGGTCTATCTGAAGTTACGTGAGAGCGATAAAGTAAGCCATAGAAATCCATGTGATAGACAAGGATGGGTATAGTGAA